CTCAAAGTCCTCGACGCGCGATAAACTTGCCTTTGACATTTTCGCTTCTTTTTAAATGTCCTTCATCGTTCGAGCTTAACGTACTGTTTGTTAAAAACACCAAGTTACATCGTTCATTTAATTTCGTAAATTTGGAAAAGATTCCGGAAGAATGTTTCCGACTTGCATGACACGTTTATTCGATAAAGATTTCACTGAATATATGTATTAAGTCAGTCTGCGATACACATGTGGTTTTCGTACGACCGAAAGTTAGCGCGTCGTTAGGCTGAAAAAGGCGTAGAAAACAGTAGTTATGTACATGTTTGCTCATTGTCGGCGAAGCGAATGAAAAAGAACTCGAGCAGACATAAAATTCGTGCACGCTCGGGTGCTCGCCAATTCAATGACACGGAGTTTGAAAAAGTTTTAGATCGGAGACAACAAAGTCCGATGCAGCCTACAGTCAATCGTCTAGATCTGTGTATAGTACATACGTATGTAGTTTCGAACGCGAAACTTTCCGAGAAGAATTTTGCAAGGCATCCTGCTTAGAGAAACTTCGTATCTGGTTAATTTCGATCAAGTGCAGAATTAATAGCGTGATGATCAACGATGAGGAATGGAAAGTGTGTTTTGGTTGAGCAACCGGAGGTAGTTTCTGGAAAATTTCGTAGCGTGTTCACAATCGATCGGCAACATTTTAATTAATATCCTTAATTACACAATGGCTAGGTTGGATAAAATGTTGGTAAATACATACTAGTTTCTCGACTCGTATTGCTCTACTCTCGGTCCTCGCTACGCCAGGACTTTTGCTTAATTATTCTGTAAAAAAGAAAAAACTAGGCGTGCATAAATTTTTAACGATCGTGTGATCAGAGGGTGGGTAAAGTATAACGAGGTGTCTGTCTCGTAACACTTTCTCTCGCGATGATTGTGCCCCGAAAAGGAAGGAACTAGCTTCACCCTTGTTTCAACGAGAAATGTTCACAGGCGATCGCGGAGGATCGTCGTGCCTATTAAGATTAAGTGCTCGTCGCAACGAAACACGGTTATACATATATGTACATATGTACATACTTTGTTACACTCGAAGTGAGAAAGGTGCTACCTGCTACACTTATAACTGCCATTCGATTCAATTCAAATGAGGACTACCATCCCCCCGGCATAACGTGGAATTGTTTGTTCGCGAGGAAGAGAGTAACTTTTTTTATTGGGAAACGATTTCACCGCGAATCACACCACGCTAACGATCCACTTCTTTCTTTCGGTTCTACCTTAATTTATGCAACTATTCATCGAAACGATTTACGTTGAATAATGTTGCTCGTTAATTAGCTATTAAAAAAAACTACTTCTCACAGTGGTGTACCTATACATATGTATCGCGATTCGTCGAGTCTATCTCCGTTAGATATTCAGTTACACGTAACAGAACAAACGGCGCGGCGGTTACACGTGGACGGTGAAGTTGGCGTCGGTTGCCTATTTTTCGACGCCTTAAATATTTAATAGAACTCGTTGCAAGAAATTACTTTCATTTCATTTAATCGTTCAAGTAAATTCTAAATAAATAAATAATTGCTTTCTTAAATGGGAATGTTTTTATACGTCCGATTACTTTCTTTGTTTACTGTTTTCCACCTTTTATATCGGTTTATCTTGATGTTACAAAGACGTTTTAAAAGATAACTCTACGTGCATACATACGTGTACATAACTCGACACGAGACTGACGTAAACGTTTTTATACTAAAATTCGTTATCGTGTTTATTTTCCAATTATTGATAAACTATAAATATACTATGATGTGTGTGTGTGTGTGTGCGCGCGCGCGCGCCTTCATCTCCATACAATTGACCGTTCTGTCGCGCGTTTCGTCTTCTCGTATAAACTTGTCATACAAAGTCTTCAAGAGCGAACCGAGTTCATAATTACGATTCAAGGCAGTGACTGATTAACCTCTTACGACACCGCGCTCGACGACCTTGTCCGTCTTTGTCTCCAAGTTTCGCTAATTTTTTTGACGAAAAGCATGAAATTGAAACACGCGTTACTCGAACGAAAACAAGGCTTGTACGATCATCGTTCAGGAAGAAATTTGATAGGTGAAACTTGACACTGAACCGCGGATGTTTCACGTATTGGTGCACTTTGCAAACAGGAGGAGATTTCGGAACTTTTCTTGTTGGCGAACGTTCTCCTCGGTGCGGGCACTTTCGCGCGGAAAATCGCGGTTCATTGCACACACAACGCGACGCCAGAACGAAAAACAAACGGAACCAATAAACGTAAGATCGCGTCCACGTTGCACCGTGGCGAACAAACAACGTAAGTACGGTTCTTCTTAGAACGCGACGCGACGCGACGCGACGCACCGAAGAAGCCACTGCCGCGAAACAAGCGCGCCGATCGTCTGATGCTCGAGCCAATTCACCGACGCTTTACGCTTTACGCTTCACGCTTCACGCTTTTCTCACTTCCCCTACCTACGGTACTTACGTTTAATGCTCTCCTCTTATCCGTATTTTTCCACCAAACACTCAAACTTCCCTGGAGGTCGGTCACTGATACGCGTCTCCGTCACCATACTGTGTCACCATATTTTATTCAGTCACTCCATTTATCTCAACTTCCGTTTATCGGTACGAAATTTTCGATTTCGGATGCTCGATTTAGTAAACGTCCCACGGGACTCTTATTATACCAACTATGTGTTCCTTTCAAACGTCGTTTCAACCATGTCTGCACGATTCCTTACGAACAGATACATCTTCTTTATTTAATTTTCAATTTATTCGAGAGCAACGTATATTTTCTACCGCGATCAATATTTTATAAAGGATGGAATATATCTTTTAACGCGAGCAAATTACTTGTAGCTTGTTAGTGCCTGCCCAGTGGCGCAGACCTTTCGAGATTGGATTTATGGTAAATGAAAATAATAAAAATCAGAACGATTAGCGTTGAAACGAGGAAATGGCACTGCTAAATTAATAGGACTGGCCCGCTAAAATTGCCACGTACGATCGCTTTTGCGATAAGCATGTCATTGTCTTTTTTTCACCGAGATTTTTATCAAGGTTCTTCTTAATATTCTTCCACGTAAACTAATTAAACAGATTTTCAGCAAAGACGCCGCTTTCTGTACAAGATCGTTTCTTTCTTTCTTTCTTTCTTTCTTTCAAACATTATCGCCTTTCTCGAGCCGACAATAATATCGTCGTATCAGTCTTATCTTCGTTTTAGCAACACATGGTGAAATGTTTACCCACCAACTATACTTATAGATTATCTCGGATAGCTAATCGTAAGTAGTACATATACACGAGATTTGCCATTCAAAGTTCAAGGCTATTTTAATTATTATTAGACCGCAATGCGCCTTTAAACAATTCAATTCTCGAGAAAGAAATTACGCGTGTTTTTCTCAGCCACATAATTTTATTGGTGTTAATTGTTTAATTTGAATCGGTTACGAAAACAACGTCGTTTGCGGTGTTTCCATTCTCCCGGCAACCGTTTGAAATTTTAATACATTAGTGGTATTTTTAGCACCGTATACACACGCGTTTAATCTCCTTCGCAACCGATCGCTTTATCGATAGAAACTTTCAGGCGCGAGAGTAACGCGGTAATTGAAAATTTCAATTCGCAAACAGGTATTACACCTTAGGAAATTTCGAATCTTTTCCAATCATTTTTATCGCGTTATTTTTCTGTTTACAATATGAATAGTTAATATGCAAGCTGGTGAAATACCTCGAGTTTAGAGTGGCAATTGTTCGTTTCTATCAGCATGCACGCAAGCCTATCAGTATCCACGTTCAAGGAAAGCGTAGATTCCGATTAGCGGACATTCTATGAAATAACATTTTAAGATACGCGACGGTACAGTAATCTTTAATGTACCGATAACGGAGATAAGTTCTTCAACTCCATTCTGACCAATTTGACCGCACCAATTCCAACATCAGTTTGCAAACAAGGAAAGTCTGTCGAATTTTGACGAATAAAATTATGTATAACGCACGGTTCGCTGAAACTATTTAGACTCGTCGTTAGACGCTTGGAACTACATATTGCGACAGACTTGGTAATTCATTCGTGTAGGTATTATCGAGTGCAATGGGGCTTGGTTCGACTCGGTTAAACGCAGCTGTTCATACTAATCGTGTAACGGAATGATAAGACGCGACTCCGTCACGTTCATTCTATACTCTATCCTTCTCTACGTACGCAAATATACATATGTACTTAGATGTTAATGTACATTGCAATAGGTACGATTAAGAGGACTTTGTTCGATCAAAATAATTATCAAAATTTTGCTAGAAATCATTACGAAATTATTATGGAACTTTAGTGGCTTCGAAATTGTTGAATAATTCGTCTCGAATACTCGGTACATATCTCTAGAAGAGTATATTCCAACTGGTTTGCTAAGCATGCACTTGTGTACGTTCTGCCAGTCACGAATACACCTACGCAAAAAATAGTACATGCCGCTTTCCTATTTTTTCATAATCCTGTCCATGCTCGATTCGTTGCAAAACAATTGCACGGTAGTTTTAGGTGCAAGTAATTGCACCCGATGTCATGCACAACCAGTAGATCATCTCATGCTCTGTTTCGTTCGAGCAGCTACACATATTCCAACAAAAATATATAATTCCAATTATAGGAAACCAAGAGAACGCGATGATATAGCTTAAGCTTACAACAGCTTCTGAAAATGTTTTATACAATTTCTGAAAGATGAAGTGTCGCCTCGTGATTATGGATGAACTCGCAACGAATAAATTAGGCGCGCCAAAAACGCGTTGCAAGATGTTCGCAAACTGGACAAACTTTACCAGTGTATTTTATTAAACGTGTAAATGAATTTTTATCCTATAGAAGCACCACGAAAAATATATTCGTTCGTGGTAAAGTTTGACCAAAGTTTTCAAGCAACTTTTCCTAATTAATAGAAATAGAAAAAAAAAGAAAAGTGATTAGCTTGTAGCGTTACCTTGGCAGTCGTCTCTGTAGTGTTGAGATTTTGGCGGCGGCGGGGGTGCGTTCGAGTATTCTATGGTCGAGCCGACAAAAAAAAAGGAAAATAATAATTAGCCGCGCTACAATAAATAGAGGGGAGAAAATCACTCGGCACGAACAATCACTGTAAACATTCGAAAAAAGTTTCAGTTTAATGGAACACACTCACTCTCTTGTTCGGCATCGATCGATATTGGTGTCCCGGGATGAACCACTTTTCCAACGATGCATTAAACGATACAAACAAATGAATTGGTGCAATTGTACAAGTTGAACGCGTTAGAATCACTCTTTTCGCTGTTTCCGATGCTTCCGAACAGCCAACTCGAAATCGATGGATAAGTTAAAAATAGTAGAAATGACAATTTCACGATGATGAGAGTAACGCGTAAGGGATTTGCAATTCGAATACTGGATGGTGAAATTGTAAAATAGCACAAGATATGTATATTAGGGATAAAGAATAGATAAACGGTATCAGTTGGGAGAGTTCAGACCTTCGAAAGTGACAGTGGGTCGAGCAGTATAGATCGGAATAGGGGACCACCAAGGTGTGGTCTTCCGTCGCACGGTTGGCGAAGGTGGTGGCGGGGGAGGTTGATACCTAAACCTCGGCCTGTGTTTATCAGGATCGAACGGCTGATTCGCGAAAGGTTCGGGCTGTTTGAGAATCGAGGACGGATCTTTGGAGGAAGCGTTGCGTCGTAGTTTGCTGCCGGTGGTTTTGCTTGCACCGATAGCGTCAGTTTTCGGTGCAAGCAAAGGCGGCGTGCGATCGTTTCTCGAGGAGGACCGTCTGGCTGCGAGAGCAGGAGGCGAGGATAACGAACGCATGTTATCTCGTCGGCTGGGGTACCTGTGGGCGACCCAACGACCAGCCAGATAAGGCGCGATATCGCGCAATTGGCGGACATCCGGCGACGAGGTGAACATTTCCCCCAAAATCGAGGCATTCCGTTTCGCGAAATTTTCAAACTTTTCCCTCATCCGACCGACGGGCTTCTTCGCCTCGAGTTCCTCGGTCTCCGCCCTTCTCGCCACGCCATTGCCAACGATCGTGCAACTCGTCGAGTAATCCTTCAACTCGGCCGTTTTGCTGATCACGTCGATACGAGGCATCGACAAGTCCTCTCGTTTCAGAGGCACGCGAGGAATAGGGGGCGATTCGCCCCGCCGACGAGCTTTACCCCTTTGGGGTTCGTACTTTCGTCGTAGCCAAGCCACGTCCGGAAACTCGTGAGGCTTCAGAGTCTTTTTCAGAAGACTGCGCGTTAACTCCGGATCGCTTCTAAATCTCTTTGGCGTCGGGGAGGCTTTGGTCCCGGTGCTCGAGATGTCCTCGGCGCTCTCGAACTTTACTCGGAGTCGCTTCACCGTGCCGTTTTTCACGAGCTTGAGGTAGGCGCGCCAGTACTTTTCCGGGTCGGGCGATGAGCTACGCAGCCATATACTGTCCAAACTGCACGATGAATTGGATCGGGAGGTCGCGCGACACGGACTGACGCTACGCGATCTATCGTGTTCACGGTCTCGCGAGCAACAACCAAGCGACTGTCGCGCGTTCTTATCCGGTTCAGCCGTGCCGGGGCTGCTGCTTCCTTTCCTCGCAACGCTCGGTGAGATCGACCGTGTTCCGCATCTCGAATCGGCCAAGCTCGTGTATTTCGCCGACGTTGTTTCGCCAAACAATTCCTTCAGATCGGCGAAGCTCTGAGAGTAGGACAATCTTCCCGTTTTTCTTCTTCTTCTCGTATCGGCGGGAGCAATCTTGTCAACGTTCTCGAAGAATTCGATCTTCCTCGGGACGTCCTCGGACTCGATGTTCCGTTGAATGACCGTTTTCACCGACGTCTCGGAACTTCCCGTCGTGCTGTCCCTCTCGCTGCCAGAGTTCAGGCCCGTTGTTGGCTTGGTCCGTGAATCGTTTTCGGGCAACGATATCGAGAGAAGCGGCGGTTTCATCGACCATTCCTCCAAAACGCTCTCCACTCGCTGTCTGTCGGCCAAACTCTCGTTATTGGGCGTTAAAACCACCAAGAAATCGTTCTTCTCTTTCGAATCATCTTCGCCCTCGAGGGAGTAACAGCTCCTGGGAGAAGTGCTCGTTACGCTGGAAGCAACCTTTTTAGGTAGCTTCTTAGCCGCCAACTCTGCGGCTATGCTACCTCGAGTTTCACGAGGTGCTATCGACGACGATCGTCTCTGGGAAACTTTGTCCAAAACTTCCTTTCCAAGCGTCACGGATAGTCTTTGCTTCTCCAGTTCGCTCATCGATCGTTCACTGGTCGTCACGGGTTCGTCCGATTCGGATTTTTCCACGATTTTACCGCGACCAAACGAGTCGCTTCTCTTCAGCGTGGAGGATTTCTGGTCCGCGGCCGTGTCCGACGTGATCATCATCGAGTGACATCGTACGTGAAGACCTTTCCCATCGGTTGTTTCCGTCTGAGGCGGAACCTCGATCTCGTAGCTGGACAGAGAATCGCGGTTAGCTGTAATCGTTTCTCGACGATTCCACTCCACCGCGTCGGGATCTACTTTCGGGGGTGGTTTTTGTAAATTCCCACTGCAGTAAATTTCGTTCAATTGTTTCTTGAGGGTCGCCACCTGTTCGATGGACAAGCTGCTCCAGAATTTTTTACTGCCTCCCAGATTCCTCTGCAACGACGGATCGAACGATGATTTATCGTTGTTCCGATCGTTGGTTGCCTTCTTCTGCATAGTGCTCGCCACGTTCATCACGGACGTTCCTCGCCAAAGAGGCTTGTACGTGTCTTTCCGCGACGCGATTTCCTTTCGCCTCGTACACTCTAGCTCGCTCTCCTCGTCTTGCAGCTTTTTAAAATGCTGTATTATGTTCTCCACCGATCGTTCCTTGCACCTCAAACCGCAATCACCTTGCCACTTGAACTTGTTCACGTCTCTGGTACTGAATAACAAATTCTTGTCCCTCTGGACCGCCCTTAGCTTTCCGTAAAGCTCGTTCCATTCGATCTCTGCCTTCTCCTGCGATCTCACCCTCTTCCAGCGGTCGTAGTCAATGATATCTTCGTTCTTGGTCCTCGGTCGTAAATCGCAGCTGGAAAAGGTCCTCTCGAGCTCGCCCAGTCTTTCGAGGCTCGAGTAAAAGTCGTACAGCTCTTTGTACCTCTTGGATTTTCTTCCGTCGTGCGTCAATTCGACCACGTACCGATGGTATTCGTCTCGATCGACCGGCGAGGCGCAAAGAGAGCTCGTGCTTCTCATCGACGACGAATTAGACCCGAACTTGCCTCTGGATCGTTGGAGTTGGTCGGCCTCGCTGGCGCTTCTAGCCCGCCGCCCTTCACTCGCGAACGTGCTCGGACCTTCCGATTTCTCTTGTTTCAGCGTTTGTATGCGTCGACAAGCCGGCGATCTGGCCGGCGATCTGATCGGCGATCTGATCGGCGACGTCGAAGAGGCGCGAGAAAAAGAATTCCGGCTGGATTCCGCGTACTCTGACAAACGTTTTAACGGCGGTTCGCTGGAGCTTCTTTCCTTGACGCGTTCCCTCGCGAAATCGGGACTAGGATCGCGCAGCGTCCCCGACGACCCGAAATCCTCGATGCCCATCAAACTGTCGAACTTGCTGATCTTCTGGAACACGGATCTGCCGGGCCAGCTGACGCCGTAAGGACTCGAGCTCCTCGAACAGACACTCTCGCGTTCCCAATTTTTAAACTTTGAGTTCGACACCGGACGTTTGTGGGCCAAGTAGATGCTCAGAGATTTCAAAGACGGCTCGGATTTGTAGCCCCCCCTCACGATGCTCTCTTGATACAGTCTGGCCCGCTCGGACACTATGGATCCCCTGCAAGAAACGTTTTTACTCGAAGCGACAGAGGGTACGGAGCTCAAGAAGAGCTTTTGGAAAAACGTGTCCGATCGCGTGGCCTCCTGGTGCCTTCTGATCTCTTCTATGGTCAACAGAGGCGATGATAACTGCTCGTCCGATTTCGAATTCTTTTGTCCGACGTTCGGTTCTTCGTCCTCGATGTTATTTTTGCCGAGACCTACCTTATCCGAGTCTGTCTTTCGACCATTCGCCACTCTCTTCCCTTTCCCGGTTCCTTTATCCTTATCTCTCTTGGTTTTTCTCTTAACTTCGATCCTCTTCTTGCTCGAATCGGGATTCACTCGTATCGTTTCGAGGTTTCGCACGGGCGTTCTAACGATGGTCTCGGGCTTCTCTCCGAGTCTCTTCTTCCTGTTCGTTTCGCTGATCGGTTCCGAGGAAGGCGTCGACGATCGTAAACATTCCTTGGAGACGACTACCTTATCGAGTTGTTTGATCGGTGATCTTGGCTTCTTAACGTCCGTCGACATCGTCTTACGCACGATCGATGCCGAACACGCCGTCTTTCCGGTCAAAGGCAAGTTGGTCCTCCTTAAAGTGTGCTGTCCCTTTGGCGATACCGTCGCCACAACTTTCAAAGATTTCTCGTTCGGATTCCTCGGTTTCCCACTGTTCAACGCCGAGGTGTTGTACACCGTCGATGAACTCTTAACGATGCTTCCGGTTCCCGCCACGCTCCTTCTCGCATCCTCTTCTCTGCATCCGTGTAAAAGTCTCTTGACCGATTCTTCTTGCTCCCTTTTTACCGAACGTACCCTTCCACAGTCCTTTTTTAAATACGTCGAGGTATGATAAATGCTTTCCCTCGATTTCGTCAAAGTAGGAAGTAGAGACTTGGAGGGCGTCTTGGTTTGCAAAGTTAGGCTCTTGTTCGCATCTGTGCGAACGGTGAAAGTTTGCAGAGGACGGTGTTCCAACTTTGTCTTGTTGGAGTCGACAAACACCTGGGTGGAAAGTTTCGATCGAGAGGAGCTCGGACCGTTGGACGTCTGGATCTGAAAGTTTTCACGAGTCTTCTTGTATCTTTCTATATTCGCGGTGTCGGCTGCAAAGCACTGCTTGTGCCGCGATTTGAACGCGCGTCCCGTGTCCGTAGCTTGCTGTTGGACGTACAATTTCAGAGTCTTGCTGTTGCGCGAGGATTGCCTTCGCGGCGGCGAAGGTGGTCCGTTTAATCGACGCGGATCGACAAAGTCTCTGGAAACGTTCGATTTCGAGCGATGGTCCGTTCTCTTGGTCGTTGAATTTAGCCCAAACGATGACATTTTACGTTGCGAGAAACAGATGGAGGTGGGCGTAGAGACGGTATTCCGGTGAACGCGGATCCGCGTCAACGTGGGCGAGATAGGAAAATACTCGACCTCCGTGTCGTCTGTGGACAAAGTTTTTATTTCGTTTGTCGCGATTTCGTTCGTATCGCGTCACGTATTGCGAAAGAACCCTCTCACCAAAGTTTTCTAACGAAAGAATAGTCGCGATTGTTTGGTGATGTTTTAAGCTTGGTGATATTGCCGCGTTGTTCCCGGCACAGCGTGTGTGTCGTGTAGAAACTCCTCTCGGTGACGGTACGTCTGGTGCATCGTATTATACATACAAGATTTAAGAAAATTTCATGTTCGCGCGCCAATATCGATAGATATACCGAGGCGAGCGGTGCGGTGTAGAAGAAACTTTAGATATCGTGAAAAGTATGCGTTCAAGCTTGCACCTCGCGGCTAGCACAGTTATTTATGGATACAAACGGCGGTTACGAGTCATGCTTTGTACTTTTCACTCGATGCATTATTCAAAACGTGAAACTAAACGCTCGGCACGCTTACGTTTGGAATCGTAACGCGGCAATCCGTAATTACCGGATAATTATAATTAATTACCGTCCGATACGATGCTTCTATTAAACTAATTTTACGAGGAATAATACTAAACCAACTCGTCGTCTCAAGCGGTGATAAGCTGTTGCAAGCGCATTGCCGATCCCGAACTAACAATAAGTAATAGTAGGAACGTTTTATACATATAATTCAACGATCGTACGAAAGGAATGCTTGTTGCAACCTTTTCTCCAGAGCATTCGACAATTTCTACAATTTGTTCGTTCCGGAAACGGTAAAGAATCGTCGTCGTATTTACAGTCGGCGATCGTTGTTGTTAATTAAATAAACGTGAGATTACCGAAGCTGCCGGATGGACGATATCGTTGATGAAAAAGACGGCAATTATTTATGAAAATACAGAACGCCGCGTCATGCTCGGAGGCGCAAAGTGTAACTTTGATCGTAACTATCGGATACAACAAGTTGAATAACACAATAACACGACCATGCACGGACTTGCGATTAGTTGAACACAGCTACCGTTAGTAATTGGGCAAACGATAATAAATCAGGCACGACCGATCGGTCGTGTATGCGCGCGCATGCCTGCTTGCATAACATCAAACTACAGCGAAAAAAAAGTTTCGATCGAACAAAACAGTGAAATTAAAATTTATTAAGAGAAGTAAAACAAAAGTAGCTTTGGAATAAAGATTAAAATTTAGGTGTGGGGCTGAGCTCACCCTTCGGGCGTTCCGGTGCTGGTTTACGAAGTCCATGAAGGGGTACGTCACCCCCGCTTTGCACAGTTTTGTAGGCCAATTTTTGCTCCACTTGACTCAACGGACTTATGTCTTCCTTGCGACGGAACACTAGCGTAGAATCACTTTCGTAGCCAGACTCTTTCAGGGCGCTGGAAACAAATATTATCCATCATGTTGACAGCCCACCAACGAAAACTTTGTTCAAGCGTGAACAGAAAATACGCTTACTGCGCCATATACGGTTTCACTGGACGATTGTTGCGTTGATCGAATGGCTGAAAAAAACAAAAGAACAACTTATTCGGTCGATGTTGCGCAAGTCCTCGCGTAACTTTCGATACGTACATAGATCATGCTTTTGTTCGGTTTTGTCCGTACAAGGTTTACCAATTCGATTTACAATAGCTTTGCATCGAAGAAAGCAATTTTCAGTCAACGTCGTTTTATCTATCGTATACGTAGGTACGAACGACTGTGTATCGATAAAAAGTCGATCGGATGTTACGTATCTCATGCGACATTCGGCTAATGCTAAGCGCAAATTAACAACAACGAGGAGCGATAAAAGAGCAAATGATATGCAATTTTGATAACAGCCGACACAGACAAAAGGACAGAGAGAGAAGAAGAACACAGTTTGGTACGTGAACCTAGATAGCGACACCGGTCAACGACAGTACCAAATCAACAATGGAAGAAACTACTACTTAAATCGTAAATACGACACGTTTACGTGAATACAACGATACGATAGAGTAGACACAACGAAAGAAAAATTTAACAACGTTTTCGATAACGTCGAATCGAGTATTTGAAACAAAAGTAAAAAATATTTTCATATAAATTCCAACGGAATTTAACGTATGTATACATATATGTATACATGTATAAATATATAATATACATTCTTAAGTAAGGTACGATCGCAATACAAAGTTATAGAATTCAACAGACTATTAACCATGCACGACAGATTAATGCGCTAACAGTATTTCTACGTTTACTTATGCCCAATTATTAGTGTCCATAGAAATCTTTTATAAAAATAATTCTAAATAATAATCGTTCGGTTATTAATTTAATATAGATTTTAAGGGTAATATTTTAATGGTCGAGGGTTTCGTGTAAATCCAACCAACTACTATTAATCGGACATTTTACCGGCATCGTGACTAGAATTTTATAACAGCCTGATAAGTGACATAGTTCTTTTATAAACATAAATCCAAATACGATCTATTTTTAATTACGTGTACTTGAAATAACCAGAAATTATACGTATAGTTTTCATTCACTGAGTTTTCTATATATAAAAGAAGAATATCTCTGCATTTTAATTTGTATAATTTATCGTACCGTGTAATTTTGATTTGTGCACTGGTTCTGTTGTACATTATCATCGACGCAATGAATTTGTGTAATCGAATAAGACTACAGCACCGAGCACGCGTCAACGACGCTCTCGATTAATATTCAATTTACTTGGTAATTTTCCGGTAAATGGATAATAATGCAGTTGTAAATTGTTTGACGAGACAGTACCGTACGTAGTTTACAATTCTGCGAAACGTTTCGAGCTGTTCGTAGCGGCAGGAAGAAGTTATTACCAGTCTTACAAGTTTCGCATTATTAATTGCCCGTTTATTATAAAATAATAACTATAAAAATGTTTCGCTTCGTTGTTTCTAGTCACGTTGTAATTAAAAATAGTTGAGGCGAGATCGTGTCTGGACTTGGTTTTAATAAATGCGGTGGAATGTGTGGATCCTTAGAATCGGCCGATACACCACAAGTGGGGTAGTCTTTTAAAATTGCAAATAAATTATTTTAAAAGGAGAAGCTACGAAAAGGAGGAATAACAGAGGGGAACGGTCGAATGCAAACGATGCGAAATTTATGGAAACGGGGCTGCAGAGAAGAAAATACTGTGCAAAAGAAAATTTCACGTGTCCCTTTGTGATATTGAACAACGAAAATCGAAAGGACTATTGCGAACTTTACTGCGCTCGTGGCTGTCCGTAGTCCGTTAAATCTCCCACGAGATCAAAAATAACAGAACTCTTCTCCAGACATCGAATCAATCGTTAATCCGTTAGGCCAAACGGGGGCAAGTCCAGCGGGAGTAAAACGCGCTGGAAGACAAGGATGGACAAAATGAAGATGACCGGACGTAGCAAACGTAGTTACAAGCAAGCGTCGACAATACACACAGAGAAAGAGAAACAGCGAAGAAAAATGAGGAACAGAAATAGAAAAAGAGATAGAAGTATCCGTTGGATCGTCCGACGATAATAAGTTCGTAGCGTTTTTCAACGATTAAGACGCGAGTTTATCGATTCGTTGGAAAGAAGAAAAAAAACGCTAGGAACGTGTGGGAGGATCCAAAGGAGAGAGAGAGAAAGAGAAAGAGAGAGGACAACGTCATCGTGCACTCTACTTGTCGACGATGTTGCAGCCTCTAACCCGTGAAGCCGACGGCTGAGCGTTGGCGGTGATAACGGAAGGTGTTGTCGATAATGGCGATGCTAGCATAACATGATTGATGCTGGAAATAGAAGAAGACGTGGAAGAAGAAGAAGTGGGCGAGATGCGTTGGTGTTGGCGATGATGATGATGATGGTGGTGGTGGTGGTGGTGATGGTGGTGATGATTACGATGGCGATGCTGCTCGTCGGTGGTAGCCTGTAGGAGCGTCGATCTGATAGCTGTCGATCTGTCGCCGATGGGCGAGCTCGATCGACGCAAGCAACGATCCGGCAGGACGAAGCTCTTTGATCGTCCTTCCAGCATGCCAGCAGCAGCAGCAGCAGCAGCAGCAGCAGTGGTGGTAGAAGTAGTAGTAGTAGTAGTAGTAGTAGTAGTAGCAACAGGAGCAGCGTGCCAACCGCAGTCGGCAGCCCGTTCAAGAGGTCGCACGATCCGATCTTTCGAATCGTCCTTGCTGGCTCTCACCGTCTCGATCGTTGATTGATCGAGATTACTCGGCCTCGGGTAATCGAGCAGATTCATGCTCGACCACTGCTTCGTTTGCGGTTTATTATCGCGGTTACCGCCACGGGAGGACGGTTCATCCTCCATGGCGGTTCGACGGGATTTCGGGACGACCTCGACGGTTTTCGAGCTGCTGACCGCTGATAGCCTTACATTGTGCCGAATGCTCGTCTCCGGTCGGTACGAGAGGCTCAGAACGCGATGGCTCAGCTCCGCGTTCCTCAACTCCTCCATCCCCGTACCCTGAGGATGTCCATTCTCGTTCAACCACTGTCCAGTTAGGTTGTTAGCGTCGTGGTGGTTGTCACCGGGCATCGTCCGAGAACCAACAGGGCCACGTAATCCGGAACCGTCGGAGGTGGTACACACCAACAGACACGATACGCAAACACCAAAGATACACACGCACACACGCAGGACATCGATCGCGATAACATGTAAAGGGAATCGATCAGCTGCGGCTTTTCCAAAAATATATTCTCTCGGGGACCAACAAGGACTACATGCGTGGCTCACGACGTGCGACTAGCTCTCATAGACGATCAGGGCTTTCATTTCTTTTAAACTATTTCGATCCGTTAATTACTCTGCCGAATCGTAATACACCGATCAATATACACCAATCTGCTAGCTTTCATTTTTTTAGTTTATTCTTAGTAGTTGTGTATGTATATTCGCCACTAGAAGCTACGTAAAACGAAATTTATAGAAATATTGAGAAAATTATTATATATTTAGATAGTACATATATCGATATTAATTGTTTGCTAATCGCGATTAATTTTCGTCCAAGAAAAGTCTTCGAGCGCAAAGGGTTGAAATTCCTTAGTGAAAAATAATAATATTCGTCTTGATAGCGAATAGGAGCTGACGGAACACAAAAAGGAACAAGTCGGTTCTTATTTAACTACGATTAAGTATAAAAATAGCGTACCCCGTCAAATATGTCCATGACCTCGTCCCACCACTAGAAACACAGAATTAAATATAGCGTTAATATATGCACTAATTGCATGAGGTTAAGAATGAAATTTAAATAAAAGAAATAAATATCCGAACGATGTATTCGATCATCTGCTACTTTCCATCTAAAATTTCAACGTACATACGTGTCTAAACAATACTTTGAATGAATTCTCATGAAACCGTGGCCGAAAGATAAGATTATTTCTTTTAGGTGGAAAGTAAGAGGAGCGTTTCAACTAATGATCTATAAAAGCAGCGCTCTACCGAAGCTAACTAAAAAAACAACGAGTACGATAAAAGATCGAAAGTGTAGACGCGATCGCGTGCGCGCTCGATATCTCCGAAACGTAACGTGACATCGGCCGTGGTAAAAGAAACGATCCATAGAGAAGTTGATGATCGTGACGCCAAGTAAAAAGAAGCTTCCAAAAAATTAAGAAAACGAGCGTTGCTTCGTAAATTGATTTCAATCGTTCCATTAATCGTTACCTTCCTTCTCGTCCGTGTGACAGAAGTCGGCTAGAAGCAAAGCCATTTCAAACGATCATGTTTCAGACACATTGTTTGGGAAGCTTTTCAATCTACGTACCATAACGTGACGCGATATTCTACATATGTATACATAATATGCCGACAAGAATCGCGTCAGTTTGCGTTAATCGACCGTCGCTTCGATCACAATTTGCAAAAGGGAAAATACACTATTGTCGTAATCTCCTCTGTTTTCCAAACATTTTAACTGGTTCGGAATTTCCAGTGCATCCTATCCTACATGAGATACTGTGAAATCTCGGAAGAAACTCGTATCGAGAAATGAATTTATCAGGGCTAGGATTCATTTTTTGAGGCTCTAATGCGCTTACCTCCTTGGCTTCCTTCTCGGCGATCGACGATCGTCCAGGCTCGTAATCCTCGATGCGTCCTGGTTGGTTCTTATAAATATCTGGACTGTACTTTAGTGCTCCGTTTCTGAAATCCAAACAGAACACGACTCTTCTTTTCAAACGATCAAAATGACACGTTTGAAACGTCTGCGAGAATGTATTTTCTCTTTTAACGTCTTGCTTAATCTAGTCTATCGTCTTACTTTCTGGGCATAGTCGACGTGTAGAAATCATTTTCCTTGTTACGTAGACGTCGACGACTATCGAATGTAGCAGAACGTTCAGAGTATAATCGGTGTTCCGGTTCGCTCAGGTATCCGCTGCTGCTTCCGTATCCGTACCTTGTCCCTGGAAAATAGACACCTGTTTCTTAAAATCAAACCATTTCCATGTATGCATGAAAATGTTAATTCTATCGCTCGACCATCACCGATCAACGTATCAGTAGGTAATAGATGTATACACGATTATAATACGTCTCTTACATGAAATTTCTGTTAAGCTGTTGCAGCTGATTGCTATAATACTGTACCATGTAACAAAATAGCAGCTGTGTAAAAAAAGAAACTCGATTAGTACCGACTGACTTGAGAGATGGACACGAATATTATGTGGGTTATTAATGGATAGCAGAGTGTTAAATAAAGGGCACTCGTAGCACACGATTATCCTAAAATTGAATTATTTATTGTTACTTTCACACAGGAACGATTGATTAGCTTCGTTAAAACCAATCACAATTGTTATCTCGGTGTTACATAAAAGTTTTACGAGTCCATCGCACGTTAAGAACATCGTTTTAACATTAAAGTCACTCGTACGGAACACGCCGAACACCGCGAACACCGCGAACACCGCGAACAGCCGAAGAAGAAGAAGAAGAAGAAGACCACTATTGCGGCGTGTTAATCATCCGACTAAGCTCTTTGTTCATTAGTATTTTTATATCGCAATTTTTATTCAACCGTCGATCGTATGTCGGACAAGTATTCACCTCTTCTTGGTTTGTAACGAATGGTTATGTAGTCATCTGAAAATGAGATTTAACATCAATCCCTTCGTTTCTTTTATCCAACTCGATGAAATTAATTTTATTATATTGGTCATTGATTAGATTTATTAATAATTAAAAATAAAAATAAAAAAAAAAAATCAAACATCGTAGAAAGTTTTAGTAGTATGTATTAATTTTTGTTATAATTTTCGATAAACTTTTTCTCGTTTCGCGTAAGCGTTGTTGAAGCTAGACAGTATTATTTGCCACGCAAACTTACCATTTCTGTCTGCACGGTGCAACGAGTCATACATTTTCTTGTACCATTTTGTTTGATTATTTTCCTTGACTTCCTAAAATATTTTTATTCCAGTCAGATACCGCGGACATGAAAACATTACGTTCCATTTAAATAAATAGAAACAGATTGCTCGAATCTATGACACGTGATACTAACTAACGTTAAGATGTATGTAATTCAGGATTAATAAGAAATTTTAACGAGTACATGTCGATCGAAACCTTTTGCTCGTAAAGTTCGGATTACTTGAAAACTTCAGTAACTATTTACAGACCTACCGATCTTAAAACAAGAGGAATACCCTCCTTAGATGTTGGGCCAATACCCTCGAATTTTCGAGGACCCAAATCGGCCATCTTCTTCGGCGGTTCATTTTCCGCTTCTGGCTCGCTCTCGTACTCTTTCTTCACGGTGTAGACTGAGCGAACATCAGTTTAATTTCACAATGCAGCCGTAAACAACCGCGCAAAGTTTCAGAGAGAAAAATATTTTATCTTCAAGGATTTATTCATTACAATAACGTTCATCGCTCGTCGTTCTTCCCGCATGGTACAAATAAATTACCATATGTAATTAGCTAACGCGTGGAATTACGGAAAAATTATATACACGAATATGGTTAAACTTTAATGGTACACAGTACAGGTTGTAAAATATTAACAATCAGTTGTACGTTAACACTAAACCTACCACGACTGGTCATTTCACCTCTTGAACGATTTACATTTCTTTGTAAAAAAAAACCGGATAAAATGTAATATCATATTCTTGTTAGCGTTCGATGAAAGGAGAGAATCTTCAGTTTCCACTGCCTTGGAACAGTCTAACAACGCGTATTGAAAATACTAAAAGTTTAGACGCGTGCAATTCCGAAACTACCAGTGCTTTGTTCAAAATTCCACCGCCGTTGGAAGCAGTAAACCTTCCCCTTTAAAATTGCTTTTTGGTTTTTGTCGATCCGACTTTCCGTTTTCGAGATATCGTAATTTATGTAAAGGGGTAATTTTGTCCAATTTGACTGTCTCTGTCTCTGTCTTTGTCTGCCGCGTCGCGCCGGACCTCTCTCTCGCGCGCACGTGACTGGTGACCGAGTGGTCGCGTGACCTAGTTACTACGAGTCACGTGCGGTCAACGACCTTGGCAAGGCCGTAGTAAGAAAGTTCATTGATCTCGCGGATGTAAACAAAGGCTTCGGTCTCATCCGATCGACTTGAAATTAAAATCCTCATATCTCCGGAACTAATTAAGCTATCGACTCTCACGAACGCTCATTTTAAAGGGCATTTCATCCCCTATCCAATTACCATAACTACTTTTATCATTTATGCTGTCTTCTATATTTATTTTTACATTTACTTTGACGCTACATACCAAAACAAGTTTCGGCAATTCCTATTCATCGTACGACTGGTGTGCGATAAAATTTCATTATAAATTGTTTATTTAATTGAAAATGATTTTAAATTTGAATATGGTTCCCTTGTAAAAGAGAAAACGAAAGATTGGTCATTTGATCGGTCTTGGTAGGGATGGGTATACACAAAGTGTCGGTAGATTTAATGTTCAAAGTACTCACTTATCTCTCCCGGATTGATTAGAGGCTTTTCATCGTTCGGAGGATGTTTCGATGTCTCGATTTCCTCCAAGTAAGCTGCTCCTTTTGGTAACTGTCCCTCTGGGATAAAAAAAATAAAAGCAATTTTTTTGATAATGCAGGAATTGAAAGTAATTGTCCTCCGACCGTTTGCATGGTTATTTGCTGGAGATCGGTTCCAATTCTGACTCACCTCTTGCTTTCTGCAGTAGAGTGATGGTTGGGTTTTGAGCACGCGGCAAACGGGGCGTCGAAACCAACGATTTTAATCCTTGCGAAGGTGCTGAATGCGAATTAACGATTCGTGAACTGTTCTCGTAACTACTTTCAAACGCTTCCTTTTTTCTTTCTTCGGTCTTCCAAGGTGGTGGTGCTTGTTGTGTAATCTGAAAATTTCCACCAGGAGAATCGTTTCAGATTTACGAGCTAACGAAAAGAACCACGGTGCGAATCTCGATAACTTACTTCTTGCTGTGTTAGCTTTTTGCGGCTTAGAACAGGGCTTTCGAATTGCACTGGACGAAATTCCTTTCTTTCTGGAACTGGGCTTGCTCCGGCGCTGGAAGGTGCCCAGACGGCTGGAATTCCACCATCCTTTTCAGACTCCTTTCGTTCGGAGCTTGGCTCGTTTGGGGGTGGTGGTGGTGGTGGTGGCTCACTTCCAGGCGACCAAACGCCTAACAAATCAGAGTTCATATTGTTAGAAACGACTGGAGAAAATAACAACAACTTTCAATAGGCAGTGGTACACGAACGTTTGAAATTCTTAAAAAAAGCTTAAATAATTCTAAGCAGATGTTCGAGCGATACAACTGTTTTAATCAGGGACCCTAACTGTTATAACCATTATTATTTCGATTAAATTGTTTCTGGTTAGAAATAATCAGTGTAAAATATGTGGTCGATTTTGCATGCTAAACGTTTCAAAGACCTTGGTTCGCGTTTTACTATTTCACGCAAGATCGCTAACAACTGTTACGCGCGGTTCAGTTTATCGATCATCGAATCGAACGATAGATTCGAGTTTCGAGTAAATAACAATTATACACGAGTCGAAGAAAGCTGTATTTAGGGTGTTTGCACCATGACGGACGTTGGGTGGCTGGGCCACGCGAGTCCAGCGAGAACGAGCCAAAATCAACATTCGGGATCTGTAGGAGACTTGCTAATCTTGGCCACGGAAGCGTATTATATGTACAAAGAATCGTTCCTTCCTCCCTGCTTTACTCGTTCCATTACGCGAACGGATCGGAGAAAAGGGCCTGAAACAATGTTTGGCATGCACACTGGCATCGCTAATTATCCAGCAATTAGTTCCCCTTGGCGTCATATCGAAAAGATCATCGACAACTTAGTTTCGAGCTTACTTTCAAACAGTTGAGCGATTTTCGAATTTTATACAGACCAGTGGTTTTTCTTTTAAAATTTAATTTATCCTATTTGAAAATGTTTCTAGAAGCCGTTACAGAGAATTTAGTAAGTGATTTCATTCGACGAAAGCAGATGATGGAAGGGAAAATTGTTACTAATTGGAGGATACTTGATTACTAAAATGTAGAATGAATTTTTCCCTGATATCTGGATAGAAATGAAAATTTACGTCGATAATTCCGATCAGTCTGATTTCCAATGTTACGTAGAATTACTAAATTAAAATGGTCGAGTAATTCTCAGATTCCAGGGAATTTTCATTCTTATTTTTCCACCGTGATCACACTGATTATGGTAATGTGTAGTCTATTAATGTAATTGTCCTTTATTCTTTCATTAAAAAAAAAAAATGAAAAAGAAAGCCGTACAATCCACAAGAGTACAAAACATTCTGTTAGTTTCACACGTTTCGTTTGCAACTTTACCTGGTGTTGCGGACGAAGCTTTAAACGTGGGAGCGAACATAACGTTCTCTGAAAATATTAAAAAGGATTTTAAGAATCCGGTTATAATTGGAATAACATATCCAATTGACAGTCGGAATTACTACTACAAAAAGAAATAATAAATAATTACAACGGTATACTCTCGCGATCACTGTTGAAATTCTACAGGAACTGATAAACCACCCGCGACTTGTACTGTCGTTGTCAACAACAGTTGTGCTGTCCTCGACTTTACGAAAGTTTCTGTTTACCTAGTTTATCGCGATTAATTCAACTTTCACCCATCTTTATTTTCCAAGTAAAATCGACAACGAAACATAGAGATGAAATGAAAAGACAGGTAATTAATTTTGAAAATAAGGAAATGAATTTGATATCATAAGACGATAGTATATTTGAACCTTTGCTGGTTTTAGAGTAGTTGTACCGACGAAGTAAAATAACGAGGAGAAAAAAGTATGTGTCTATCAATTGCTTTGTCTATTTAAAATACTCTATTTAAAGGTGATATCCGCATTGACAGGGGCAATGTGACCTTTGGAAGCATGCCATGATTACTCCTGTTGGAGACAGCATTAAAAGACTTTGAATTGCTTCTTTAGGAGACCGGTGCAGACCATTAATACAGAAGCAAGCTTGATGAGCTTCGAAGGAGAAAGAGAAGTAAGAAAGGAGAGAAAAAATGGAAAAAAGCCGAGAACAGAAAGAAAGATTAAGAACTCTTAAACTGTACACTCTAATTCTTGTTACGCTCCAGGAACTTTTCTCTTGGAAAATGTTTCAAATTACTCGTCGGTTTGCATACATTAAAATCATTGGAAATTTTCCGAGATATTTCGTAGATTACGTTTGGAATTAATCGGTCAGTATCCTCCATGTTGGAACGAACAAGTCGAGACCGATAAAATTCGGTCACGGTCGCGGTCGCGGTCATTGACCAACGATCGTCGTCAATAGGGTTTCTCTAAAAGTGTCCTGGTACGCGTTGAATTGGAAGTAAATATTTGCCGAACTTTGGTCGCGTTTAAACAAAGAACCGAGCAGTGTCGGTAGAAAGGAGAAAATAAAGGAACGAAAAGGAAGAAAAAAGTCGGGAAAATCCATCGAACGTGTCCGAGTAGCGGAAGTGTTTGGTGAAACGTGTCCTAGTTTACGGCAGATTTCCGCGTTCATAGGACAACCTGTTGAACGAATCCTTAAGACGACACTCGTACCAGCACTTTTCCCAAAGCTCTGTTCCAGCCCCGATCGCCAGACGATGTTTCGGACGGTAAACTCACTTTTCTCCAGCATGATAGCTAGACAGGAAGTGACGTGTTTGGTTTCTGGTGAGACGGAAACTCGCGAGAACGAACCAAAAGCTCGAAGGACGACCGACGACCGACGACCGAGGACTGAGAGACGTCGCGACGCTCGGAACTCGGACGGCGATACCACCGCCATCGACGATGCTCTGCGTCGTTTAACTACGCAGAACCGACGATTTAGAATAGGCTCGTGACGCGACTCGTCGAAACGCTCGAAAACTCCCACGAAACCGATTACGAACGTGTGAAAAAACGAGCGTGAATTCGAACTAGGAATGGAGACACTCGAAACTCCTTCTTACTGTTCACGATATTATTTCCTTATATTATTTATGTTTTCGATCGAAAAAAGCATGCTCTACTTAACCAAGCAAAATCATGAGACGCACCTTTCCCCAATAGAAATCCTTTGCCAATTTTCAAAGCACTGTCAATCTCGTGCAGCAGATCGCTCTCATTGTCATTTTCCTTTGCCGCAAAATCAAAACCACTCCTTTTAACTAAGAAACCATGCCCAAAACGTAAAAAAAATATATATACATTTATTTTATTATATTTAAAGTGCAGTAATGAAACTTTAATCTCGAAAATGCGATTCGGAAGCGTTAAAATTGTGCGTGCACGTGAAATATTTACGGTTTCTGCGTGTGATGTATTTAAGAAGGTTGGAAGGAGCCCGGTTACGTTAATCTAAACTGTGAATAATTTTCTATTTTCAGCGATCCAGAAACAGGGAAGTACAACATATTATCGAAAAAATAAAGCATGTTCTACGGCGAGCAGCAAAATGTGAATAGGTAAGAAAATAATGTGACTATTTTTACATGGGAAGTGGGACATTTAAATTTATCATAAATATTCCACGATCGTATTAGTAAATTTGTTAATTGTTGCCAAGCTACGTCAAAAAAAAAAGCAGAGTGTATTTATGTAAGTAACGATCACAGATGATTGATTCACAGACGTATAAACGAATTCATGTACCTGTGTTTTTATTTGTTTTGCGTAAAGTAATTAAAGTAGATTCAGTGTGATGTAATCGACTAGAAATTTAGTCGCTGTGAAAATATAATATACAGAGATGTAAATATTGGATGTATAAAAGGCAGAGGTGTGCGAGAGTAGGTTTGAAACGGAGCAACGGGAGAAAAATAAAGCTCGTTGCTGTTACGAGAACGAGGTAGTTCCGAAAGGGTGAAGGTCTCGAGGAGTTTCAGCTAACTCGGCGAATGTAGTAGGTCGTGTTGCAATTGGTCGGAAATAGCCAAAAACGAGACGGTGGGGTTCCACCGTGAAACTGGACGCGCGACGAAACGTTCTACGAGCGCTGGCCTATTTCTCGATGGTACCTATATTTAGGTTCCCATTCTCGAATGAATCATGAACGTTGCAACCGACCAACCTGAGTCGCTCGTTATTATTCAACATCGAAGAAAAATAAACCTTTGGGCGGTAGATGTTCATCTTGACCGCATCTATGTACCTACTAGTAGTTTCTATGCTCGAACGAAAAGAGAACTATTTTCGAGTAAAAAGTGGAGAAAATAGTAAGGAATGACTCGTAGCGAGGACTCGTAGCGAGGACTCGTAACGAGGACTCGTAGTTTCGTTAGCGAGGACAAGCACGATACACCTACGACAATGCAAATCATGAATACGTCTATGAACGTGAGTTAGTAACTGTTACGTATTCGATTCTCGACACGGTGTAGCGATCTCTGAAATCCAAAGTCAGGCGAAACACTCGAGCACTCGGGGCACATTCAATGCCAGCATACAAAAAAAAAAAAAAGAAACTAAACGACGAACAACACAGCAATCCTCGATTTCCACGGAACTCACCGTCGTCGGTGGTCGACGTGGCGGATATTTCGAGGAACTCTTGCAAATGCTTGGGCAATTTTCTCGCATCCTCGAATTCCTTCCCGTCGATCAGACACTTTGCCATAGCGATCTCCTCCTCCTTCTCCTCCTCCTCGTCCAGTTTCGGTTTCCTCGCCTCGCGCTTTTCATCCTCTTTAGCCTCGCTTCCGTCGAGATCGATCCCGAATTTGTTCAGTCTGTTCTTTGCCTTTTCTATAAACTCTTTCTCGACGGCGCTCATGTCGCTCTTGTTGGACGTCTCGCTGGGTTTACGGATGTCCTGGTGCGTGCTGATCTTTACCACTTTGTGATGCTTCCTCTCTTCTCTCTCGAGCACTTTGTGCACGTACTCGTCGTACATCCTTCGACGAAACGCTTCGCCGTTCGGCAGGACCGCGGATGTCCTCGGTATCTCAGCTTCTTCTCCTCTCTTGGAGGTTTCGTTGGTTTTCTTGGTGATGACGGAACGCTCTTCCGTGGTATCGATTTTCTCGCGCGTTTCCTCCCCGTGAAAACCGTTCTCGCGAATCGTCTTCTTCCGAAACTGTCTGTGTCTGTGTACGTGTTTGTCGGTGGTCTCGGACCGATTTTCCTCCACGTTTTCAGACTTATCGTGCCAAGTTTCGCTCGTAACCCGAGCCTCGTCATCCAGCTCGGATGCACCTTTATCACCTCTCTCCTGCATCCTTTGTCCGACGTGCGTCCGCAAGTCCTCGAACGCCTCCTTCTCCTTCTCCTTCTCCTTCTCCTTCTCCTTCTCCTCCTCCTCCTCGGCCAATATTACGTTCTTCAGCTGATTTTCCAGCAGCTCTATGTACTTGAGCTGCTGCGCAAAGTACTCTTGCGGCACGGAATAGTTTCCGTGGTCCTCGGATGGGTCCTCCTCGTCGGTCTGAAGCTTTTTCAGATTCTGCACGATCTCCGTGGCCGTCAGGTGCTTAAAACTGTCCGCGTTCTTGTACTTGCGCGGCTCCAGGTGGCACCTGGGAGGATTCTGGTCGAAAATGCTGGTGGTGTCGATGCATGACCTGTCGACGTTCACCACGCGTTTCGTTCGCGGCGGCACTTGCACTCTGTCGTCGATCAACGCTGGATTCACGTTGTAACGCGGATCGATAGTCCTTCGAGGCGGCGTCCTTTTCCCGGCGGTGTCCGGCACGATGGACGATCTGTCGATCAGGGCGGTGTTCAACATAATCGGGCTCTTGTTAAACGGCGTCGAGCTCCTGACAGGCGGTTCCGGCCAACTACCAACGGTATTCGTTTCTTTTGCAACGTCGAAACGACTACCATAACGGACCTTATTATCAAGCTGTTCTCCCTCGACCGACGGTTCTATTAATAAATCATCGGAGAGAGATGTCGCGTGGCAGGAGATATCGACGGGATCGCGTCTCGCAAGGTTCAACCAGTCGCAGAGGCGAGTGACCTTGAGACGTTCCCGACCTTCCCGATCTACCCGACCTTCCTCGAATCTCGTCGATTTTCTTGTCGATGACTTGCTCGAATGCTTCGAGGCTTGGAGACTGTTGGAGTCGTCCGAGTTTTCTTTGATAATCTCCAGTAGCCTGTTGGTCGGTTTCCGGTCGATTTCGCCGGCAGGTCGTACCTCGACTCTGTACTTGGGAACCGGAATGCACGCTGGCGGCTGTTCCTCGTAATAACTGTGCCTGTTTAGGAACTTGTTGTGCAGGTCCAACAAATTATCCGCGCTCGTTTTAACGGCGGCCTTTTGCTGCGACGGCGAGAGACACACGAGAAGCTTCGGGTCCCTCGAACTGACCAGGCCCATCCACGCGTTCGAGTTCCGTTTACTCGGTAAGGATTTTTCCATCGTTTGGAATTTAGTCTGGTCTGAAACAGTAGTTTCGTACAAGTCGGGACGTTTCGAAGCTGTTAGTTTAGCTCGTTCGATCTGCCGATCATGCATATTTAATGGGCCTTTAATCTCGCTTCTCGTTACGTTGTTAGCAAATTTTTCAATAGAACAAAGACTCTCGAAGATGTTAAATTTAGGCACTGTTATTTCGTCGATTATTCGAACGCCGTACGGCATCGATAAGATTCGTTTGATGCAGAGATTCCTCAGAGACTCTGGACCAGCCGTGGCTGTTGCTGCTTCCTCCGAGCGAGTTTCGGCGTAATTCTCGCCACTGTTCAACGGGACGTAATACAAATCTTCCACGGGCGAGTAAGGTATAGGCTCCGGAGACAATGGAGCCTCGTGTCCATTCGCGACATTCTGCAACTCCTCTCCTCCTTTCAACAATGAAAGTTTGCTTTTCAGACTGGACGATTCGTCGTTTCTCCGTGCATCGCGTCTCGCTTTACTTTTCCTCGCTTCTTCCGCTATTATCGAATAAACGTCGGTCTGCCACGCCTCCATCGGGTTATACTTTACCGTGCTCAACGAAGTCGTACTGCTCGACGAGTCTTGAGGTTGACAATCGCTCGTCTCGAGCTTTTCTTTATCGTCGACATGCTGCTCCTCCTCCTTCTCCTCCTCTTTACTATTTAGCATGCGCTCGAATATCGCGGAAAAATCATTACGCTCGGTACTTTCATCCGAGCCGCGTCTATCGTGGTCGTTTTTCGAGCTCGAATAATTGTAGATTTCCTCAAATTCTTCCTCGCTCGTCGTCAACTCCTTCGTGCTCGTCGACGTATTTTCTCGCGATTCGATCCTTTTCCTGCTCGTTGTTGTATTTTTAGTAACTTTGGTGCAAACGTGCTTTTCCTCTCGATGCGATCGTTGATCCGTCGATCGTTTTTCGCGCGTTGCAGCAGTTTCACTTTCAATTTTGGCCTTATCAAGCGCCGTTTCGTCCGACGACGATTCCATGATAAGTTTCGCTGGCTTCGCGGATGATCCGTTCGCCTGGGACGTTGTCGTCGACTTGGGCGGCCAACATTTTTCGCGCATCTTTCGATCCGTGTAGTCAGCCGTTATTTCAAGACTTGTTCCATCGCCAAGGCTGGCGCCGTTCTCGACGTAATTGCGCAATTCGGCAATGCTGTCACTTTCGAAACAAGCCTTCGTCCCCCGAGCCCTTAACTCATCGACGATCCGACGAATATTTTCGGGCAATTCGGACGCGCTGCGCGACAGAGTCTCCACCAAACTCTCGATCGACGTCTCCGATCGTGGCTCGTCCGGAACAAGAACGTTTTCTTTGGGTAAAGGGGGACGACTCGGAGGACTGTCGTCGTCGTCGTCGGGAACTCGATTATTCGACTTTTCTTCGAGATCGACGTCCACGAGGCTGGACGATCTCTTTGGCGGCGTCGGAGGACGCCGTTGTTGTTCCTTTGGCGGTTCCGATTCCGGGAGGATATTGCTAACAGCGGACGATGCATTGGCCACTTGGTTACCCGTATCAATACCAAACGTTTCATTTTCTATAAATATATTCGGTTCCGAATTTTCTCCAAGATCGGTTCCCTCGTTTTGTGTTTCGGAATCGCCTTCTATCACTTCCTCTTTTATCCGTGACTCTTCTTTCCCTTTGTTCGATTCAACATTCTCTGCGATATCGTTCACATTTAGCGATTCTTTTATCAAAGTCTCCTTTTTCGATTCTAACGTTCTTTCGCATTTTTCCTCGCGTTCATTTTGTCGAAACAGCGCGTCACCTTCGGGAATAGAATTTTCCGTAACCTTCGACTCCTCCGTTTCCAACATCATCTCGTCTTGCCTCGCGTAATTCGATAACTCTGTATCTTTGTGAGAAATATTTATTTGAACTGGTTCCTTTGCTTCCGCGTCCCATTTCGTTCTCTCGAAACGACGCTCTTCCCTTCGATACTTTCCAATCTCCTCGTTGATGAAATCCCTGATGTGCTGTTCCTCGTCCTCGGAGAGCTTCTCGCCCTCCTCCTGTATAATGTCCAGGAATCTGTTTGCCGCCTGAGAGTGGGCGTAATAGGACTCGAGAGCCGCGCGTTTTCTCACCTTTTTGTACGTCGTGGTGAGAAGTTTCTGCTGGTCCGTCGAGTTGCACGGTTCCTCGACGTCCTCCGAGTACGTCGGCAATTTCAGCTCCTCGATAAAGCTCCTCAATTTCCTCTCCACCTCCTTTGGCATCACGCTGTCCCAAACGTGCCGCGCCTCGGAGTATCTCGGCCCCGACTCTTCGAAATCGGTTTCCTGGCTCACGGAGACAGCACCACCGCTGCTACTTTCCGGCGTCTCTTTCTCCACGTCCGATTCCATTTCCACGATAACCGGTTTAACGTTGTCGGTCTCTACGTCGCAGTCGCTGACGTCGTGTATCTGCAGCCGCTGCCGATTACTGCTCCTCGACGACTCGATGCTCTTGCTCGGCAAACCAAACGTCTCTAAAGGCTCGCTGATCGTCATTATTCCTGCGTTCTCGACCGTCTTGTCCTTGTTTCCTGTCTCTATTATACCGACTCCCGGAATGTGATCGATCCTACCCGCCAACGGCAAGCTGCTGATCGTCCTGATCTCCACAACCTTAACCACAGGCTGCACCGTGCTGCCTTTTCGGATTCTATACTTTTCTTTCTTTCTCTTCTTACATTTATTCTCGTCGTTTCTCGTTGATTCTGCTTTATTTTCGTCCACCTGTACGGTAATCTCCGTGGAGGAGTCGTTCGTTGACGCGGAATTCCAAGCTCCGACGTTCTCTGTATTTTCTACGACGCTGTCCTCGTCGTCGTCGTCGTCGTCGTCGTCGTCGTTGTTGTTGGTGGTGGTGGCAGTGGCAGTGGCGGTGGCGGTGGCGGTGGCGGTGGCGGTGGTTCTTTCGAGAATCGGGTTGGATTGAAGCCGCCTTTTGTTGCGACCCCTGCGATTCCTGCGGTTTCGCGTACCGTGCGGCATTCTATTAATCTCTTCCGTGTCCGTGGCGTACTCCAAGGACTCGGTAAATCCTGTGGAATCCCAGAATCGAGCGGATCTCGTTTAAATTTTCGTAAACAGACTGTCCTCCGAGATTATTCGAGGCAGATCGTTGCGTCGTTGTGTCCGCCGAGATAGCTTTCCACCCACGATTTCTCTTTAAGACGATCAAAATGCACCGGCATAAGATAGAAACGAAACTGATACGTTTCTTTGGAATAGCCTTCCTGACAAGATTCCGTCAATAAATCTAATGAATCGATTAATAGAGAATAAAAACAACAACAGCAAGACAGCAAGCCTACTCCTACTACTCGGAATTATTTTAACAATTATACGGGCAGTTATCTGTCATAGCGGCTACTATTATCGATAGAAATATGTTTAGACAGGCACGTATTAATATTTTAATATTAGAAAATATTCCATGTCGATACGATACACGTTGCGTAACAGGTAGTTAGTCTGAAAATATTACGCTTCCTTTATGGAGAATAGAATCGAAATCCTTGGTACGATTGTAAATGAAACCAGAACGATTTGAATGGTGTAGCGAAAGATTAATAAAATATATAGTTTGTTGCGATCGTGCAGCAAGCATGACTCAACCCAGCATTCAAAGATATCGGCTTAAGATGTTTAAAGAATAAAATGATCGTTCTTACTTTGTTTGATTTCGTCTGGTTGCTCGATCACGGAACACTTCGGACCACCGTTTTCATTGACGTGGCTTTGATCGGGTTTCGTGTCATCTGAAACAGGACGCGTCGCTGTAAACGTATGTACCACTCTTCGATCATAAAAAAAATCTAAAATACTCTATTTCGAAATGACGAGATACAGCGAATAGGTAGCGAAATAATTTAACAGCAGACACGGACCCGATGTTTACGAAATCCGTCAACAATTGCACGTATTTTGCCGCCACTGACAGCCGCTTCTGAATTCCGAATGAAACGCGAACGGGCCAGAAATGAGCGGCATGGCCTGTAGGGTCCATGAATCGCGGGAATGGACTGAGTGCGAACAGATCCATCAGCCGTGCAACACGCTCGTGTCCCCACCCACGCCTACGATCCTCTGTTTGCTCGCGTCTATATTCCCAATGTGTATTGTTTATACATATACGTACCAACGTATCAGAGATTCTCAAACCGTCCCTTTGATTCGTCGCGAAAAATATCCTCTCTGCTTTGATCGATAAAGGTTCTACATCGATCCCCCCCCGATCTATGTATAATAGATCCTAAGAAGGCGGTAACGTTCGTTTATAGACGATCGAACATTTTTAAGCATCGATACGCGATCAAACGATTCGCGTGGAAGAAAAAGTTTGAGAAACGCTGTGATAAATCAGCCGACAACCTACCACGTAGAGAATTTCGAGTTACGCTTGCGCAGCTTGTCCCCTAAATGATGTTTTTACGTCACACGTACCTACACACGTATTCTATTAAATACGGTGTATATTACGCACGCATACTTTGTTCGGAGGTTTGTGGGTGTTTTCAACGTAGACTGCCGCGGTCTGACACACATCGACGGACAAGGTGCGTGTCCGTCCCTCGTGCGACGCTCATGAATAGTGCCACTTCCGAGTTGAACTTCCTTCCGAGTAAACAATGCCGGCCGGCAGAACGCCACTATCGCGAGCACACCCATCCATTTTCCACACTTTTCGTTACATCACCAGAGTGGTGACACACGCACCAACAATACAGGCCTGCGACGAATTCGATGCGGAAGGAATCGAATCGGAAACCTATTTTTAGTACGTTGCCCCTTTTTATCAATACGAGTAAAACTCGTTTCTGCTTTTTGATCAGATGGTAGGAAGATAATGGTAAGAAAAGGAATCGAGTAGACGGTCGTTACGATGTCGGAGAAACGAGACACTGGAAAAAGAAAAGAAGCAATTTTGATGTCTGGATGTTCAAAGATGTCGTTTCTCTTTTCTTTGTTGCTCGAGTACGAATGGTTCTCTAATTAGATCTTGCTTCCCGAGATTTCAAAGGGTTGCACAACACTCCTCGAGATATAATGCAACGTACCCCTAGGGGACAGACGCGACTCTTCTCGCCAACAATATCGATTTATATGTACATATACGGCGAAAAGAATAGATCTCTTCGTTAGAAATAGGAGATAACCGACTAAAGGGATATTTATATCGATACTGCTAATTTCACCAACATCTTCGAAATAGTTTCAATTTCTTTTTATCATTTTAAAAAGTTTTAAGTAACCTTGTACAGCGAGTGATGCATAGAAACAGCGATGCGCACTATGCTTATTAGCTGCGTAATTGATCCGGTGATGAGACCGAGGAGACTCGTTCGTAATGCTTCGCCTAATATCAAATTGCTAGAGAACCAAGGACAACGAGAACAATTACAATGGGAGTGGCAAAATACGAAGGAACCACGCGACTCTGCTGTAATACCATTGCCAAGTTACAGCTGCATCCTTGTAGATGCAACCAACTTTAATATCGACGAAGGTTTCGAATAAATAATTAAAGTAAAATGAATAGAGAAATGGTGAACACGAGGTCTATTAATAAGATCATCGAGGATAGTGATAAAAGACAGGATAAAGGAACGATTACGCTTGGCCTTCCAATTACGTAACGAATCGGTGAGGAGGCAATGAAATATGTTGAGTGGATCGATGGCGTAACTAAAGCGGTAACGAGATCCAAGGAATTCCTCGCGAGGGTTCGGCTTTGGCGATGGGTAAAGGACGAAAGATGGAAGATGGGGCTGCGGAAATGCGGGCTTGGCTCCTTCGGGGCATGACGCGACAACGGCACACCCACCAAAGGCGCGTTAAAGCGTCGGCGTCACCGTCGCCGTCGCCGTCGCCGTCGCCGTCGCCGGGGCTTGAAAATTCTTTAATTCGTTAAAATATTTCAAACATTTACCATTTTCTCCGGCTACATCGAACCTTCCGTCCGGACAAAAGACCTCTTCGTTCGATAAAACCCTATCAGCGTAATCGGTTTCTTTCGATATTGAACAATTATTTGGTACCGTTTCCTCTGACGGTTCGGTGAAACTTCCTTCGCCCTCGATATCCATACTTTTTTCATCCACGCCTTGTTGGTAAAACTCGCGCGGATCGTATTCCTCCTTAAATCGTACCGTTTTAGCTTCCTTGCCAGCACCCAACAAACAACTTGCAGTCTCCGCTTTCTTCTTCTTCTTCTTCTTCTTCAGAATAGGTGCCCTAACGAACAAACCTATCATGGCACCCTTCAGATCCTCGTTCGAGCAGAATCTTCGAAACTTGGACTTTGTTTGCTCGTAGTTGGAGGCGCGGAGTACCGTTTCGGGATTAGAAAAGTCCGTGGCTGGAATCTCGGGGATGGCGACGGTATTCATTCTTCTAAAGTCCAGCGTGTTTAGCTTGTTTTCAAAGTTTTGTCTGGCCTCGTCGTTCCTGAAGCAAGCCGGGGGCTCGATGAGAAACTTGAGCGCCTCTAGGTGTTGGTAGTATTCGTGCTCGAGTTCCCTACGACCGATCCCGATCCCGATCCCGATCCCGATCCCGATCCCGAGTCTTCCGCTTCCCTCAACTTGGACGTTCCCTTTCAGAATTTTCGTCCTGGTCGAGTCCACCGTCGAATAGAATAGTTTTCTGGCCGACGAACCATTTCCGTTGCCTCTTTCCGACGCTTCTCGATGCGTTTCTAGCCGCCTCTTCGGACTTTGAAATCTTTTCCCGCGTTTCCGCGACGAACGAAACGAACGTACCATCGCCAGTAACCGAGACGAACTCAATGTTACTTTCGACCTGCGTCGTCGTCGTTTCGTCGCTCGTGTTGTTCTTCCCGAACAGTGTTTGTTTTGAAACGACGGGTTCGAGGTTTCCGACGAATCTGTTTCGTTCGCCCCGCCGAAACATCGCGTGCAATCGAACAATCTCATTGTTCAACGCGAACGCTTTTAATCTGTTCACCAGTGTCCATCCAATATTCAACAAAATTTCAAGCCCACGATTATTATATTACCAAAACGCTGTTTGCAAGTTTCACGACTTTTGTTTCTTCTTACGTAATTATAGCCAAGCTAACGCATTGCTTCGCATTAGAGCGATCATTAAGGTTAGAGCCATTGTGATCGGAAAAGTATATCCGTTTTCGATCATCGATGAATCCCCAATGGTTCCGGTCTGAATTACGTAACTCGGATGCCTAATGCATGCCCGATATCGATGAGAATTCAGAGCAAGCACGCCAACATTGGAGTTCGATTTCTCATTATACTTTCCACGTTATTCGATGGATAAAAAGTGCACCGTACGATCAATTATTGCCACGATTCAAGGAAAGAAAAGAAGGAGGATGACTGCGAAGAAACTATTCCTTTCAGAAGAATATTGTTCCGCGTATAATTGGGTAACAAGAGAATTTACCACGGGATCGAGTACTTCCGATTATTACCGGTTAAATTGTCGTTTCAACTTTCTGGAATGTCGGTTTGCGTGTAGATCGGTGATCAAGGAAACACATTCACTGCGGCCAACGTTTGGATCCACTGTTAAAAAAAGTCACAAAGTTTGCGAGATCGATGAAACCGTCGACCGAGGACGCGGCATTTCTGAAATGGAAAAGAACGAAACGATCGAGTTTAACCGGCACACTGGACAAAGTGTCTATGAGCACTGACAGAAAGGTGGGTCACATGGAGGTTCGAAGAAGGAAGAAGAAGAGGGTCACCGTCTTGGGGCGTCTTCTGGCGAACGACGAGGGTGCGGCGTGGCGCGGCGCAACGCAACGCGTCGTCCAAGAAACACAAACGAGACGCGTGACTGTGCTGGCAGGTGCATCCTGTATACGTGTTGTTAGTTGTTTGTGTAAAAAAAAAAACAGGTGTGTTGGTCTGTAGAGAGCGCGATCGTTTGCAGAGCATAAGTGAACCGTGGGTACACGGTGCTCGTCTGCTCATCGTTCCATGACGGCACACCAATTTGCAAAAGAGAGCACGTGATGTAGACCAAAGGGAAAAAGAACAAGCCAGAGGAGGACTACTATGCTTCTACCGTAATTTGCGTTTGTCAACGCGTTTATTTAAAACCACCCCATTGTCTACGTTTTGAATCGTATCGAACCATTCGGTCAGATCCCCTATCGATTTTCCCTCCAACGAATCTACCGCTTCCTTCTATTCTTTTACTTCTTAAATTTTTATTCCAACAAAAACATGATATAGAAAGATATAAAATAGAAAGTCACTCACTTGTTTCGTTCTTCTTCGATTCTGTCGTTAGAATCCGTGTATTCGATGCGCTTATATGTTTCGTCGTCGTTGTCTCTGTAAAATAAACATGATCCATTCTCTTAATCTAATATGGAAACTAATAAAGAAAATAAATAAATATGTAGAAAATTTATAGTACCGCATAATAGAACGCAAGTCGATTCGTTGGAAAAATAGAGTACAGTTAGCAGAGTTATTGGCAGACTATGATGAGTCGCTCCAATAATTATAGTAATAAATATGTCTATGTATACTTACTATTGAGAATTTCGGTGGTAGTATTTTCCTGCAAACTGCTCTTGTAAATACGTCTCTTTGGCGAGCCAATGTTTTCCCTGTAAAGAGACAATTACGTTTTACCGGATAACGATAACTTTTTTTAAACGAATATTTACAAAATGAACAATCATTTTGCCGAATATTCTGAATAAAATTTTTCTGAAAAAAGGTACACGTAAAGTAACTTACTGATTCAGACCAAGCTTTAAGTGCTCCCCGGCATTTCGTAAGAGTGCGTGTGCCTCGCTATTCGTTAGGTCCCGGGTACTCCTCTCGTTAATGCTGCTAATTAAATCACCCTCTCTCACACCCTGCTGTGCCGCCTTACTGCCCGGATTAACCTGCAACGAAAATTTACATTTGTTCCTCGATTACAATGGGATCGTTTCTTTGAACATTCATTTATTTAAGAGCGTGCAACGCGAGGAGAATTTACCGCAATCACTGATCGATTGCGCTCTGGGTCCGTTTTGACCCGCATTTCATTCCTACGATCGATTACCTTTAGGTTCCCTGCTACCTAGAAACCACCGTACTCTTTTCAAAAATACCGTCCTGACGTTTCACCCCAACATTACAATTACCTTTACCAAAGGTCCGATAATACGCTGATACCGATATTGCTTTCCTGGTTATCATTTCTTTCAAGTACCAATGTTTCTATCACTGGATCAATGACGGAAACGAATGGTCCGAGTGTTTAAAACGCAAGCGAACGAATTATGTCTGCACACGATTGAATGCCGTGCGAGAGAAATCACTTTGAAATTTACTCGTTAACCACCCCCCACTTTGGTGCTTAAGATTCTCACCGTGTAGCTGCACTTTCGTTGGCCCGACACTCGGAACTTGAGCATGTTGGAAACTTCCACGATGTCCCCGACGTTGTCGATATATCAACGAGAACAATGACAAGGTTCGAGTAATCCGTATCCTCGTCCGGATACTTTTTTTAAAATACTAATCGAGGTTCGAGCAACGCCTTAAGTAATAACGAGTCCATTTCTATTATCTGGTAACAGCCCTCTCTACAAATTACGAGTGTAGAAAACTTTATAGACCCGTTTAAAAAAAAACACTGCACCAACGATTTATTCGATTTGTTTTCTATACCAACAGATTCATAATTCCCAAATTACTTACAAATTTACTTATCGACCATAATAAACGCATGTTGGTAACGCAGCAAACTGCACGTGAGAAACGCGGTGAAATCACGAACTACAAACAACGGTTCCTAGATTCTATCGATAACGAAACATTCGACGGAACTTTTCGTTAAATAAAACCATCGAGTTTCTTTTAACCGTATAATAGCACGGACGAGGTATACGAGTAATTAAAAAATTAAAATGAACAAAATTTCAAATCAATAGCTGTGAGAAATGTTTCGGTAAAAAAAAAATTTTCAATTTTCGAATACGGGGGTCAATTACAATCATATTTGGTGAATAGACATACCCTCCTCGATATCTTAGCCAGTTTCTAGAAAAAAATTCGAGAAGGTGTGAAATTTTTCGGCAAAAATAAAATTTTCAAATCGTTCTGAAAAAATTATTTTCAGTCGCGGGGGTCAATTACACAAACATTTTTGGTCATTGGACATACTCCCGAATTCCTACGCACTTTCGAGACAAAAATTCCTTACCGAAAATCTAATGTGTCGGCAGAAATGTTTCTGTAATTTCATTTGCTGTCTCACTTTCCCTGGTGTTAATTTCTGTAACCTGTTGGTAATGTTGGGAATTACAGGAGAATAGTAATGGGGTTCTATATCTCCATAAAAATGAACCGAAAAAATAGATCGTATGTAAAGTGTACTCGTATACCTCGATTGTGGTAATAGTGACTGTTTCGCCATATGGTCGACTATCTGGAGGTTAAATGGGATCAGTAGCGCCTTGTTCCTACTTGCCGTTAATTACCCGAAGCCCTCGCGTGGTATCAATTGTACGAATCGTCGATGTCACTGTCAATTAATTCAATTTAGATGGATCCGAAGTAATCGAGCTACGCAAAGTCAGCCAACAACCAGACGATTCACCGTCCAACAAACGACTCTGGCCTGGCTGGCATGGTCCACGGAAGCTGTTTGCGCTTTCAGGGGACCACAGAGACGCCCCTTTGCATTATCAGTGAAAAAAGAAGAGAATTTGACGAGAAGCAGATGTTACTTTTCACCGATAATCATGCAGGCGCATCTAAAAGTGCTCGTGTTTCTACGGTTTTAGTGGTCGTTTTAATTCGCAACGAATGCTCGGTACATCGAAACGAATTACGAATTATCCAACGACGACCATACATTTACGAACTCTGTATTAGAATCTATCGTGAGATCGCGTTGAATGGATATGTATGTACGTATGAATAAGAGTAAAGTAATAGACGCGCAAGCATAGAGAAGAAAAGAGAGGGAAACGTGTAATTGTATCAGAATGTTATGTTCCGGTGGAACGGTATTCCCGCAATTGCAGGACCGCGCGTAAGAAAAACGTGAAAGACAGAGAAAAACTAACTCGTTGGTCGGTCGACGAAAGACCGTCAGTGGTAAATTGGACGTATTAAGCGACATAACTTGAGCCACTCCGCCTACTTAATCTTCGCAAAAAGAAATATATTAAGCTGCCTGTTCAAGACTTTCATCAACGACTTTTCACTCGCGCGTACATACACTGGCTAACATAATCTTTAATTTGAAGTATACAAGTTGGTATTTTGTTGCGCGAGCGATCAAACAAAATAAAATCACATAGTATTGTTCGGATAAGCGAACTACTCCATGTATGCCTACGCATGTACATACGTATAACTATATTTGATAAAGAAGTTGTGTTCACGAGCAACAGATTGAAAATGTACGAGCAGTCGATGAGGTAAGTCGTTTAAAAATATATCGTCGGCGACTGTGGCCAATGATTTTGCACGAGGCTTTTACATCTGAAAATTCATTTCCGTCTTGTTGAAAGAGCCGACGCAGATCAGCAGCTGTACCCTGTTACGTTACAACGTTCTCGTTCCATTCTCATTTTATGATTTATGCCATTTACATCCACAGGATGTTCCTTTCAAACCACTTACGTTTCTTGGTTGCTCTGTTATTTTATCGAAATTCTAGTTGCCCTTTCTTTTCTACGTACATTTTATCATCATTTTCGTACTTGTCCGTTGCGCTGTCGGGCGTTTCAGCCGGCCCCGGTCGTCCTCTTATCCGAAATTATAATTACTCCATTTGTTCATTTCGTTGTGCTTTTTTTTTTCACCGGCGTTAGAATGACCTTCGACCGATGAGCTTGAGCAGAACTCGGCTCGTTTTAAAATAGCCGGTCGCTTCGCGCGTCTCAAGTTTCGCATGGATTCTGGCGGAAGCCGATACGCGTCGACATACCTTTCGTTTACTTCGATTACACCTTGCTTTCGTTGCACGGTTCACCGTTCGGTCCAATTCGAATTTAAATCGAGTCGATCATTTTTTTAAGCAATTTAGCCGGCAACGAGAAAATACTTTTCTGAAAAAATATATTGCAATTCTACTTGTCGGGTTATGGCAATTTTACAAATAATATGATTGTTTTTCAGAGAGCCAACGGTGGACCTTGGACGCTGTTTTAGAAAATTTGAACGAAAAATTGCAGCAGCTGGGAAACGAGAAACCTACAAAAAAAAACGACACATCCATCAAGTAGGTTTTATATTAAAATTGTCTGACATTGCTCTTTCGTCGGCCTGGGTTTCACGATCACTCCCTCTCTCAATCGTCAACAAACAATTCTTAACGAACACGTCTCTCTCGACGACATTGAAACCGATGGTCTTCAACGAAACAGTAGGTTTTCTTTTTTAATATTACGCTTACCGATCCTTTGAACTTTTTACTCTAAACGATCCAAGGAGATGGTAAAAACATGCGTTGGTTGTTGGTTGTTGGTTGTCGCGTCGCGTCACGTCACGTCACTGCTTGGTTACGGATGTTGCACAAAATTTTTAAACAATTTTCGCGCGATCAACGAGTTTCTTCTTGATGTCGATGGCACCGAGACGGTTGGTTCACTGCGTCCGGCTTGTCGCGAGCCACCGGCCAGTGCCTAGGACAATATTAGAATCGCCGATTTGTAAGCGTTTCTCCCTCTCCCCCACACACTCCTCTCTCTCTCTCTCTCTCTCTTATTCTGTCTTTACCGACATTCTGACGTAGTTGCGTTCTCTTGTCTCTGTCATTTTTTAGTCCGTCCTCTTTTCGTTGTCTCTTGATCGTCACATTTCCGCTTAATTTTATACTCGGTTTTCATTGTAGTTGGCACGTTGGTCCCTTCAGGTCCAAGGACTTGTTTCGACAAGTTAGCAACTGGCACACGTGCGTGTACCATTAGAGCTCCCAATGGAATCAATTCAATGGCCACATCCATTAACCCTCGAACCGTCTTGCCAAGTCTAAATGGCAAACTCTGAATCCATTTTCGAAGGAATTTGCGTCATCGTACGAATTTTGACGAATGAAAATAACCACTGGCAAGTGGTGGAAAATCGTCACGGAGATGATAAATGTTCGAAACTCGAAAGAACAATGTTTCGTAATGCATAAAAGTAAATAGTTAAAGAATGCACGAACCTTGTTCCGATAAGTGCTAGGCAGACAGGCCCACTGCGCGTAACTCATGTGAACCATCGCGGAAGAATTTCTTTTTATCGCGTGAAAGCACCTCGAGGATCGTCGTTCGTCTCACCACACTCCAACTCTAACAACTACCGTATGCAAGTAAATGCTCCATCGGCCGTTTCTCACGTATACGTCGAACGATATTTAAATCGCGGAACAAACTGATCGAACGCGGAGATCGACGGAAAGCAACGGATAATAGTTATCGATCTAGCTGTCGTTGCGTCATGACGGTCGATAATTGCTTTTCCATGACCTTCTCCGCGATATCGATCGCTGTACATTAAAAAGATAACGAAATTTATCTATCCCGGGAAATCGCGCGACAACGATCGTTTTACGATGCAGCGCGCTGCACAACCAAGGTAAAAGCACGGGGATGTCGCGTTGCAGTTTTAAAGACGCGTCGATAGGGGTCCGGTCGACGAATTTTCGTGAAATTTCACCGTAAGAGGAAACACGTGCGCGTTCCAAGGCGTATCCGTTGGTACTCGTCGCGCAAAGGATACGTCTCGGCGATTAGTATACTCGAGAGCCAGCGATCGCTGCCACTGGCCCCAACTCAGGGAACCTCGACAACCACTCATTCCGCGCAGTCGAGGCATACGGGACCCTCAGGCCCGTACAAACAGAGGTGGTCTTCGAAGCTGCCATTTCTCACCATAATTTCAATTTTTATCGAGCTAAATTATTTTCTCGGGGGAAGAATCTTCGTTCGAGTAAAGAGCAGGGTTTTCGTTTCCTTCCGGGATCTCCTTAAAATCCATCGTAACCGGCCTGTCTAAACGTAGGACGAACTGCTGCTGCTGCTGGGTAAAGCTTCGCGATACACGTGCTCGCTTAGGTTCCCACGACCTCCGTAACCCTGCTGCCCGAGAGCTGTCTATAGCCTGGACAGTGTCTTGCAATTATTTCAACCATAGATCCACCCCCGAACGCGTTAACGTGCCATTGTACACGATTCTCTACCTGTCCACATTTTTATCTTTTGCCTATCAGCTATAAAAAAACAAAGAAACAAACGACATTAGAACGTGTTCCTCTCGAAACCATTCCATCTTGTATGGAACATTGATTGAATCGTTTAAAGAAATTGGAGAAAAGTGAGAAAAGTCGAGGAGTCCAGGGTGGTAGGAAAAGTGGTAGGAACGGCCCTGAAAAGCCAAGCTATCGAGAGGACAAAGCATAGTCGTGTGTTTTGTACGGTTTGCGTTATGCGGGCGTTTCGCGCGAAAGGGGCGTACGAAACTGTACCGAAGGGAAGGCGCGCACACACGCTCGCTACCACATGACTCACCGACTTACCGAATGACCAATCAACTAAACAGGGCCCCTCCTTGCACTCAGAATGCACACGATTGCATAGCAAGGCTCGCTCGAGTCTCGAGCCGAGCGATGCTCGTCAAAATGCTATTAGCGACCGTTTGCCCCCTGCTCGTTCAAATTGAAAACGTATGGCGCCCCCTCCATCCGACCACCGACCACCGACCCCCGACCCCCCGACCCCCCGACCCCCCGACCCCCCGACCCCCCGACCACCGACCCCCCGACCACCGACCACCGACCACCGACCCCCGATCCTCCGCGATTCTTCTCGGAAATGCGTGCACGTATGGAAGTATACTCGTCGATGGTACTTTATTCGTTGTCAATAGAGAGGCAACGCGGCTCTTAACCTTGCGTCTGCTCGCGGTGAAGGCACTCGAGAGCGCAAGTAGCTTCCAGACAGTCGTACAAAATAGATCGCAGCTTCGAATATGCTCGACGAAACTTGTACGAAACTTTACAAACGAAGCGTAAACGCTGCGTTGTCCACCGACTCCAACTCCAACTCCTTCCATCTATTTTTCTTTCTAACGCGTACCTATCGAAAAGGTAATTACGTAAACGTAGAATGCAGCGTGTGTTTAAATATTTAACGCGCAATTTATCGTGGTAAATTCTCGAAAGAGCGACTGACTTTGCGCCACGACTTTGAAGATAACAATAGGCAGAGAAAAAGTTTCCCTATCAATATTCTCCGCGAGACCTTGGAAAACGCGGTGGAACGACGTTCTTTGGTCGTGTTCAGAGGTAAAAGTAATCGATCGCGGCGCCTGCAGACCCGCGCAGCACAACTGCAGCCTGCATGCCCGGTTGCAGAAGGGTAGGCGTGACGGCTCTAAATCCAGACTACGCCAATGGATGCGGCAAACGCGAACAAAAGTGTTGATATTTTCGTTATTCGATACTTTACCGTGCACTCGTTACTTCCAAACATATTATCGATCCGTCGATTGTCAAATTATTCGTATTTCCTTCTTCGAAATTCATGTTTCCTTTCTATGCGATTAATAAATACTTTATTATACGGAAAAAATCACTTTTTTAGACAGCATACGACGGTATCGTAACCTTCTACGAACACTTTTTCTTTCTTTTTTCCTTACTTATGAATCTTAACGAATACGTAAATTTGTAACCGTCGGGAGTTGTACCGTGAACCGATACGAGTATCGTTTAAAACCGTTATGTTGTTGATTCGCGTATCGCAACAGTTGAAAAAGTTCAAGTTACGTCACGTTATCGAGGAGTGTAGTTGATGAAAAACATGCGAGGTGCGATTGTTCGAGCGACGGGAGATAGATAATTGGTATCTTGAATCGGGAAATCAGTGTCTTGTTCGTAAGGGTCAACAAACTTATTATAACATGTAGACCATGCTTGGTAACTGTAATAGTATCAACTAACGCGGGCTGCATAATAAGGACGTCAATCTGTGTTCCTGATTGAGGTCACGTGGACAGCCGTTGAATAAGCAATGCGAGTCAACGATGACTGATTCAACATAATCGGCATTCGTTACCTATATTTCGTAAGAGTGCAACTGCACCACGAGCGGAATAACAACGAATTATTACTATTCGAGAGAAAAGACTTTGATCCATCGTGTGACAGCCAATCTATACATATACGATGATTCGCGTCACAGCGAAAACAGCTTCTTGCGGATTGCGAATGCCTTGGTATGCCAATGTTTTATGAATTTACTCGACCGTTTCTACCTAAGCGACGTGTATGTATTACGACGTCCGTCGCGCGATAAATAAGGCATTACGTAATTTTCTATTACATTTGATGCGAGACGGAGGAAAGAGTTTAACGCGACTTTGTTCGCGTTCTCACTTGTTTACATTTACATTCGCGTATGCGCATCTAAAAGTAGATGCGAAAGGAATTTCGTTAAAATGTACAGAAATATCTACGGTACGATGATGATAAATATTCCCCTAAAATTCTATCAATGTATAGACGGACTGACCGAGTTCTATATTTTCGTATCTATTTCAGTTGAATTACCGTGCCGTCATCACCAAACATATACATATGTATAACAGAGGAACATACGTGCATACATATTCCTAATGCGCTAAGCGTAAAAAGTACTGCGTACTCCTACTCGAGTTTCCAATCGTTAACAACGAAATTTACATCCTATCGACTTGTCACATTTTACAAATATCAATATACAACTTATCAACCTTTATTCTTCACGCTTTACAATCTCTATACGCCTCGGTCGGTTAAAGCTTACTGCTTAAAACTGATGAATTTAGAGAATAAAAAATGAACATTTTAAAATCCCTGAAACATGTTTCGATGATCCTTTTAACGTTCGATACGTGTGCGTTGTTGGACGACTAATTAATCAGAGAGAAGACCCTCGGGATGCTTATCCGAGGAGACGGTCAGTTCATCTGCTAATGGAACAGACGTGTCAAACACACGAGTTGTCGCTCAATAGAGGAACAGCAGGACATGATCTTTACAATCTATTACCGCCTATAAACGTAAAGTAGCATTTATCAACGTAAACCACGTCGGAGGATCGGTTACACATTTTGGGCTTGTGTGAGTTCGAGTGGTGTTGGAGTGATGGATCCCCTTTATTTTATCGATCGTATACCATGGATAAAGAAATCTATATCGGTATTTTAAAAGAACGTGTCCAACATAGTAGAAATAAAATGCAACTACAAAACGACTATACGACTGTTGTAACGTGTAACTGTCGAAAGAGCTTCCCTTTCGTGGTAAAAGAAACAACCCTAAACGCTGCTCCTCCGACATCGAAACGATCAATTATGCTTAATGAAACATTCCGTGAATAAACGTACCCTAGAAATGCGTAGAGGTTGATGGAGGTCATGTCCACCGTGCATGCGGAACCCCCAAGGGGAGCCCCCGAGGAGGGTGACTTCTCTCGCACTCATCCCGTCCTACACCGCTCGCTTATACGCGAGATGCCGCGCCGCGACGCGCCACGCCGCGCCACGCCGCGCCACGCCACGCCGCGCCACGCCACGCCACACCACGCCGGTATGTTGTTCACTGTTATAGATATGCCACGCCGTCTCGTTTCTCCGTCGCAAAGCAATTAACAAGGTCGCAGTTCACGCTCCGTAGTGCAAAATTCCCAATCTCGCGTAAATTCTTCTCTCTTACGTGGAAACGATCGCATCTCTGTTTACTGGCATAAATTACTATCACGGAATACACGATACACTCGAATCGGTACTCTAGTCTTTATTTAACAGTATCGTCGGTGGTCATAGTTCGTTCGTCCAAGTGATCATCAGAGGGACCTGTTCATTTTTTTAACCACCCATTTTAATCGACAGAACCGATGAATAATGTCAAGACGACAACGCCAACGACAGACGTAATTACAAGCAACGAGGAAAAACATGCAAAAACACGACGTACACGGTTCGGTGGCTCGCGGACTACTGACGGCGCATTCCCCTCTCCCGCATATTCGTCTGCGCGACACCCTCGCTGCTTACCATCCTGTCAAACTCACGCCACCAACAGAACACGCGTATGTACCCTCCCCACTCTTTTACAAAGCCACGATCAACGTTTCTTAACCTACGATCCAGATTCGTTTCCAACGAACCACTTGTGGCTTATGGATCATATTCTATGTATACCAGAGTTGCCCACATTTTTATTCATATTACGAACAACGGATCTATCGTTTTATCTAGCTAAACTTCTATCTATACGTATATGTATATGTATACGTACTTACCGTTCATTCTCACATCACGAATAAATGTTTACCTAAATAAAACTTGTATCTGTGCCTTACAAACTAACATTCATCTACTATTGGAAGACGAAATGTTCGGACACTGTCCCAAAAACTAAACCACCTCTATCTTCTATTCTCCCTATTTCTTACCTTTTTAACAGTCATACCGCATTCTAGTGAAATTTCCATATATTCGGTACAGAAAACTACAGATATAGGACCTTATTACATTAATAAAATTAACATTTAGTAAAATTACAAATATTCAATTTCTAACGATTATTATTAAACAATGGAATCCAATGTTTTATTTAGGATATTTCCAATATTTTCATTTCCAATCGCACAACAGAAAACCGACCGACTCGAAACAATCAACAAAGGAATTAATTAATTTTTATCATTTATCATAAAGGAGCGATGTTGATGAGTAACTTGGTAGATGGGACGCTGGCCAGAGGTCGCTAATAGTTCGTTCTCAAAGATGGCGGCTTTAAAGTCGCCCGAAATACATACTTATGTACTTCCAGTACTTCGTATGCGCAAATTCCTCCATACCGCATTCAGTCATTGATCTCTATATTTAATGCCCGTATCTAGACAAATAGATCAGTGACGATAACAGATATAATGATTCTACGTATCTGTGACGTGCAGCCACCAAGTGCTAGAAATAGAAACCTTCTAATTAGGAAAGCTGGAAATTTTTATGTTTATCATTTTCCCCTCAAAGTATTCAGGCTTGTTAGTTAAATTAATCAAAGGGATAGAATTTAGATACAACTTGGTAGCATTATTACAACGATGTTAATCTCATTTCAATATTGACTAAGAAATTACAATTTTTCAAACGCAACAATATGGTTGCTCATCTTCTATGACGATGTGATCGAAGCCTTTAATTTTAAGGGCGCCTACGCCATCTTTATTTATATGTAGTGGGGGGTAACAAAGTGTGCAGTATTACTCGTAGAATTTATAATTATCAAAAACTTAATCAAAAGAAACGCTTATTCCTGCAATGTTGCGGTCTTATAAATTGTAATTACCCTTAAGGTAAATCATAATTTTTCAGAATCAGTATAAAGTTATTAATGCTATTGCTGGATCTTCGTGTTGTTAGTGATAGCTATAAGTTTTTCCACAATTGTAACTCGGATAAAATGGATTATCGTCAAAAGGTAAGGAGAATCATAATATATCGGTTAACAAGTCCATGGAAATGATTTATTGCTAAACGATTGATACGGTACGGTGTACATATATGTTCATTATATTTATAACATTGTCACAAATCGCGTATAACGTTTGCTTCAAACTGATCTAGAAATTTATATTTAAGTAATTATGTTATGTTTGTTTATTTAACTCGGTCATTAAGTTTGTTTATTAGCTATAACGAAAGTGTTGTTAAAATGAAACGATAGCTAAGGTATAAATCTATATATGTACTTCGATTTTCTCCGCATATTTACATATACTTGTACAAATTAAAAACTGTTTCTATCAAAAAGATCGTTGCTCGACTTTGCTACTTATTCTACCAACTTTTACATTTATGACCATTGCCCTTATAAATAATTTATATAATATAGAAAATTTTTATTAGCACCGACGGATGTTAAATTTTTAAATTAATTATTTTGCAGCAGCAGCAGCAGCAGCAGCAGCAGCAGCAGCAGCAGCAAGGCACAAAGAACGATGACGAGGATGATGAAGATTTAGAGGCATTGCGATTAGCAGCATTACAGTCTTTAAGAACAAAAGCCACTATACATTACAAAAAGCAGTCCCCGCTACAATTACAGAAGGTAATGCCAGAAGTAAGGCAAACATCTCGTCCGTTATATAAAAGTCAGCAACCGCAGAGAAGAGGATATTTTCCTAATCAATTACAACAACGCCAGAATGGGGTAAGTTTATTAATAATTTTCATATAACTTGATGTTTTTTTAATATCTTGATAGAAAGTGTATGTTTTTAATGTTATTTAACAAAATATATACATAATTTAAAACGTTTATATCTTTGTTAATTGTATGATTTCATTATTATATGTTTTAAAGTTTATTTTTTTAGATTTAACAATTTTAGTGACTTTTACCGGTTAATGTACAAGTATTTTTTCATTATTTTATGTATTATCCACTCTATACGTATATTGTATAACGTGTCTACCCATGCGTGAGCATTGCACTTACTAACCGATAAAAGTTTAATGTTTCCTAAAAACATTATATATTAGTATTTAACTATATAAAATTAATATTTGAATATATTATTTGGAGTAAAATGCTTTTAATAAAATATTATGTGCTACTGATATTTAAATCAGTTTTTAAATGAATTAAATTATATCGTATGTATTTTTCAAAAACTGTTTTAGAACAACATTATCAAAGACTTTTTCAAGTTTTGCAATGTTACTATAGCCCACGGCATATAGTACAGACAAACTTTTTTTTTTTATCATGACCAAAAGGTGTTTTTTATTGCTCTTTGCGTAACAAAGTTCTTTTCTATCGTTTCTTTAACTTTATGAAATATTTGAATTACGTAAAGCATAATTATCTTTTTTCTAAACAAAATTAGAGAATATAGAGGAATTAATGAGTTAAAAACAATTCGGAAAATGATTTGTTACGTTTCGGATTATGTCGAATAATTCGACTATAATCTGCTCTGAATCGAACTCGGTCCGTAATGTCGGCTACCCGTACATCCTTACTTGATAGTCTGTTTAAAAATCTTGGAAGCCTTGAAATTTTCGATAACTTTTCAAAGTTTAATGAGTATTTTCTCATACAGAATGCTTTCGTTACTTGTTTAGTGCCAAGATTTTATTTAAAATTTTCGAATTTTCGAATTTACATTTTTGTTCCTTCTTTTAGTTGTGTGTTGGTTTTATTCCATCTTTGTGTTAGCCGACGCTCAGTAAGTATCATATTTTTATTTACAGAATTTATATTATCAGAGTCCACGTAATCCAAACTTGATCGCGATAGTTCCTGTAGACGAACATTCTCTACTTCAACAAACTGATTTAGTTTGTACCGTAGACAAAATTGGTCCACGCGTTGAATCACATTCAACAGGTATGGTAGTATAGATATATTATAAAAGTGTTATGATTTTAATGATATTTCTACATATTTTCTTACCTTTTAACCTTACCTTTTACCACGGATATTTTTTCATTTTTAGAAATATCAAAGTTTCATCGTTTTAAAGACAATGGAAGTGGTTCTGACGATGAAGATAATAAAGATAAAAAAAAGACGAATACAGAAATGAAGATGATCGAGAAGGATGGTGGGAAAAGTGAAACAGCTGCGAGAATTGAAAATCGAGTCGAAGCAACAGAAAAATTGGAAAAAGCCGAGGAAAAGAAAGAAGACATTAACGATGACGACGACGATATACTTCTTATGGCTGATCTCGAAGAGGAGGACAGTTTGGAACGCTTAATGGATGAAATGGAAAGAGAGATGAACGTTGATAAGCCGTCTGATAGGAAGGAAAAAAGAAGTAATAAAAAGGGAAACAATGATTCGATAAAAAAAGATGAAGTAAGCAAGAATATAAATCAAAAATACAAAACAGAAGACTGCAACAGTAGAAAGGATTTTTATAATGCTGCTTCGACGGTGCCGCTTTTAAAAAACGAAAGACGGTCCATGTCCCCTTACACCAATCGAATTTCGCAGAAACGTAGGTCGTTGTCACCCAGATCACGATCACGGAAAAAATCACCTAGAAGATCGCCTAGAAGATCACCGATTAGGCAGTCAAAAAAATTTCAACGAGAAATAACGAGGTACAGATCGCCTCGAAAGTCTCCGGTACGATATTCTCCGCGTTCACGATCACCCAAGCTTTCGCCACGATCTAGATCACCACAATTATCTCCGCGTAGATCTCCCAACAAGTCTCCGATGAGACGATCACCTATTAAAAAGTCATCTCCGAGAGGAAGATCGCCAAGACTTTCACCGCATTCCAGATCTCCTAGACCAATACGTTCACCGAAAAATTCATCGACTAAATCACCAAGATTAACACGATCCCACTCTCCGAAATTTTCACCGCTTCGATTATCTCCTCCATCAAAATCTCCCTTAAGATCAAGATCATCGAAATTATCTCCAAGACGAATATCACCATCCCGCAGATCATCGCCGAAATCGAAATCACCTGGGCAGTCTCCTCGAAGAGGGGTTTCACGTTTGTTGTCGCCAAAAGCATCTCCGCGAAGAATTTCATCGCGGTCCAGATCACCGAAATTATCGCCGCATAGATCACCTTGGTCGTCTCCAAGAAATTCTCCTCGTCTTTCTCCTAGACGTAGAAGATCCCCAAGGTGGTCACCCAAGGAATTATTTCGAAAGCATGGGCTACGATCAGTCACTCCGGATGATACAGGAAGCCCGTTATATGTCAAAGAATCATCTCCGATGCTTAAAGGTAGAATATCGCCACAGACAAATCGTATTAAAATGAAACAAAAAGAAGAGAATTTTGAGAAAACTACCGTGACGAATAAAGAGTCTACCGACACGATCAATGATCCTATATTAGAAGCCAGGCGAAGAAAATTTGAATCTACGAGGCCTATAGATCCTATAAATGCGAATAAGAAAATTAAATTAAGTAAACAAGAAAATACGAATAAGAAGGCGGAGTGTCTGGAAAGCGGAGATGCCCAATCAGGGAATACACGAAAGGTTAACAAGCTTGCAGAGAACTATGATGTTATTCAAGAAACAGGTTTATGTTTAGATACTAAATATAAGTTTGAAGAATTTGAAGAAACTGTAGAAAATACGTCTCCCATTGCTATTACAAGTTCTGTTAATTCCTGTGTTGATTTAGAACCACAAAAAGTAGAGAAAGAGAGATCCTCAAAAAAGAATAAAAAGCGAGATAAGGAGTTGTATCAAGTAGGAAAATTAAAAAATGAACTTCCTCTCTCTGAACGCATTGGAAAAGAAAAAAAGTGTAAAAAACGCAAAGATGTTCTTTCGGATGGACCGAGCGAAGATATGGATGTAATTCTCGAGGACATAGCAGTCGACGAAGAAAGTGACTTGAGAACCGAATTAAGTAGGAGACGAGCCGAGAGATTAAACAGGACAGCCCCGATTCAGTCGGCAAGATTAGTGCAGTCTGCTTTTAAAGGCGTCGTCAACGAGTAAGTATTATTATATTTCTTATTCCAGAACCAGATACCTATTATGATATTTTTTATGACATTTATAGAGTGTTGATAATATTGATAATAAAATGAAATTTAAACGTATTCAATATGGTAGCTAGCTTAAATACTAAATATACATACGTCCACTCACTCGTGAAAATATCCACATTACTTAATCGTTAAATTATTAACTCATTTTAAACACGCGCCTCATATTCTCTCTCTACGTTTACCATTATAGAAAATCTTTACGTTTTTTTTCAAAGAAAATAATCGCTTCGTTTCTTTCCAGAGTTGTGAAAAGTAATGCAAAAGCAAATCAAAGACATTTAATGAAAGCAGATGAAAAATGTAAGTAATATACGTTAATTTCTGTTTATGCAATAAATGTTTTTAATTAAATATTATTTCGAGATTTCGTAGATTATAAAAATATTGATATTGCATTAATAATTGTGTTTTCTATATTTACACGATATGTTTCTTGCAACAGCTGCTAATCAAAAAGAAGTTCGGAGAGTTACTGTCCTTCGTCGTTCTATACCCGAGTTACATGATTCAGAAGGTTTGTAGAATATATTTACAATATCAATTTCTTGATCGAGGCATCGGTAAAAAGTTATTAAAAAATTTCAAATCAATCTGAAAAAATTATTTTTAGTTGCAGGGGTCAATTGCAATCATTTTTTGTGAATACACATGACCCCGAAATCCTATGTGGTTTCGAGAGAAAAAATTCTTTACCGAAAATATAATACCGCGTGGCCGGAAATGTTTCTATAATTTTATTACCATTAACTAACATTGTTGTCAGTTTAAAATCTATAATATAAAACATTGTTGAATTATTTTATTATAGATGAAAGTGCTTCAGACTCGAAGGTGCCTGTGCGATTTAGATTGGGTCTTAACAAACAAGTGCAAGATAGCAGAGAGTCGAAAGTTTCACGAAAAGCATCTAAACGGCAAGGTCGCAAGGTAAAACATAAAGTTAGTTTAACTTTAACAAATATTGAACATATTCTGTAATATAAAAGTTATACCTTATTGGGTGCATATGATTAAAATATTCGAATTCTTTTCGAAAAAATATTAGTTATGAATACATTTGGCATTATAATATTTTAAGTATACAGGATCGTAATTTATCAACATTTTTTTATTTTTGTTAAATTATTTGCATTTAATAATTTAAATACTATGAAGAACTGTCGATATCTCTAATATTTAGAAATGTAACAGAATAGTAAATTAATAAATAAATGTACATACTTTATATTTAAAATATTAAATTTATACCGAAACATTTTTGACGCGTGCAGAATGAAGAATGTACAACTGAACAGAATATACATATATCATGATGATTAATATCGTACTTAGTTTTAAAATGATTTTCTTTGTTAATTTCACGATCTTCAAAAGAAACAATAATTATAAGTTAATATTTCATATTTAATCAATGATTCTTTTTATCAACATATGTATTACGTGTACGTAATACAAATAGAATTTTAATAGTAATGAATTATGTAATTTTTAATCATTATTAAGTTATTTACTCAATATCAACGATTTTGTCGATATAAATTATACGTTTACAAAATTATCATTAATAAATTTAATAATGATAAAATATTGACGGAGCAGGCTTTTATAATTTGAGGATATTTGTAACTAAATATATTATTAAATGTAAAAAGAGTTAATGTTCCGAGTCTCCTCTTCCAATAAAGTATTTACTATTTTATAATATACATAAGACATATTTAATTCTTTAAACATGTTTAGAAACGGATCGTAATCGAAATCAGCGCGTTTTCAACAAATTGAGCTCAAGTTGCAAATTAAGCGGACTCGCGAACCGCAATTGACCTGATCGAAAACATGGGATAGGAGCTCTCGTTGGTGACTATAGTCTCAACATATTCATCAACGAGAGAGAGGTATGGAGAGTGATGGATGGCCTCCTTTTACGAGCAAATAATGCTGCAGAAGGAGGCAGCGGGGAGCGTCATTGCTCATCTCATCTCACTCGTCTTTGCCGGACCTCAGGCTTCTCCCCTGAACCAACAGTGCTGACGATCCTCTAACCACCGACTTACTTGGTAATTAGTTGGTGATTCCAACATGGAGGGAAGCTTCACTTCCTCTCTCCGAGTAGGTTCAGGTACTTGGCCCGACATTACCGTCAGGGGGTTCCCTGAAGAAAACCTTTACGGTACCGGGAACCCCCTCATAGCGTTAGAGGTAGAACACAGTGTATGGTTTTAACCGATCAAAGTTCGCCACTATCCCGATCCCTCCCCTAACGAATCAGGATGCACAGAAGGATTTCCCATCTTACCAAAAACGAAGGTCTGGCTGGGTGATATCATCCCACTTAATTAATCTCGCGCTATTAACTTTCTCTTCACTCACTAATAAGGGGCGAGGATGGAGCCTTCTTCTCTTCTCCCATTCCTATTACCCCTCCCCGAATTGCTACTCGGCACTCGACGCTCACGATATGAACAAATGCCACGAAACAAAGGAAGAATGACAGGAAAGATCTGAAATGCGATGTTGGATGAACATGTGAGAGGAAGAATGGAAATACTTGTCGCAAGAAAATCGTTCAAGCAAGGATAAAACCCTCGAGTGTACTTGGAATATATCTAAAATTGGAATTGTATATGAATGTAACCACGTAAAGAGCTTTGTTTAACCAAAGCAGCGAACAAAAGAAATGTCTGCCAAATCGAAATTAGCAAACATACTTTTCTTTACTCGCCTGATACCGGCATTCTACGATGTACAATTACAAGTCAAAGGATTAAATGGGTCGAAATCACCTGCAATAAAGAAAACATAATAATATACTAGAAATATTTAATTTATAAAAAGAAAATAAAAGGAAGAAATAGTTTGCATATAATTTTGCTTGCTATATCCCTGTATTTCAGTATGAAATAGGGCAATAATTATTATAAAGTTAAATGACAAATGTACAAACAAGTGCTAAAAACGAATATTAAATATTCAACGATACGTATTTTGTGCATAAAAGAAAACTTATTTAAATAATAAAAAGAACGCGCCACTTTATGGAAGATAGTACCGCCATCTTGTAGGAAACAAGAGAAATATTTCAATTCTTGAAATGTTGTGCAAAGCTACCAAAGAGTACCATTCTATAGAGTGGAGTTATGGCAAGGTGAGATTTCTCATTTCACCGTCAGCGGCGCTAAAGTAAGAATTCTTCAAATCTTGCATCACTGTCGACGTCGACAAGGATCGTTTCACTTCAGTATCGTTTCGCTCCTTCGTGGAAGGTGGTTGCGACCATTGCGTGCGTGTTGGCAATTGCACGATAAGAATTATCGTGAAACGATCGCAGTCCAGCGAATACTTTGCCTTGAAAAAGTACATTCACAGCCGTCAAGATTTTACGAAGAAAAAAGTATGAGTATTAGCTCCAGTCTACCATTAAGTAATTGTGAAAGTAGTAAAAAGGGCATAATAATGCCGACTCTAATATCCAGTAATTGGTAAGTACTGTACAACTACTGCGCCATTTTTATCTTGAGCTTGTCACCGCCATCTTGCACTAAATAAATTTAATGGTTGTGTGCGATTTCTTTACTATTTTCATTTTATACGCGTCCCGTACGAACCGTAATCGTTAATATATTTTTAAAGCTGTTGGTTTTCTTGATATTTTTCTCTTTTGTGAAACCTAAAAAATTATATTCACGCAACGTGTCGTTCATCGACGCGTTCTTCCGATTCGATTGTATTCTACAGCTTTGATACTGAAAAGGAAAAATCCACCAAGTATCTCTTTCATTCGTTCATTTCTACCAATTTATTCGATATGAAAGATTAAATAATAATCCTACAGACTTTGATATTTGAAAGTAACGTAACATTTTGTACCAGTTTATACACGATTAGTTTGAAAATCGAAAATTGTATATATACAAAGAGGGGCGAACCGAAGGAGAGAAAGGCACGCGAATATCGATGATATTTCAATACGTAGGACATTTTTTTTTTTTTTTTCTTTTTTTTTCTTTCTTTTTTCTTTTTTCTTTCCTCTCTAAGAAATAATTGTTTCCGTTATATTACTGCCACGTGAATCACGACATCCGTTGTGTGACGTAGAAGTATTGCATATGTGTATATCATCGTGGATATGTCAGCTGTTCCCGTCACATACATACTTACCTATGTATACATACATACGTACGTAGAAAGGAAAGTAAAATGAACGTGAAACATTATTGTTGACATTTTACGTTGTTCAATAGGAATTAAAGAAAAGTATAAAAAATATAAAAGTGTTTATTGATAGTTGACTCGTAATTGGTTTCGTGTATTAGCGTAGGGTGATTTTTTCCGTGAGTATTACAAGTATATATCCAAATTTCTTACATAATTCTCATTGTATGCGTGTTTAAATAAAAAAAAACAAACGGAAACACATAAACAATTCAGATATGTTTTTATCTATACGTACAATCTTATCTTTAATATTGATTAAGCGATTAAGCGATAAGAAAAGTTGTCATCCACTTAACAGCATTGCATACACGCTGCAGAGAATTACTATCATTTTCTGGATACGGATAAGATTTATAGTCGACAATCTCTATCATTCCTGAGCTAAATTTTTGGCAATATTACCGAATAATGCACAAGTTTATTTCTAACTGTGTATTATCAAGTTCATTTTTTAATAAGTTTCATGTATGAAAACAACAAACAGATTCATTGTTTTAACCGTCAGAGAATCATACTTTTTATGAACTCTGTATCTACATATATGCTCTGTATATTTACATTACAAAGTAATATTTTATTTGTTGATACTTAATAGTTGAGATATTAATATTAATGTAGTTCAATTTAGGACTTGAACCGATATACATATAATAATTAATTGGAAAAATGTTGCTTAAAATATTGTTCAATTGTTATTTTCAGTGAAATGTCAAGTAAGTGTATGGATGACAGTTTAGATGAAGGCGGTAGGCTCCAACAACATTATTGTATAACGCTGGGTGTGGGGCCTCTGTGGTGGTCCTGATGTGCCCCATGCCGCATTGTCTGTATCCACAGTCAACACAGAGAGCCGCGGCGTGGGGATCAAGCAGAGTCAGCTCTCTGTGAGCTCCCACATTGTACAAGTAAGTATTTCCGAAAAAATTCATTGTACGCATATTTTCCTGATTTATTTAATCGAAATATGTATGCATAAAAGTTGACCAAGCCATGAATGTTCGATTCTGCTGTGTACTATCAATGTCGATAACAATTCATTCTTCTCGTTTCATATCGTTCGATGCGCGTAAAATCTGTTTCGTGGAATGTTTCTAGGAGGATGAATTGTTAAAAGCCGTAAGAAATAGCGAATCATTGCGCCTGACCTTCACACTTCACTTGACGGAAAGCACATCCGTCGAATGGGAAACGGTAGTATGGCGTCGCTGTCTTTACATACGCGTGCCAAGCTGTCTTTTACCCGAGGGTTCGAAGGAAGGCTTCGTTTCCCTCTTAGAATACGCGGAAGAGACACTACGATGCACCAACATCATTGTTTGTCTACGTAAAGACAGGGCGGATCGAGGTACTTGCTGTCTACCATTATTTGGCATCGATGAAAACGATTCCGACGAGCAGAATTTTTCATCTAAATCTCTTGGTTGTTACGGTTTAGCAATGCTGGTTCGTACCTTCATGTTCTTGGGCTTCAATGTTCTGCCACCCACTCACGCCTTGGTACCACCAGGTAGTGATGCTGGCAATCTCTACATGCTGTATACCATCGAATAATCGACCAGCAAACTCGACTTTTAAATTTAACGCGCAGGTATAGTTTTGCGAGTAATCGCTCGTTATTTCAATTTTCTTTACCCTTATTCATTTACCAACCAACTACACGTATTTTCTCTCTTCTCTCTTTTCTTTTGTAACATTACAGGGAGGACCGTTACACTTATGATTTCCATCCAACAGAACAAATAGGCAAAATTACGTACTGTGTGAACCGTGAATTGAAATCTGGGATAATCTTTACTTGTTGTTTCATTTGTCTTTTGTTGTCCGCCAAAAGCGGTTTATTTGACTATTCGTGGTGATTTTGTTCGTCTCTTGAAACTAACTGCCTTCTAGACGTATTGCCCATACGATGTACAACTAAAAAACTATGTAACGTTTTCGGCACCGTACCTTTCAGCGTTAAATTTAAGAGAAACGCGCACAGTATACGTACACCAAACACGTATACATATAATGAGTGTGGAGCCGAGAAATACGAAGACAAAGTATAAAAGTAAATTGAAACTAATAGTCGGGAATACGTAGAACGCGTACATAACAGGCTTTCGATTAAGATATTGTCGAAAATACCAATTCATTCTCTTGAATACAATGTTAACACCTCTCTTGAGAGCACGTAATTGCTGATGAAGCTTCCCACGTGAAAGAATTTGACGGTATCGATGTTATAACAATTATAGAGAACAACGAACCGTCAAGTTATAGAAGAAATTTATTACCGACAAATCTCAATGTTAATTGTGACCAATTGGGTATCGCCGCGTTTTATTTTGTATCACCGTATATTTTCTTATATTGTTTGTAAGTATTACTATCAATATCGATTATATATTATATACGTATACGTCACGATACCAGTATAAAATTCTTCGAAATAGTTGTAGTTTTTTTCTTTATTGTATACATATACATACATATAAATTTCAAATCGATTGTTTCGGTATCGAGATCAATTTGTCTAAATAAAAAATTTCTAATAATAAAATTTTCAGCGGAATGAAACTACGATAAATAGTATCATTTTTTTTATATAGTCGTCCATTTAATGTGTTGTGTCGTGTCTTTAGGGAGACGCAGAAATATGTTGAAGTATTATCTAGTATTGTATTGTTAAGTTACCTTTCCAAATATTTCAACATTCACGTTATTATTACACTGGTATCGATCGTTATATAATCATTATTACGTAAATGTTTGTTTATTAGATTTAGGTGTAAGTTATTATTCTGAAGGTGATGAATATAATAATTAATGATGATATCTCTGGTAATCACCGATCAATTAACATTGCAGAGTTTTTGCTAATAAATATGTTCTTTAGTGTTGACTCGATAACAGATGATATTAAATCATTGTAAAATCACAAAAAAAAAAAAGTTAAAAATATTGAAAAAAAAAGAAGAAAAAAGTTTTGATAGCTTATATTAGAAATACAGATAAGTACAGAGAGTGACGAACTATTATGTGTTAATGCAGATAGTTTTAAATTTGCCTCAATTTTTTCAATTGAAGGATAATTCATTCGGTGCGTTTTATTCTGTCATTTAGTATTATAAAATATATTCGTACACTTGACCACGTAAAAGTACATGTATGCTACATTTATTATTCGTACAAAAAACGTACGTTCTAAATAAAAGTTAAGAAAATAAATTGGTTTCCTGCTTGATTTATCCTTAACCGAAGGGAGGATAAAAAAAGAATAAGCAGTATGTCGGAATCATAGAATTTATTTCGATTTTATGCGGATTATGGATCGAAGGAACGATGAGTTTATTATTAGAAATTGAATTCGTGTGAAGATAAGATTATTAATTGTATTGTTTTGTAAAAGTAAAGAAGACAAATGCATCGGTACGCGTTTACAAGTGTATACATATATATTGTCGGGAAATAATTTTCCCCCGAGATTTTAAGGTGATCGATATTTTTTTGTCAACGATACCCTAACTTTTTTTTCTTCGTCTTTGTAGAGTATAAAAAAAAAACCTATTCAACGACCATAATAACCGTACAGTTTCTGACATTTTTTATCGAGATATTTCCACCGGTCTTGTATAGATGTGTATATAGAGGGTGTTTGTTTGGCCACCGTTGGGAAAAATTTTAACGAGGGATTTTAGAGGTTAAAATAAGACGAAAATGAAGAATAGCAATTTGTTGATGGAGGCTTCGTCAAAAAGTTATTAACAATTAAATTGAAAAATTTGAAATCGTTCTGAAAAAATTATTTTCAGTTGCGGGGGTCGATTAAAATAATTTTTGGTGAACAGACATAGTCCGAAAATGTTGCGCATTTTCGAGAAAAAAAATTCAGTACGGGTGGAACTTTAAACGTTAATAACTTTTTAAGAAAGCCTCGATCAAGAAATTGGTATTGTTGATTTTCGTGTTATTTTCGCCTGTAGAACCACCCATTAAAATCGAGGTGGCCGAACACCCTGTATAGTAGTATTAATTAATTAATATAGCAGAGAATCGCGGCACATTTTGAAACTGTATTTTGCAACATTTCCTTTGAATTATCCACTTATTTTAACGTAAAGTGATAGTCCTTTTACCGTCGATCTCGGTTTCGTCGTTAACGTTTTTTGGAACCAGGCCCAAACTGTCTAGCATTCCGGATGGCGCTGTATCTTCCATCGGATAAGCGGATACTTTTTTACATTTAATTAAATGCGTAGCCAACAGATTGCCGTCAGCGGTCGCATAACCGCACGAACATTGCATCCTTTTGTCCAACGGAATATTAATGAGAGGCGAGGGAACCACCAGACTAGTCATCGGTCGTTCATTGTGAATTTGTTGTTGATGTTCCTTAAAGGCACGCCAACAACAAGTTATGTATCGACATTGGTGACATCTCTGTTCACCTGGATAATGATCTTGTTCGTCCACGTCTTCTTCGCATTCTTGACAAGACAGGTTTTCGATCGGGACGTTGACCGTGATCGGGCCTGTGAGCCACTTTTTCACCTTTTCGTCGCGTGGCAATTCCGTTACGGGACTGTCGAGGTCGAATCGTCTGTTGAGTGGCCGCTGCTTCGATATCATTATTCCGTTACTACTGCTGGAATAGGGGACAACCTTCGAGCCAGAAACACAGTCGTGCAATTCTCTCTGATGAACTTTTAACGAACTTTTCTGATTGAACCAGAGACAGCATTTCGAGCATTTATTACCCCGTCCTTGCTCTCTTCTTATAACGTGTCTCTGCATGTGCAGTAAGAAGGCATGGACGCTGGTGGCACTGGGACTCCCCTCGCTTACGAATTGTATTACTTTTAAACAATAGGGGCATTGCAAGCTCTCGCCTTTTTCATGAATACGATAAAAGTGATCGATAGCGTCCTTGTGGCTGGAAGTACGGTAGCCGCAGGTTTCGCATCGGTATGGCATTTCGGACGGATAATGGATCGACGATAAATGATTAATTAAAAGTCCGCTGTTTCCGAATTTCTGTTCGCAAATCGCGCAAACGACCATGTCGCTGTCGGAGTTGCCAAAATTACTGTGCGTCTCCGTAACGTGCGTAACCATTTGATGTTGAGACGAGAAAGCAGTACAACAATATCGACACACGGGCGAGTTTGATTGTCCGGGCACTTGAGGAGGAACATGACTGATCATATGTTCCATTACGTCTGTATTCGAACGCATCGTCATCGTACAGAGAAAGCACCTAAAGTATAACGAACACTTGTGCTCTTTCAAAAGTATATTCTTTTCACCTTCCATGGTAGCGTAATAAAATTCTTGCAACTGTATCTGATCGTTTTTACCCTCTTTGTCTCGAGCTTTCGAATCTAACATGGCTTTCTTTGCTTCGGGATCCGGACTAGCCGTCGTTGCGATATTTCTTTTACGTCCTCTTCTTGGACCAGGCTTTACTGCTTGACCATACGACACTGTCTCCTGTTGTTGTTGTTGTTGTTGTTGTTGTTGTTGTTGTTGCTGTTGCTGTTGCTGTTGCTGTTGTTGTTGTTGTTGTTGTTGATTAATATTACCAGCGCTGTTAACGCTGTTTTGTATCAGAACGTCGCAGCCCGACTGAATATCTTCTTTATTTATCGTCATTAGATGCGTCAAAGGTGGCGAGTAGGACCAATTCTGAAACGGATTCGCGGCTATCTTCGTCAATCGATCCAACAAACCCTCGTCGGAATAGATCCTAGTTTGCTCGGCGATATGGGCGATAATGTTATCGAATGCTCGTGCGGCCGTCGTACCGTACATTTCTCTCCATACCAACTCATCCAAGAATTGCTGTATCATTTGTCTGCTGAGTAAGCTCAGAGTATTTTGAAACATTCTGGGAACAATTTTTCTCAAATATTCCATAATGTGATAATTGCTCATCACGTTTCGGGGATTTTGATCGGAGAACGCGGATTGCGTGATATGAGTGAAACCCATTTCTTCGAGCGTACTTTTATCGACGGTAAAATCTGTCATGATCTTGGAATCGGTGTGCACCCAATCTTTCAACGGATGTAGAATATTATTGAATCGTCGTTTATACGATCTATCGCCGTCTTGTACAGGATCGCATGCCCTTAGTCTTAAATCGAGGGTGGTGTAATCCAATACACCGAGCACCTCGACTTTTACTTGTCGCAAGTTTCCGTCCTGCGACGTTGTACCCAAACTAATTACACCAACTTGTATCACAGAATTTTTCCCTCCCATCTTACGTGTTTTGTCCCACATTGCGGACGTGCAAACACTACGCAGATGCGTGTAAAAATTTTTCACATACACGTTCGACACTTTTACCCAGGAAACAACATTTTGAACGTTTGTCTGGCAAGCCCAATGATATATTAATTTCAAAAGAACGGTAGGTGTGTACGGTGCTCCTTGAAATATTGAACCGGAAAAAACCGAGACGAAACGATCTGGACAGCAGCTCGAGATCCAAACGTACCCTCCCGAATAAGGAAATGTTCCTTGATCGCTGTACATTCCCAGTTTCAGTTTAGTCTTTTGATAACTATTGCTATGTTGGGCGCAATATTGTTCCGATTTCACTAAACCTTGTTGTATCAACCATTCGGCAAATTTCGTAGCGGAAAACATGAGTACGCTCTTCACTTTGATATCTAAAAACGACCATTGATAATTAAAACTACAGTCAGCCGATAAAGTCTTCGTGCAATGTATGTACCTTTGATCTTATATATAAAAAAACGAAAAAAACGAAAAAAACGAAAAAACAAGCGATCAAAAATCAATTGTACGGAGACCTTTTTAATTGATCGTCTATCGAGATTAATACCTAAGTCCGATCTTTCTTTTTGAGCTATTTGTGGTGCGATGTCCTTGGTGCGAAGATTCGGTCTAGCTATGACGACCAGCGAAGGGAACGTCCTGCCACCGTTCATTTTGTTAAACGTTACTTCCCTGCCATCCGGAAGATTCTTCTTTGCTTCGTCGATTTGTTCAGCGGCTAAATTTAATTATTATTAGCGAAATTGATTGATTTTCTTTTATATATTTTTTACTTGTACGAGCGTGACGATTCCAACTGACCTGCATTTTTATTTCCCACCGATATTCCACCGATGCTAGTGTGCTCGGTTGGTTTTGAGGCAGATACTTTGGTCGTCACTCCCGTTGTTGTACTTATGGTTGGTGGAGTCGACGACACCGTTGCCGGTGCAATTTGTTGTTTAGTTACTGTTTTTATTCGAAGATTCGTTACACCCTGTGGACTGGTGGTAGCTGGAAAATAAGATTTAATCTCCATACATGTGTCGGCTGACCAAGATACGCTGACACCAGACCTGAGCACTTTTAAAACAAATTAATATAATAGAAATTCTTCCGATACCAATTTCGTCATGTTTTGCTAATATATATATATATATATATATATATATATATATTAATTTCCAGAACTTATCTCAAGTACTTGTTATTTAAAATATTTATTTCTTAGTTTGATTTCAAATAGAATCTGCACAGGCCTGCACTTTGTCGAGCGTTTACTCGAAAGCAGTCTTCTAGAACTTACTTGGTGTTACAACGTGCGTCGAAGAGCCCACTTTTTGTTTTCCACGGGTGATCAGCACGGGCTATAAGACGAAAATCAGGCAGTGAATTAAGGAAAATTATTAAACGAAAGTTTCGATATCGATGCACAACGTACTTCCTCTATTATATCAGGTTGCTGGACTTGGAGTACTTTTGTTCTGCGTCCGGATCGTGTATATTTATACTGAGGAAAATAAAAATTGTTGGTATAATATTTGGTTTATATCGAATTAAACGAAAAAACAATAATAGATTTGGTACGTTTTCCGCCTGGGGATGCGTGACGGTAGGTATAGTGCTAGCCAACGATGTCGACGACGACGCAGACGTCAATACTGGTGTAGATATTGTACCCGACGAAGCAGTCGTTATGGTAGTACCTGTAATATATGCAATTTCAGTTCGTTAATCGTACGCGCGTACATCTATTAAGAAAGAATAATCTTTTACCTTGAGGTTGAGCGACCGATCCTAAAATAACTCCCATTCTTGAATCCACGACCAACTGTATGTTACCTTGAGAGCCGTTTGCATTATTCAGTACATTGAGCTTAATCGGCTGATTCTTATTTTGATTCTGTGAAAATTAGGAATATAGAAACTCCTCTATGATTATATTATTTTTGACACATTTGATATAATACTCGCAACACTCACGATGGACTGTGGATTATTTTTAACAACAGCTTGCGCAGGATTTGCAGGCCTGATATACCAGAAAATAGAAAAATATAAATTTCCTACAAGAACAATGGTAAGATAACATTTAGAAAGAGATACCTACAATGTGTACTGATAACCATTGACATTGCCTGCTTGACATACCAATTTACCTCCATGATCTTTCACCAATTCCTCTAAAGTAGCAGCAACCTAGAAATCGAAATAAATGTGTTGGATATTAATAGATCCCGTGGCAAACCATTATGCTGTGTTTTGTTTCTTGAAGCAAAACAAAGGTAGAGGAAAAATAAACCATGGCAAGAAGACATACATAGATGCATAAACATGCGTGCATAGAGGAAAAAAATGCCGTAGTAATATCGCGGGAGAGCCGGTGGTGAAGCAATCGGCTGAAAATCCCGCATTAGAGCAGAACCCGCGTGCAATATGTTAACAATTAAATTTATTATTTAACAAGACAATATTGTATGAGAGAAGGAAGAAAACATACCCTGTCATAATTCTCCTTGAGTTCTAATCGTAGCATTAATTGCGCTTCGCTAAGTGGCTCTTCGGAGCATTCTAAATTTAAAGTCATGTGGGTCGGTCGAATATTCGTCACTGAACGCGTGATTAACCGATTTTTTGGCATTTTTATGATATAGACAATTTCTTAGAAGGACAGAAAACTTTCGAAAAAGAGGAACATACATTTAATTCGACTAAATGTTCACTGTACGTCGCTACTACTCTCTAAACGTTTTACTCGCGAGCAATGAGTTCATGCTCAACGAATTTAAGTGATTTTCTTTACGAACAGAATTCACCCTTGTTATTGTTTGCTTCGCAAAACTAACTTTTCTCCAGTTTAATAGGTTATTGCCAGGGGCTGTGCACTCTACCACTGACCAAACTGATCTCAATATAGAGAGAAAAGTGTCGTCACTGTTACACCTTGTTTCTCAAACACCCCGCCAGTGTCGCTGATATAGTTTCTTTTGTCGCCTGAAGTGACTTGCAGTTGCAGCTTGCAGGTTGCAGTGTTGGCAGACGGAACTCTCGGTGCATCAGGAGCTGCTCATTACATTTTCTCGATTTTCGCACGTTAACCAGGTAACGTTACCTATTTATTTAGGTACTGTGGTCCGCTGATTTCAAGTCCCGCGAGAAGATACAGGGGCAGGAGGTTCACATGTCTTTCTAATTACCGCGACGAACAGTGAACCAGAGTTCAATGTGTACGTAGGCGGGAATACGTGTATCCCTTTTAGGTACTTTTATCGCATTCTTGCCACAGGACTTGAAGCAGCGGTGGAACCAGCTACCTATCTACCCAGAGCTGCCAGAAAAGCATCGACGAAAGGCAAACTGATGCATGCCCTCTCTCTCGATTCTCCGAAGCTGCCCCAAGTAATTTCTTCGAACAACTGAAATTCGACCTCACGTCAACGGCATACGATTCCAAGCGAGAACTGCCCAGGTATTTTTAATACACGTTTTAAGACCTCCTGTGAAATAAATACATATTTATAACATGAAATAGAATTTTTCCATTCCAAACTTGAAAGTGTAAGATGTGTAAAAAATGAATCGTATTATATTCTCATCCCAGATCATGCATGCAGAAAATGAAACAACAGGATGTGGCAGATAACATTACAGAGGAGCAGTACTGTTCCATAATGCCGAACCTGAAGATTATTTGAATTAAAAGAAAGACAACGACGCTCGATAACAAAAGCGCGACCATATCTCTAAATTCAAGCTCAATGGGATCAAATGTAAGCAATGCAAATGGAAAGGGTTGAATTTTCAAACTCCGGAAAATTCATTAACAAGTATGTTTTCAGGGACGCCAATCAAAGAATGAAATAGCGAGAAGGATCAAAATTGTGATTCATTGGTATTAAACGAATGTAAAATTGATTTTATAAATAAAAATGTTAGAATACTTAGGAGAAAGAGTCTTACGAAGCCGAGAGAATTCGATTTACAATTAATACTTGTTGTTAAAATGGATATGACTGCACATATACCTACATTACATATATGTTTTAGAATAATACTGGAAGATAGAATTGTTAAAAATCTGTTACACAACGATTTAATTTATTTATAAAAGCGTTTTCAACATCACAAGAGTTGTGTTTCTGTATAATAGCGTTTGAAAAGTGTAAGACATTCCTTATATTTATATTAATAAAACATTAAAGTCACAAGACATTTATTTTCCATACGTTTTATTTACATTCTCCACTACCTTTCCCTTTAATTCCCTAATTTCTTAAATTCTTAAGTATTATAATCATTTAAAACGATTCTAATTATTATTCGTAACTAATTAAGGTCGTCGACCACTTCTCTATGCATTATTTCGTCTAATTAATAAGTTATAAACAAATTACTGAAAGCGATATTTATTTCAATATTGGGCAAAAAAGTGACAAACTACGGTATCGCCATCTAATATCAGTGTTTCGAAGTCAAAAAATCGTCCCAGGATCACAGAATGATAGTGGAGGTATCCGGAGTACAGTTACCCCCACCCCTCCAACTCCTAATATACATAGCCTTGATTATTCATTAATAACACCTTTCCTGGTTATAAACTATTAACTCTTAGAATTGATGAATGTAGTATAGACCCTTGGCAACATTCAAGGATACTTTTTATACCCATGGCATGCGTTATTAAATAGTTATAAACAAATATCGGAAGACGAAACATTTACGGCTGTATCACCGTCTCCTTTGATCGATGAATTATCAATTTTTCAACAATGACACGCATATTTTGGCTATTAGGGAACCTAGAGGACATCCCTGGCCACATTCTAGGACCAATTTTACCTCGCTCCACGCTCTAATTAATTAGTTATTAGCGAAAGATCCCTAAGATGTCGCGTTAAAAGGTTAGAAACAGTGTTCCGACTTCCGATAATTGTTAATAACTATTTAATAACGCATGCCATGGTTAGAACTAGTATCCTTAAATCTTGCCAAGGGTTCATACTATATTCTTAAACTCTAAAAGGTCATCAGTTAATTACAGGAAAGGCGTAATTAGTAAATTAACGAGCAATAATTCATTACAAGTCGAGAAACACATAGTTTGCCGTTTTCGCCACTAGTTGGCGCCACAATGCAAATCGCTGCTTTCAATCGATCACTGCTACTTAATTTACTAATTACGCCTTTCCTAGAAACAAATTATGAACTTCTAGCGTTCAAGAATATAGTATGGACCCTTGGCAAGATTCAAGGATACCTCTTCTAGCCATGCCATGCGTTATTAAATAGTTATTAACAATTATCGGAAGTCGGAACACTGTTTCTAACCTTTTAACGCGACACCTCAGGCATCTATCGTTAATAACTAATTAATTAGAGCATGGAGCGAGGTAAAATTGGTCCTGAAATGTAGCCAGAAATGTCTACTAAGTTCTCTAATGGCCAAAACATGCCTGTAAATCTTGAAAAGTTGATAATTCATCGATTAAAGGAGACAGTGATACAGCCGTAAGTAAGTACATGATCCGACTTCCGATATTTGTTAATAACTATTTAATAACGCTTGTCATGGCTATAAAAAGTATCCTTGAAGGTTGCCAAGGGTCTATACTATATTCTACAATTCTACAAGTTCATATTTCATTTCCAGAAAAGGAGTTATTAATGAATAATCAAGGCTATGTATATCGGGAGTAGGAGGAGTGGGGGGAACTGTACTTCGGATACCTCCACTATCATTCTGTGATCCTGGGACGATTTTTTGACTTCGAAACACTGATATTAGATGGCGATACTGTCGTTTGTCACTTTTCTGCCGAAATATAGTATCGCCATCTAACGTCAGGATTTCGAACTAAAACTCCTACTCCCGATATACATAGCCTTGATTATTCATTAATAACTCCTTTTCTGGAAATGAAATATGAACTTGTAGAATTGTAGAATATAGTATAGACCCTTGGCAACCTTCAAGGATACTTTTTATAGCCATGACAAGCGTTATTAAATAGTTATTAACAAATATCGGAAGTCGGATCATGTACTTACTTACGGCTGTATCACTGTCTCCTTTAATCGATGAATTATCAACTTTTCAAGATTTACAGGCATGTTTTGGCCATTAGAGAACTTAGTAGACATTTCTGGCTACATTTCAGGACCAATTTTACCTCGCTCCATGCTCTAATTAATTAGTTATTAACGATAGATGCCTGAGGTGTCGCGTTAAAAGGTTAGAAACAGTGTTCCGACTTCCGATAATTGTTAATAACTATTTAATAACGCATGGCATGGCTAGAAGAGGTATCCTTGAATCTTGCCAAGGGTCCATACTATATTCTTGAACGCTAGAAGTTCATAATTTGTTTCTAGGAAAGGCGTAATTAGTAAATTAAGTAGTAGCAGTGATCGATTGAAAGCAGCGATTTGCATTGTGGCGCCAACTAGTGGCGAAAACAGCAAACTATGTGTTTCTCGACTTGTAATGAATTATTGCTCGTTAATTTACTAATTACGCCTTTCCTGTAATTAACTGATGAACTTTTAGAGTTTAAGAATATAGTATGAACCCTTGGCAAGATTTAAGGATACCGGTTCTAAACATGGCATGCGTTATGAAATAGTTATTAACAATTATCGGAAGTCGGAACACTGTTTCTAACCTTTTAACGCGACACCTCAGGCATCTATCGTTAATAACTAATTAATTAGAGCATGGAGCGAGGTAAAATTGGTCCTAGAATGTGGCCAGGGATGTCCTCTAGGTTCCCTAATAGCCAAAATATGCGTGTCATTGTTGAAAAATTGATAATTCATCGATCAAAGGAGACGGTGATACAGCCGTAAATGTTTCGTCTTCCGATATTTGTTTATAACTATTTAATAACGCATGCCATGGGTATAAAAAGTATCCTTGAATGTTGCCAAGGGTCTATACTACATTCATCAATTCTAAGAGTTAATAGTTTATAACCAGAAAAGGAGTTATTAATGAATAATCAAGGGTACTGCGTGTCAGGAGTAGGAGGAGTGGGGGTAGTTGTACTCCGGATACCTCCACTATCATTCTGTGATCCTGGGACGATTTTTTGACTTCGAAACACTGATATTAGATGGCGATACCGTCGTTTGTCACTTTTTTGCCCAATATTGAAATAAATATCGCTTTCAGTAATTTGTTTATAACTTATTAATTAGACGAAATAATGCATAGAGAAGTGGTCGACGACCTTAATTAGTTACGAATAATAATTAGAATCGTTTTAAATGATTATAATACTTAAGAATTTAAGAAATTAGGGAATTAAAGGGAAAGGTAGTGGAGAATGTAAATAAAACGTATGGAAAATAAATGTCTTGTGACTTTAATGTTTTATTAATATAAATATAAGGAATGTCTTACACTTTTCAAACGCTATTATACAGAAACACAACTCTTGTGATGTTGAAAACGCTTTTATAAATAAATTAAATCGTTGTGTAACAGATTTTTAACAATTCTATCTTCCAGTATTATTCTAAAACATATATGTAATGTAGGTATATGTGCAGTCATATCCATTTTAACAACAAGTATTAATTGTAAATCGAATTCTCTCGGCTTCGTAAGACTCTTTCTCCTAAGTATTCTAACATTTTTATTTATAAAATCAATTTTACATTCGTTTAATACCAATGAATCACAATTTTGATCCTTCTCGCTATTTCATTCTTTGATTGGCGTCCCTGAAAACATACTTGTTAATGAATTTTCCGGAGTTTGAAAATTCAACCCTTTCCATTTGCATTGCTTACATTTGATCCCATTGAGCTTGAATTTAGAGATATGGTCGCGCTATTGTTATCGAGCGTCGTTGTCTTTCTTTTAATTCAAATAATCTTCATGTTCGGCATTATGGAACAGTACTGCTCCTCTGTAATGTTATCTGCCACATCCTGTTGTTTCATTTTCTGCATGCATGATCTGGAATGGAAAAATTCTATTTCATGTTATAAATATGTATTTATTTCACAATAGAATATACCCACTTGTTTTAATAGTTGCATGGTTCAACCGACAGATCCTGCTATTCCCTTGCTCTTTCAAACAATCGAGCTTGCTGTTTGCATCGTACCTACCAAAATAATTCCATGTAACTGTTGCTTTTGTAAATGCATTTACAGACAACTAAAAATAGGGAAATCATACTTATCTGGCTGCTATATAGAGCTCAGGCTAAGCTCTACGATCTTACATCCTCTCTTGCGTGATGCCAGATTACATATTACAAGCTTTGCGTGCATTTCTGGATACAGTGAACGATACCAGCGATCACATTCTGTGAGAATGCACTCCTTACGACAGAACGATGGAATAAGATGACGTGAAATCTGAAAATCAAACAAACCCTTCTTAATCATCCACAATCTGTTAAAACATTCTTAGGAGGGCCCATCATTAAAGCGCTTCTTATGCATTTTTACTCCATCGCCAACTTTCAATTTAACCTAGCTAGACATAGCCAATAAAATTCAAGTGGTTATAACTTTAGAAATATATACATACGCATCAAAATTGATAAAGTTATTTATAAGAATGTAAATTTTATTTACTAACCATATGGATACATAAACCTGAGAGAGGTTTAGTTTCTTGATAATAAATAAATAAATAAATAAATAAATAAATAAATAAATAAATAAAAACAAAAAGATATTGTTCGATCTTGTATTATGTTTGGGTCGCCATCTAGAAATTGGAGGGAAGAAGCTATTTCTCGAGAAACTTGGACGTTCCAGCACCAGAGGACTCAAGATCGACAAATGCCCGCCATCGATACAATCTTTTAATTCGCTACTAATAATAATTTATCAAAATAATAATTAATACTAGTAATTATGTACCCATTATTAATAATTATTCACAACTCAAGAAACATATCATAAATATAATACTGGTAAATTAAGTAATGCTTAATTCTTGCGTCGCAAACATTTCCGAGCATCAAGTTCAATTAATTTTACATCAAATAATACATTTGTGCACTATAATTTTGTAAATAGATTAGATAGAATATATATCAGCAGATTGTAAAGTTGACAATATCAATTTATAAAATTGAGAAATGCGAAAAGCGTATGGATCCATACGATCAAGTAGACAGTTGCTGTTTACGATAGTACCTCGTCTGTGAAGGAACGGTAGATTTCTTTTATCGCCTTCGGAGCGTAATAAATAATGTACCGAGTGCCAGAATGACATATCATTATTCTTTTCTGTTGCTACACAATTGACCACTTTACGGTGTACCGCCATCGCGAACAAAGTTGAACATAACGATTCTCCGTTGTTTATTTCCGAAGGAAACTGTTCATCCATCGAATATACTATCGATAAAGCGAATTTTATTCGATCGACAATGGAGAATCAGCCACTGAATCAAGGAACTGACAAGCCTCCACTTTATTCCGAAGTTTTTTCAGAAAGTAAGCAATAAAATTCACATTCAGTTGTTAAGAACATTATCATCGATGTATCAAGTTCAACGATCGAATTCGACAATTCGAAAAAAAAAAAGAATCGTAGAACTTTTTCAATTGTCATTTTATGGAATTAGTACAATTCATTCGACCAGTGAAAATTATAACCTATGAAAGAATGCAAAAAAGACTTATCCCAATTTTTTTTAATTTCCTAACTCATGTGCAACAAACAGTTTTTTCTTTTGACATTTCACGAAATTAAATTTTTATTCCAATCGTTAACCAGATTCGTTTGGTTAATGAAAATTGTAAACTAAAAAAAAAAAAAAGTCAATTTCATTAAATTACAAACCTAATATGTCGGTGATTTGTTCTCTAATTGTTCTCAGATATTGAAATATCAATCTTCCTATTTAACAAATTGTGGTTAATATAAAGTACTTAATGCAATGTTAATGCTTTATGCAGCAACCATTACATCGAAACCACCTTCTGAATACAGTTCCACGCAAGGAAGAGGTATTTTGCCACCTGGTTATTACCCCAGTGCCCCTGGAACTAATACCTCCAACTATGTAACGTCTTATGGTTCCACCCAATCCACTACAGTTACCATACCAGAGACCATTTTAGTTGGTGTTTGTCCTGCTTGCAGAGTAAGTATACTTTTAATTCTCTCAAACTATTACTTTAGTTTTCTTTGCTATATTTCTCAATAAATTGTGCAAGCAATGAAATTTCATAGAATTAAACAAATGTTTTGTACTCTATCGCATTATTATTACAATCGTTTTTACATCCGATTCATTGATATCGACTGTGGAATAAACAAATTGTTTAACAATAAAAGTATTTTGTAATACATTGCGATGCTAGTAAGTATTCAGTAATTATTCAGAATAAGGGAGGATGCTCCAATTATTTCTGCCTTAGCATATAATGCCAAGGGCATCATTTTGAAAAACTTTTTCCTCCAAAGAAAGTACCAGTTCTTTTTAATTTACAAGATACTTGCAACAAACTACTGCGATAGCTCTATATACCGTAACAAATTCTCCGTGAACGCTACACTTCGAGCCCCGCATCTTTTACACATAATGTAAACATATATGGTTCATTCTATTCAAATTTTTTTTAAACAAGTATCTGTTAAAACATTCAATTTGTTGTTACTAAATCGTAGTAACAACATTCTTTTCAAAACATCGCTGGAACTGAAGCTGACCAGAAATTTCCTTAAAGGAAATAGTTATTCAAAGTGGTGCCGTTCGTAACATGAGAAGGTCAAAATCATCGTAGCATCTTCTCCTATTCTAATGATTATCTAATTTTCCCGTTCCCATTACCGATAATTGCAACTAAAATAGAATGTAAAACCATAGATGGGTATAATGGAAAACGATTATACGTGTCTGGGACTGTTGTGCGCGATTATGTTCTTCCCCATCGGAATACTTTGCTGCCTGATGTTAAAGACACGACGTTGTTCCAATTGTGGAGTTTACTTCGACTGATACGTGCGATTAATATTAATATTACTCATAATTAATATCAATGCGAGTAATGTAAACTAACCAAATTATATATATATATATACACACACACACACACACACACACATAGAGAGAGTTGTAAGAATAAAAAATATAGTAAACTACGTTTCTAAGAATATGTAACCGTGCATTTAACATTTTTTTTTTAACTTTTAGAAATCTTCTATCTATAAGTTCTAATTATTATTGCACTTATTACAAGTACATATTGTTATAAATAATACGTATTATCACTACGGTGCATTTTAATGCACTATAATATATTTTAAAATTTGAAAGCGAGAATATTTCTGTAACGAATTAAAATGTTATTAAAGATTGTTGAATTCTCATGGTTTATTGGTTTCCATTGAATTATCAAAACCTATGGAACTCGTAATTCTTAATATAATCTTCTTCACAGAAACTCCTGCAAATCCCCGGCGATCCTCTCAATCTCCTTCGCAAAGAACCTCATATCCTTTTCCGTTAGAGCAGAGTTCTGTAGAACGAGTCTAAAAAAGTTAGGCATCTCTCTCAACGGTTGATAACTGATCATCATGGTCCCATCCTTCATCATTCGTTCCTTGATCTTAGGTCCGATTTTCTGCAACACTATCTTCAATTCCTCCGTTCCCAAGTGTCTTGCCGACGGAGGCACGTACCAGAAACAAACGTTCGTGCATTCCGGTTCTAGAAGTAATTTAAAACCCTTTCTGTGTTTCACAAAATTTTTAAAATACTGAGACAATTCGAACACGCGGTCGATGTGTTTCTCAAGTCCCAGTGTTCCCTTTGCCTTCCACATGAACCAGAATTTCAACACGTCCGCTCTACGGCCGCACTGGACGTGTTTGTCGCCAGAGTCCTGACTGGAATCGTAGAATTTGTCAGGTTGGAACAAGTAGCTAGCGTGGGAGCCATGGGCGGCTTCCAGGAGGCCCTGGTGACGTAAAAGCAACGTGGAACACTGCTGCGGAGCTGCAAGGAGTTTGTGAGGGTTCCAGGTGACGGAATCCGCCAAATCGACGCCGTCCAGAAGGTGTCTGTGCTTCCTGGAAACTAGTACTCCACCGCCCCAAGCGGCATCCACGTGCAACCAAAGATTATGTTTCCTGCAGACGGCTGTTATTTCTTTTAGAGGATCGTAGGCACCTAGAACTGTCGTCCCAGCCGTAGCAGAGACCATAAACGGTGTTGCACCCTCGGCGATGGCCTTCTTGATTTGGATTTCTAGGTCCAACACACTCATTTTTCCTAGCTTGTCGGTTTTTATATCATAGACATTGTCTGACCCTATTCCAAGAAACGCGCTCAGCTTTTTTATCGAGTAATGGGCGTCCTGGGATGTGAAGATTATTAGCTTCCCAGAACTGGATAAACCCAGAGACTTCAGATGGGGAAACCTGAAGAAGATAAAGATTCAACCTGGGTCAAGTTTATTTAAGAGGAATAAAGACTTTAGATTTTCAAATAAAAGTTAGGATATTATTATAAATCTATTATTGATAAACTGTACTGTTTACTTCTTCCGTTCTTTAAGTATATTTATCAAGTCAACGAATAATTCCAATACCAAATGAATTCTTAGGGTGCATCCCCGGTGCATTACCTATAATGACGCGCTAAATTTATAGCATATCCATTGGCTATAGAACCACCTGGACAGAATATTCCATCGCCTCTGCCATCCTTCCAACCGACCATCTTCCTCATCTCTTTTAGAACCTCTTCTTCCATCAGAGAAAAGACCGGGGAGACCTCGTAGGTATACACGGATGGATTCAATGCATCGGTCATCCATTGTCCCAGGAGCCCGTAGGGATCCACGCTGGAGTACAGCTGATTCACGAATCGAGGATTGCCCGTTTTCACGCTGTACTTAATCACGTTACGAGCAAGCAAAAGTAATTCTTCGTGAGAAACTCCTTGGTTCGAAAGAGTTAGATCGATGGCTGAACGAAGCTCGCTGGGCTCCATCCACTCCACCACTCGATTCTTCCTCGAAACTCCCTAACAAATTATGCAAAATATTTATATAATAAACGTTTCGAAGCCAGTGAGAATAGGAAAATGAAGTTTCCAACCTCACTTTCTAGATCACTTAGGCTTCATAATTTCGAAGATTATTTAGACAAAGGGTGATCAAAGTAGAAAATAACAAATTACCAAGATACACATTATAATTAAAGTAGAAAACTTCATATTACACAAATAGTAGTATTGCAAGTGTATCTTACGAAATTTTCCTTTCTAACTAATGAGTAATTGAATGGAATTTATATCTTTCTATTTCAATTTATTTAGGAGAAAAAGAAGAATTCCATTAGTTATAAGAAAATAAGGATTGGAATTCGTTTCAAGATAGAAATTCCCATTGCCATTGTTATTAGAGCATGTCAAAGAGTTCTACTATTTTTTGTTTGGTCTTGGAAGGGTTTTTGCATCATATTGCTTCGTTGTGTTTCTTAAAACGTAACCATTATATAGCGCGGTACTTAAACGAGTGACTCACTCTACGAGTAGAAGAAAAATGATAAAAACTTTCAGAATGAATGTGATGCGAGACTACAGTGTATGCAAGCCTATCATTTAACTATCACCATATTCTTGTTCTTTTTTACTTCGTTCGGTAACTACCTTGCATATCAAGTTGAAGAATGACTAAGAATAAAGAAGCGAAAGCGTACATTTTGAAACTTTGTAACTTATTGAGACATTCTAGAAAACGTTTATATCAGATTCAATGAAATTATTTTTCTAACAGAACAAAGTTTTATTGTTTTTATCGGCAATTAGCAAATCAAAACTTTTAACAGAATTTTTCTAATTTGATTCAGATGTGATCATCTATCTGCCTTTGTCCCGGACAAAGTTTATTTGTCTTTATTTAACTTGAATAAGGTCCATTCAAACTACTAAATTTGTTAGAATCTACACTATTGCTAAATTTATATACTTTTATCACTCAAACGCCCTTCATTTAAACTCTTCCTTGAAACCAATCTCTAAAACGTCTCTTTCTCACCTCAAATATTGCTTCTTCCAAGAGCAGATCGACGAATCTCCTCATGAACTTCTCATGCAGATTTCGCGTGGGCAAACTCTTGTACCACTCGTCTTCTTCACTATTTTCCTCGGCAACGATACCCGAACAATCCTCTAGACGTTCAACTTCATTTTCTTCTTCGCTGGAGCGACATGAATTCTTCTGGAATTCATTAACTGCTACGGAATTCCCAGAGACTTTCTCTAAGAAATTTTCTGTTGTTCGAGGCACAGTCTGATGCGAGGAATCGCCTAGAGTTTCCTCGTTCGCGGGCATGGTTCGAGTATCGACGTTTTCCTCGATCTGTTCCCGAGGTGCTCTGGTACAGTTTCCTTTATACGTTTAAATGCTCGAGAAATCAAGGACAAAATCGTTGTGTGCTAATTCTACCTTCCACGCGTTTCACACAGAAACATGAGCGACTGGTTTTCCTTTCCAGCTTCGTTTTTTGACTCTTGATTCGTGGCAAACCTTGGTTGAATGGGAAAATTGCTATGCCAGCTTAAAATAAAGAATAGTAAGCTAGCATGCCAGTGGTGCAGAATTTCATTAGCTAATTCGATAAATAAAATAAAATTTACTTTAACCGCATTCGTTATGAACATCATAACGCCTCGACATTCAAGGCGAATGAATGCTTTCGAACGCAATCAATTACATAATTTCTCTACTACGTTTCTTGTAATAAAGTTGCCATCATACATCGATAGTCCATGTACGGCTCATGTAAGTCAGAGATTGCAATCTTCTCTAATTATACGCTTTTTCTGACATATCCTGGAAAACAATACAACCGTTAAAGAATAGTTTCTAAAGATTCTCTAACAATATTAAGTAAAGAAGCGTCAAATTTTAACAACGTTATACATAAAATTTCAAACTTACAGTTTCTCTTAAGCTTCCAACACTGACCTTAATGCTTTTAAATATTAAATAACGTTTCTGTCATTGGGAATGCTGTAAAAAAGCAAATACATCATTCAACTATTGGCTGTTTCCGTTTTCTCACGCCATAATTTCAACAAGTATCGAGGACATCCCCAAATACGGGGAACTGGCATCGCGGTCAACCTGTTAATTAGGATTCCAATACAATTATAGATTAGTTTTCGACGATAGACACTCGAAGCCAATTATTAAATTTTCCATTTTCACTATTTTTAATTTGTTTTTTGTATCGAAACGAGCCATTTTAATTTTAATATTTTAATAATATCATATTTCTGTAATGTCACTACCCATAGATATTAAAATTACAATATCTCTTAAATCAATAATTTCTCGCCATAAATAGCTTGGTGATATCGAAGATATTTGTGCGAGCGAACCAACCGTTACGTCATCATTTCGGTTCTCATAATTGAATTTAATTGAAAAGAACGTGATTAAGAGGTAATAAATTATAATTGACAATGAACAGTTTGTTTAATATTCAACAAGTAGGTGGAGTTTATATTGTTAGTTTCTCGATCTCGGACAAACATAAAAGTATCGGCGATTAACAATTTTGTTCCATTCTTACATAAAACTGCAATTTAAACCACCATTTCCTCGTTTATCTATACAATCTGTTTATATAGTTTTTAGGTTTAAAGTATTTTGCGTAACAAAAACAGTTTACAGTGGCGGGTACAAGTTGACACACGCAGACTTCATAAAAACGTATCTGTGATCCGTTGATCACTACAGACGCACAGCAGACATTTAATCACGCATTCCACACTCCTAAAAAAAAGCCCATGTATCATAAACATGATTATAAATTCATACTATTTACAAATATTCAACAAATTCGTGTAAATAATCAGTTCAAATAGAACTTTAATCTCTCGGGTGCCAAAACTTGTGCCCATAATGGATTTGCACAGTTTTTTGTTTTACAAGTCTTTAACAATTGTTCGGTGCAATATATGAACCATTTACAAGCTACATCGATTAAATATTCACTTTTAACATATAAAAATTTTAATACCAAACCATTTGATCAATATACATAAACTTTTTATATTTACAATAAATTTCCTTGACCATTATACTCGGCGCTAAAAATTGACAATAAGAAATTCAAATTTTAAAAGGAATGTATATTAATTTATCAATTTCTTTGATTTTTCCTTTTATGGAGTTAATCGGACTTAGCTTGCAAACGACTCATATATGTATGTTATTCCAAAAAATTTGAGTTAATTTATATAAATTCTTCGTTACAGTTTACATGAATTTAATACTCATTTTCATAAAAAAAAATCAGTATTACTGGCACTTCGAGGACTAATTTGAAATGTAACGACGTTAGGATTATTTATACTCTGCCAGGAACTTGAGATGAAACTGTCTTAGGCTCTCGAGCATCGTTTTTATTTTTTCTTTCTGTGGTAAAATTGTGGTCCTAAAGTGATAGGTTCCGGGTCGTTGTCCAAAACCCGAGCCAGGTATTACGCATATTCCGGTGGTCTCCAACAATTTGAAGGCATAGAAAACGTCCGGCTGCTGGCCTGCCGCCTCCGCCGCTTTTATGGCTTTCTTTGGTAGGTCGATTCGTGGAAATACGTACATTGCGCCCATTGCTGGATTCACCTATTATTTAAATAAAAATATTCAGAAAATAATTGAGAAACGAGTAATTCCAAGCCTCTCAAGATGAACAAATTAGAGGTGTTTGGGGGCTTTGAATAATTCGGTACTGAAATTAATTTGTACGTAGAATAACTTTGATGATAATGGGACAAATCAATGAAAATGTTTCTTTTCGTACTTTGTAACCTGGAATGCTATTTAGTGTATCGACCACCAGTTCCGACCTTTCCGCCAACGAGCGCAAAGTATATTCCTTTTCCTTTTTAAATAGTTCGTACGATGGTTCCTGTGGTTTTGGTGGATTCACTACAACGTCCATTACGATTTGACCAAGAACGGTCGGGCATAGCATCGCGGAGATCGATTTCAATAAAATCGCCATTACTTTTGGATCCATATTTATGATCTCCGAGTACCCGCCACGGATTCCACACTCTCCCATATATCCTGCAAAATACAATTATTAGAATTGTTAGTACTATTTTCGATTCTGATGAAACTTAATTATCATTTATTTTGATCGACGACCGGTGTTAGTCACCGACGACCACCACGAACATTTTCACATTGTAGTAGTACCGGTCACCGGTAAATATCACGCTGATTTTCAAATCGTACTGTCAGTTATAGATGACCACCACCACCACCACACTAATCAGAACACACTGAACTATAATAAATTTCAAATACAACAAATTTCTCCAGACATTAAAAAGAAACTAAAAAGAAACCCACCTTTAGACACAGACATAAAAGACGCAAGTTCCATTTTGGAATAAGGTTCTCCCATTTCGGTCATGACTTTTTTGAACGAATGGAAGGCACTGTCCTTATCATAAACATTGTCCTGGTAAACCTCATCCGCCAACAAAAACAAACGATTTTTGTACGCAAATCGAATCACGTCCTCGATATTATTGCGTGTCAGAACCTGGCCAGTTGGATTCCCAGGATTTATCACAACCAACACTCTAGGATTGCAGTTTCTTTCAGATTCGTTCAATGCTCTGTCCAATTCAGAAGAGTCTAAGGCCCATTTGTTCTCCTCGTTAAGGTAGTAGCCGATCTGGGCCAAGCCAAATTCTGCCAATGTGGCTGAATAGAGAGGATACTGGGGAATTGGAATCATCACGCCGGATGGCTTTCCATCTATTCTCTCGTTAAATAGTTTCAGGAACGACTGCAATAAAACACAGTGCAAACTTTCGAGTCAACTTACGGATCACGTCTGATATTTATTTTAAGGATCATTACTGTAATTCCAAGCCCCAGTTAATTACAATGTTTAAAATTGAAATCTCTACAATCTATGCATCAAATGTTTCATTGGACAATTCAAAAACAACTATAATTTCGCCCCCCTTCCCTTTCCAAAATGCAGCCCTATGCAAAGTATGAACAATTGTAATTTGCTCACTTTAATACCATCGGAGGCGCCATTCGAAAGGATGATATTTTCATAGTTGCACGGGATTCCATCACGATCTTGAATATACTCGGCCACATGCTTGCGAATGATCTCGATCCCAGCTGATTCCGAGTATGCTCCCACGCTGCCTCCTTTGCACCCGCACAGGATGTTTCTAGCTCGCTCTTTTGCATCCTCTGGATAACTGGGGTCGTCCATGAGGCTTGGAGACACTGTCAGGGTCAATACTTGCCTCAGAAAGGTAATGGGTTGCTGACCCATTGCATGGGCATCTCCCACGTTGGCTTTTATCACTTCTTTGAATGGTTTTTTGGCCCCCTGAAAGAAAATTAATTAATATATCTGTGATTTATTGATCCTATAAAGGAACAATGATTAAATAAACTCTCTAGAAAAATTCTAAAGTATTTTGAATATTCTGAAAAAATCTAATAAATTATTATTATACATATAGTTATAAACGATATACAGAGTATACAGAGATCCTTTGTTCAGTTTTATTGTGTAATATTTAATAATTTATCGATTAAATAATTATTCTACACAAAGTATTCGTTATATTACTTTTTTCATTATGTAGAAACATAGTTCACACGTTCTGCGAATTCCCAGACGATTAAGTTGTTTGTTCCTTAACAAGTTTTAACATGCTACAACCGCCAATTGAAACGAAACTGCTCATGAAAGTATGATGACGCAAACGAGCTTCTAACAATGAATGCGATAAACCTTAATTTTTTTCAATTTCTTTTACCAGAATGTACTTTTTATTCCTTCGTAATTATTAAAAAGAATAATAATACAATTTTTAATTAACGAAGGTGTGAAATAAAAGTTTCGAGAAATTTGGAATTTTATCAAACAGGCATTGGTTCGATTTAATTAGGTCGCTCTGTATATTCCCATTTATAAATATTTTAGAACATTTCTGGATAAAATGAGGTCACAATTCTCAAGTTAATCGTGGGAGTGGGAATATACTTTTATGAGTCACTGTAAGTATGTATGTAAATAGGCACCATTTACGTCGTAATATGAATTCGAGTTACGGCACGAAGGTCGCTGCATGTTTGTGAAACTTTTATCTCTGTAATACGTATGTACCATACAGTGTTAAATTACATGGCTAAACAACAGACCACTTCAACAGATTTTCTTACAAAGGTAGCTGGGATCATTTCGAATGCTAGTCATCTATTCCATAACAAAATCAACGTATTATAATTTTTTCCTGATGTCTATCCAAACAATTTAAATTTTATCCATTCCTTGTGTAATATTTCACTCGATAATTTGAATTTTTATTTTTATTCGTAGAAGAATTAAAATCAATGAATATAAAATAAACTTTCGATGTTGTGAAGTTTTAATAAATAAAACTAAATTCTATAATCTCTAAGAAGCAATAAAATGATGAGATAATTAATTATCTACATTGTTAAATCTTATCAGATAAGAAATTTAACGCACAAACAAAGGAAAATTCTAGTTCTCTAATATAATTGTATGCTTCTAGATAAATAACTAATAAGATTAACATATGAATACTAAATTCATTCGGTCAAATAATTAAATTCTCGCCAGTTTTTCCTGAAATATTTCCTTCTATAATCGATATATTTTCATTTTTATCCGACGAGTAACATATAAAAAGTATATACTTTATTTGTTTTGTTCGAAACTTTTATCGAGATATCATGTTTTTTAAACTGATTTTGGTCAATGTTTTGTTTTCTGAAAGTAAATGTTAGTAAAATTTTGCATCGGATTAGCAATGATTTTTTGTGTTATTTCGAAAGTTGTGGGGCGTTTAAGTAATAGACACGCCAATTGGAACTCTATTCTTAGACGGAAACACCTTGAAAACGTCCGCTGCGTCAGGTGGTTTCAACTATATCATAAATCAGGACTAATGGAATATCTAAAACCATAGAAATGGCGCCCAATTAAGTAGCGAATCTAGAGTTCAATGTATCAGAAAATCTATAATCGATTGTACAACGCAGAGATAAAACATTAAATTATCTTTTATGTTTGTGCAATTTTAACCGAAACTGACAATTAAACCCATTTTAATGTATGGGGCGTACATTTGCACATATTATTAAACATCTTTAAGACTTGCAATTAAGATTTGCAAAGTCGAAACATTTCGATCAATTGAATACGCGCTCTCTCGAATTCGCCTCGAGTTTCTCGATATCGAGTACACATACGATACTCGACACACGCGACCAACACTCATAGCCACCCTCCACTCGCCTCATTCGCCAACTCGAAATATTTCGAGATCCTCCACTAACGCTTTCGACTATCTCGATATCGAGTCTACCGTACACTATAGAGATCAGAACAATATTGTAATCAATCAAATTTTATTGACACTTCTATCGCCTTTTATTTTTATTCACCCGTTCGCTTGATATTTCCTTGTTTTCTCCATTTAAAATCCAATGTACATGATAGAGATCGAACCATACTGTATCAAATTTATCAAGTGCATTGACACATTTCCCCCGTCGTTTTTTATTCTAATCTATCGATCACGAGTATTACATTTCCTTACTTCCTGAAGCTCCTTCCACGAGTCTATTGTACACGATATCGATCGAATTATATGTATACTGTCTGTCTAATCTACGAGAGTGCATTGACACATTTCGCCCGTCGTTTTTCAGTGCATATAGTTAATCGCCAACCACGAGTGATAATCTTACCTTTTGGAGCTCCTTTTCGATCTCGATGGCGCGCAATAAAAGTGGTCCGCGCACCGCGTATTCCATCTTCCGGAGGTTCATGAAGACGTTGTCCTCGGTGAGGACCTTGTTACCGGGCGTGACGCTCGCCATGCCACGATGGAGTGTTCTGCCGACGGCCGGCCGCTGGACTCTGCTTCCTGGCGTTACTGACCCCACAAAGGCATCCAGTCGTTCCCACGTCCTAGGCCGACTGCTCGCGATAACGGCGTTCCACCAACGTGCCCACGGCATTGTTCCACCGTGCGTTCCTCTCTCTTTACCTCTTCCGTTCAATCAGTCCGCCGACGGTTCCGGTAATTCACTCCGCAAGTCGTCTGGTAGGGGAGGGGTTTCGCGCATGCGCACCACCACCCTGGAACAAACCAAATGCAACGGTATATGAGCTATTCACAGGCCAACTCCACTTTTTTAATTTTTTTTTAATGTATACTGACTGACCCACATTTTCTCATCTATTTTTTTTTAATCTAAATAAAAAAAAACAAAACTGTTATGTACATGTCCCTTAGAGGTTTGTTTGAAACTTATGGAAATATGGAAATTTTAAACTAACAAATGTTTACCATTCCAAGTTGTTACAAGTGTTATTATGGTCCCTTTTAGCAATTTAGCAGAACTGGAGTTACTGTCAGTAACTGTCAGACCCGTTCCTCGACTCGTCGTTTCACGGCAAAAAAGGCTTACCTTCGTACTTACTTGCACAGTTCCGAGTCTACGTCGCGCACAAACCATTATCATTCGATTCATTACTTAGAGCAGTTACAAGTGACAGAAATTACAAAATAATTAACACAAGTTTCTTTTTAATCAATTTAGATCGACGTCCCCGAGCAATTTCCACGACGTGAATACGTTATTCGTTCAAATTTCCTACAGATTAAAGAAAAAGGACCCTCTAGGAAGCTTTCTTTTGCATTCTTCTCTTGCACCGTTCTCTCACCTTAAAACCTCATTCGTCAAGCCCGGAACGAATACGTTTGTCGGTTTCGCGGAGGAACCACGCGGCCGTTAGCTTCCATGAATCTGAGCAGTTTGTCGTTGTGGACGGTCCGGTTCTCTGCGGAACGGAGCGTGCGCAGGACGAGGCAAACCAATTCTTTTCTACATCAATCGGATCGTCTGTTATTTTATTCCAAGGCATGTCTTGGGTCACGATCTTTGCAAGTACTGTGAACCGCCATAGGTCTACCGAATTCTTCTCGATCCTCTGACTCGGGGTTACGGCGAGGTGAAAGGTCCTTAACCTGTTCGATAACCTAACCCTGTCGCTATTGAGGACGAGATATATCGATTCTACGACGTCTATACGATTATTTATGCAATCATTAAAAAACATTAACTTCGATGCGTTGTAGTTACTAATTAATGATTACAAGTGTACTATCTGTACTATCAGTACTATCTGTAGCAAAGTAGTTAGTGACTGTACTATTGGTAAATCTTGAAAAACAGACTTGAAGTTTTGCTGGTAATTAGTCTCTTCTTTACCGACAATGAAATAAATTAAATATAGCAATAGAGGGCATAAATAAAAAGAAAATACGATAAAAATTGCACTCGTTATCAGATTTATTATACAATGTTATGTATCTAAGTAATTTAAGGTATCTTTCAAGGGTTTCTTGACATGAAATTGTGTTCGAAATAGTTGTTACACACTATAAGATTCGAAGCAATTAGAATCTACGAGTTCCACCACTAATCGGAGTGCAAGCTTTCAATTATAAATATACAAGGTGGTTCACCTTAATTACTTGGAAATCGTTCAAATTTGTTTAATAATTCGTTTTCCCTCATTTTGAAATTTCTATTTCTTCTATCTCAATGACTGAAATAATTGTAATAAGACAAAATTCTAGCGGAAAAGTCCATCGACATTGAACTTCCGGACGTAGTGGTGACGTAACTAAATGGCACGCAGAGGTTAGGTTCATTGAAATTTTGCCATAACATAAACAACAAATTCTGACGATGCATCGTTAATTGCTATACGAGACAAGGGGGGAACGGGGCGAGAATGTTGTCGTTTTTACGAAAAATCTCTATCGGGGGCAAGATAAGAGATGGTCTGCCAACGGGAGACGAAATGGACGTTACGGAAGGCTTTCCGGATGGAAGAAACCTAACTCTAATATCACAATCCGATACCGAACTCAAAGAATCTGTTTATGGCAAGTTTCTATTACAAAAACAAAATGTTACAGAGTCCATTTTCAATCTCTGCCAATTAAACTTTATTTCTTCTTTGTTCAACAGCTAATAAGAATGTTTTAATTTCTATAATTTCAATTTTTTAACAAACTTATCACAATTACTTCTTACTTTCCCGAAAAAATATATCCGAACAATTTTAATTTAACAGTCTATTTACAAATCATTCTTGTTGAGCTCAATAAAATTGAAAAATCATTGTAGATTTGCTCAGAACTATCAAGGATCCTGAAAAGCCGCAGACATTGGAGCAGCTGGATGTTGTTTATGAAGAGTGCGTTGAAATTTCAAAGCAAACACCGAATGGAGTGTCTGTGATACGCATTGAATTCAATCCAACCGTGCCTCATTGTTCTTTAGCAACCCTAATCGGTCTTTGCATTAGGATCAAACTGGAGCGTTATTTAGTGGCTCTTTTTAAACTAGATATATATATTAAGAAAGGTGCACACTCTACAGAGCAAGAAAGTAAATATAACATATTGCATAATGTTAATCTAGTAGTTTCTTAGTATTAATGGAAGGTTTGCTATTTTAGTAAACAAGCAAATAAACGATAAGGAACGAATCGCTGCAGCTATGGAAAATCCTAGCTTGAGAGAGCTAGTAGAAAAATGCATCCAAGAAGAGGAATAAAAGATCCAAGTTTCCAAATTGTAATATCTTATAATTTTCTAATCAAGAACCGTTGTAAATCCAATTTTTAATAATTGACTATTTAATCTGATGTAAATAATCAAGAATATACAATTTCGCTATAGCTATAAGAATCCTTGTTTGAGAAAGCTGGTGGAAAAATCGGGGTTTCCGAAATTGTAACATCTGTGTTATTATTTTTATATAATAATTCTTTAACAGAGGATTGTTTGCATCCAAATTTTTAAATAAAGAATATTTTATCCAATGTAAATAATTAAAAATAGATGGTTCACAATTCCAAAATACAGTTAGGTTTTATTTTATGTTGATAAAATATTTTCTTCAAATGAAGAGAGTGATATGGAAAATGTATAGTATTGTTAAATGTACACCTGGTGATCATAAGTTTGAATAAAATAATTTCTATTATCTATTTCTAGAAAGAGTTACATTCATTTTTCCATAAGCTTCACAACATATTTTTGTAATTAGGTTTCCAAACCTTGAGTTCTAAATGTAATATTCCTATTTCTGCTTGGTCGACATTTATCGACTAATTTAGTACAATTATCCCATATTAGCGTAATATTGAAGTAGAAAATGAATCACGACTTAATGCTTCTATATTACAATGGAACAAGTTTTATTTAACAAAAAATAAATTATTATGACTATCCTTGTGTTTTCTTTAAAATTGCAGTTGCATTTTTTGACTTGCCAAGGTTTTTTTTTCTATAAAAAAAACAAAATTTGACTAGTTTACTGGAAGAAAGGTGTATGTTACGTATGACTGAACTTTGATTTATTGTGGAATATTGTATTTTGTACTTATTAATCATATCCTAATATCCTCTGCACCACAATACTTTACATCATAAGTCCACAAGGAAGTCACAAATAATAATAATCTATTATCTGGCGGAAGGAGAATTCCTTTTAAAAAATCAACTACAACTAAAGTTTGACTCCAATGAAAAAAAACAAATCGTAACTCTGAAAGACCGTCGACTTCGAAGAAGAACTGAAAGAGTTAACGGGTGAGGGGAACGATCAGTGAGAGGTGCCGCGGGGACGGACTGAGAATTATCCAGGGCCCCTTTCAGGCCCCCGAAGATGTTCCCCAGACGGTCGAGTGGGAAGAATCTAGGTTACTCGAGCCAGAAGGGAATGTGGGCCGGCTATATACCGGTTCACTTGCTCGTACACCGCAGTTCATTCTTCTTTCTAGTCGCGATTGACCAGTCGACGAGCTTGCGCGATTCGACCAACCAGAAAACTAAGGAAACTATAATAAATTCGTCGTTAATTTTTCGTAAATAGTTCGATAGTCGAGGGCTCTTGGTGAACCTAAAGGACGACCCAGAGAAGATTTTTTTTAGGTAAGTGTAAGGGAAAATCGAAAGCGGCGAGGTCGTCATCGATCGCCTACCTTGTGACCTACCGGACGAACTCTGAGCTTTCTCTTCGATGATACGGTTTCCTATTTTTACCATTTTGGCACGGCCTTCCTCAAAACCGTGCCTGTTTTTACGTGGGATTCAACGAGTATTCAAATGGAAATGCTTTTTTTCATTGATGTTTTTGTGGAAATGGAATCTAAGTTGGAATGAAAATTTTCGAATATTCTTATTTTTAAATAAATTGCCTTAGAAATAGAATGTAGACTGGTTCGGAAATTTCTTTTAAGAAAATTCTCTTTTTTAGGAATTTTAGATACGATTTCGTATCGAACGTTTTAAAAATAAAATCCAGTTTCATACGAAAAAATCTAGGCTGACTGAAAAATTTATTTTTGATACCAATATTCTCAATTTTTCAAGAAATTTCAATTTTCAAACTATGACAAAGTACCATAAAATGATAACAACAGTGAATAGTTTTTAGTCAAAAAGTTACCAAGAAAGATTAAAAAATGTACACTTTACAATAGAATAGTTCCATAAAATTTGTATAATAGATGAATGGTGATGAATTTTAAGAACATAATTTCTCACTGAATTATCAATTTTTAAACTATGGTAGAGAGCCATAAAATGAAAACGATAGTGAATTGCCAAAATCATTAATCATTAAAGTCTTTGTTTCCATAAACAAAAGAGTATATGATCTATAGGTCTGTTAATTAACATATAATAAATTACCTTTAATTAATGGCTTATCCTTGATTGCCTGATTCATTGTTTTTCATCTATGTTTGCATTCTTTTCTCAAATTCATACCACAAAAATCCAATTTTCTCATGCTTTTCATATCCAAGAAATTTAGTAGTTCCTAAGTGCAATCCCTTGCTAAACAGAATCCGCTTGCTGTTTAAAATAATAAATTCATAATAACAATAATAAAGTAAAGAAAACAAACAATCCTACTTTCTTAGTATATATCGTTAATCCTAATTTTTTTTTAATTTCTCGATTAAAAGAATATTGCAAAATTTATAATTTTGGAATAGTATAACTCATAGAGATTAAAATACACAAACATTCGAAACCAAACTTGTGTTGCAAAATAAAACAATTAAAAACAATTCTGGGATTGATTTCAAAAAAATTTACAAAAATTATAAAACAAAAAGAATATCACGGATAATATTAATTTCATTACAACAATAACTTAATTAAAATGATAATTTATACAAAATGGATGAACAATTATGTGACAGAAGTGAAGAAACTGTTTAGACTAATTTACATGCGATTTTGAGCCACAATTTTTCGAATTTAACGATTCTGATGCATCAAACTATAAATTACGCATTTCCAAAAGAATGTCCTCGACTGGGTAAATAATTTTCTAGATTAATAACCTTTGTTGTTTTCTTACAGCAAATTTTTCGATTTTCCAGCGTGAATGCCGGTATTAGGTTTTGAGTAAACATGCTTGTTTCGAAGATCCCTCACTTTCCCTTCGATTCGTGAACGGTGTAGAGATTTATCTTCGCGAAGGTGCTTTCCTTGCGTAAGTCGGTGCAAGTCTATGTACGCAACAATCTAACAAGAAGTACATATTATCTCTAGTGAGAATTCGTTACAACTAGATCTTACGATATCCTTTCATGAATGGGAAAAATAGAAACTAACCTGTTTTTCATCGTCACTTTCTGTCTGAAAATTTGTTTGCGATCAAAATTTGGACGAAAATTGTCTTCCACGATGCTGCAATGCGAAATATTATTTCTAGTAGGAATTGCGTTACTAAATGTTGCGATGCCCTTCCATGAAAGGAAAAAAGGGAAGCCAACCTACTTTTCTTTCTATCGCCAGATTCCAACTGAAAATTCTTCGGCGATCGAAACTTGGAGAGAAATTCTCTTCCATGATGGCCGAGTTAAGTTCTGGCAAACGTGAGTTGAAAATGTACACGCTTTCGAAAGAAATAAGTGGGACAAATTCCCCGACGTTTTCGTAGGGAAATTAATACATTCACCGTACCCGTTAATTTCATTTTAACTATATGAATACAAATTCTAATCAAAAGAAAAAACGTATTTTAATATAACTACCTAGTGTCTACAGCGTAGGTTGTAACATAGAGAATACACGATACCATGCGATCATTTTTTCTTTGTTTCTAACCTTGTTTCCTTCTTTCTCCACTTGGAAATGTTGGAGTGAGAAAGATTGGTGGGAAGAAATATGGGGAATTAGATTCCAAACGTGTAGTCGAAAATATGTTCCTAACCAGAAATAATTCTTTTCTTTGGATATAGATGCCCTATCTCTCCTATTATCGAAATAAATTATGTCCCAACGATCTGATAAATAGTAAATTAAACATAAATCTAAATTTAAACTACGAATCAACAGTCATTCTTACACACAAGCACACATAACAGGTGCTACCAGTAACCTACATTGTATAATACTTCGGTGGGCGTTTGAATTATCTTTTGGCATAAAAAAGCGATTAGTTTGTTTTATTCACTTTCTCAAATATATACTATTTATTCGTTTGTAATTAGTAGGAAGGTTATATATTCGAAATAAAATTCATTTAAAGCATTTCGTAATATGATTTTAGATATGCTTTCTCAACAATTTTACTCACCAATTTGTTTCTTTTTCTTTTTTCCGTCGAACGCTTCGGCACGCTCGTGTTCGGTTTTTTATATTGGTGTACTCGTTCCGAATACTTGAGACCTCCTCATATGCAGCGGGCTTACCAACAAACGAGGAAGCCGTTAAGGGAGATGCAGTCACACACAGCCAATTGTGGAACCGGACGATATAAAGCCGGCCAAATAACGGTTTCACGAGCATACATGCGGATACAAAATAAACTCACAATATCTCTCTCTCTCTCTCTCTCTCTCTCTCTCTCTCTCTTTGTCTCGTTCCTTTGCCAATTGCCCTTTCTTTTCACACGTTTACTGTCATGGTGGCCACTGGTGACTGGTGCATTTAACCTACGTTTTTTTTTTAATACGATTACGATAAATGAATTTCAATATAAATATTTAGATAATGTTATCGATAATACTAATACTAATTTTATTGAATACCATAAAATAGCAGTATTCCATTAAAGTTTCTCTCTTTCTTGTTCCATCGCGATTGTCCTTTCTTTAATACATTCATTACCATAGTGGTCACTGATGATTCAGCAGCCGATAACAGCTGTCTGTCAAAATATTATATATCTCGGCCGGTAAATTGTTCCTGCCGCCGGTAACCTGAGATCAAACGAAGATAAAGATTGAATTCGGCGATTACATTGCTTTTCGATAAACATTAAACTATTTGATGTGAAAGTGAATGGGTCTCTTCGATTATGTTGTAAATTGAGCAACAGTTTGTAGAATTTTATTGGTGATATTTCACAATTTTTATAAAAGGTCTTGGAGCGAATCGAAAGTTAAATTTCAGAATGAAAATTGATAATTAGACACGATAAGGAGAAGCAAAGTATGTTGCAATATGTAATTTGCACGGAAGGTGTTAAAATTTCCAAAGTAGACGGTTGTTGACCGGATGAGGCTTTCGACACCCATATTCTATTAACGACAATCTTTCACAGATACATTGTGCAACAATTACTGTTTCGTTACGAAGCATTAAGAAACCCAAACTCATACATACACTTCGTTATTAAATGAAAAATAGTTTCTTATTAAAATCAAATGTAAAAGAAACAACAAATTTTGAATAATATAAAAATATTAAATATTAAATATGGAATATTTATTGTACACTACTTTAATTAGAATTTCGTTTTCACCGTTAAAGACGTTAGTTTTCTCATGCTAGAGATAATAATCGCGATGGTATAGTAATTGTACTTTACATTGTGTTGGCGCACTTCAAGCTATTAATTACGAATCGTCTGGCGGTGTCGCGTAGATGATTTAGAAAGTTGCAAGCCCATAGAACTATAAGGAAAGTTAGACAGCGCGTTAGAAAAAAACCATTAGACCTGTTGCAAAACCCCCCTCACATTTTTCACTGTCGTTGGCGTGAAAGAGCAATCCCCGGAGATGTGCATCCTTTCCTTCTCGGATCATAATTCATTCCTGTAAAGTCTCCTTTCACCCTCGACAAAGATCCCTTCCCAACAAACTTTTACCTACTAAACATTCAGAACGGAAAATAATTCACGGTCCAATGCTTCCTCATGAAATAGAAACTTTAACACGATCTTCGAAACTTTTTTATTTATGCCATTTTTCCTCGGCAAAGATTATAAGATTAATTAATTTTTTATCCGACGATAATATCTATATCGTTTTTTTTTCTTCTATTCTTATTTTAATTCCCAATTTGTTGTTTACTACTTGTATCGAAAGATTTTTCCCATTAACTATAAATAAATAATATTTATTCGAAGAAAAGAATTTATATTCGCATAATCGCATCGAGAGACTTGCAAATTTAATTTAGAGCTGTGTAGTTTTTATTCTTTACTTTATACTTTATCATTTGATATACTTTTTCCATTGTTAAATACCTTTTTTTTCGAATCAATGTCTCTGATTTCTTTGGAGATTCTGCACTTTTTGACTGTCGACCTAAAACAAAAAAACAATGCGCCAATGGGGAATTGAAATAAAATATAATTTACTTTTGATAAGATTGAAGTAAATAAAAATGCAATGTTCTTTCTTTTCCCTTTCTTTAAGAACCAAAAATATGAGGACGTTATGGCTGATGGTCCTCCTTGGTGGAATTATGGTAAACGCACAACGGCGACTTGCTCTTCCCGATGCACGTAGTTGTGCCAACCGTAAGTATCACTTCAAGATTTACATCAGGATATTAAAACATTCATTCGTTTTGAACTACCATCTAATCTTTCAAAGTTGAATGGTTAATCTAAATTATTCTAATCGTTGTTGTCTCAAGTGTTGCAAAGTTGTTTTTAACGGAGCAAAACATATTTAATTTAATATTTAAAGAGTGAAAAATTAAAAAAATAACAAGAAATTGCATCAAGTACTTGTTACTTATTTATGATAATTAATGTGAATTAATTTGAAAAATGAGAAACAAAAATTTCCATTATGCATTTGAGTTATTTCATCCATAACATGTTTATTAATAAATAATTGTTATTATTTAATAACTTTACTCTTTGCCATTTACTTTCTACAAAAACCCGTCGTCAACTATTAAACAAACCACTTTCTCCGTTACGCAACCACTTTACAAGTAAATAAGATTAACATTTAGAGTCTTCTCTATAAACTACAAAATTCTGTTATTCTATCCTAAGTAAAATATTTAATTAAAATTAAATATAAATTTAACTGTAATTATAGTCAGATTTTGCTCCCTGTTTCTTACATTCTTTTAAAAAATTTTTTCATCATCTTATAACATCTTTTCTATTTAAGAACCAAATTAAAACTGACCGAATCTTTTTCAGGAGTGCGACACGCCACTTACAGGGACGCCAGGGGTGTCGGTCACTCGTATTTTTTCAGCTGGGAACACCAACCAACCAGGAGTTTGGAGGTGGATTGGTTGGACGCTCGTAACATCTGCAGAAGGCATTGCATGGACGCAGTTTCTCTTGAAACTCCTCAAGAAAATGAATTCATTAAACAGAGACTCGTCAGAGGTAAACAATACATTCAATTTCATTTAAAATTTTGTACTAATTATTAATTAATTCTCATTCAATTAACTAATTGTAATTTTTCTATTTAAAAACTTACAGGAAACGTGAGGTTCATTTGGACTTCAGGACGCAAATGTAATTTTAATGGATGCGATCGACCAGATCTCCAACCACAAAATATCAACGGTTGGTTTTGGTCAGGATCTGGAGCTAAAATAGGCTCCACTACACAGCGTAACTCTGGCGATTGGAGCAATACAGGTGGTTACGGACAACCACAACCTGACAACCGTGAAGCTGCTCAGGTATTTGGAATTTCCAAACAATATTACACGATTTTAATGCGTCGATCACTATAATGTATATATATATATATATATATGTTAATGATTTTCTGTTCCAGGGCAACGACGAGTCCTGTCTGTCTATTTTGAACAATTTCTACAATGACGGCGTCAAATGGCACGACGTGGCCTGCCACCATCGAAAGCCATTCGTCTGCGAAGACAGTGACGAGCTTCTGAACTTTGTGCTCTCCAGAAATCCTGGCATACGCCTCTAAACCCTCCGCAAAAGCTTCCATTGAATCTTAAACGTTCGATTTCTAGAATTTATGCGACAGAAAATATTTAAAACATACTATGTTTCATCATTATTTAATACTAAATTAAAAGCAAAACCTTGCGAAACAAAATAGTTAGAAGTCGAACGTTTCATCTCTGAGTTCATTTGATAAAAAATATTTCAAACATAAATTTTGTTTCATTGTCATTATTTAACCAATTAATATCCACCGTTAATTTAATTTATCTGCAAGCTACAATGAAACGATTCGGAAGCTTGTGGAATTAATCGATTACAAGTCAAATGATCCAGAATATCAAACTTTTTGTCTGGAAGCTGGCCTACTATTAACTTTTATACTCTTTTATATAGAAAATAAAAAGCATTTGCAGATGATTTCAGGAGTTTAAATTTCATTACCGTAAAATTAGATAGCGCTAAGTTTAAAAAAAATTTTTATTTTGTCCCTTATTAATTGTAGATTACACTTTCAGAGCGTATTTCCTTGGAGGGAAAGCAGATCGTTTGCGAATCTCTTTCAGTGTCTTTCTGCTGGCCTGGTAAGGTGTTAGAGCCCTTCTTAGGGCTCTTGTTTTCTTTGGCCTCAAATCCAGAGGCTTGTACTTTTTGTTCTTATACAACAGACGCAAGTTCTCCTTTTGCTTTTGGTGCATGATTATGTAGACCCTAGCTATTGCCTTCCTCACTACACGGCTGAAGTACACAAAATTTACAAATTAGTACAAATGGAAAACAAAGATTCAAAAATCAATAATTAGTTTAATTGCATTTTGTATGTTATTAAAGGAAACTAGAATTGTAAGAAGTAAACAAAAAAATAATAAAATAAACTTTCGATGCACTTTGAATTCTTCAATTTTTACTTGTACATGGTTATTATTTAATTCTTACAATTTCAATAAAATGCTTGAGACGGAAAGCTTGTCTTTTGCTTTAGCATCTATCTATCTGAATAATGAATAAAAAATTAAACAGTATGAATATAAAAATGGCTCTGATCGGTGTCGGTAGTGCACGACATGTGTCGGCAATGAATGTGCTAAATGACTAATAGGGTTCTAATTTGTTTATTAACTGTGTCTAACATAAACGTATAAAGGTTCTGATTTGAAATGTGTAACAGTCCAAGAATTGATGATATTGCATTGAACGAACAAGTTTCAAAATTGATACATACATCTTCGAAAGCTTGGAAGCAGCTCCCCCGGTGACCTTGGCGACACGAAGATTTGTCAGCTCCATTTTGAGCTCCTCCAGCTGCTTCAACAACTCTTTCTTATCCTTCGTCCGCAATTCAGTACACTTAACCTTACCCTGGAATAGTAATCACAATATTCTCCATGACACTTTTCGAACACATTCAATATTTTCAAAAATTCAATTATTATCGCCAATAAAAACATTTCAACATTTTTAATAAATAATTTTTAAGCTGGAATATTTTAAACGTCATTCAAATAACAAAATTTTTAATGAGTACTTTGAACGTTAAGTTTAAAGTGAAAATAAAGGTTACGTTTTCATGGTTGTCGTTTTGCACGCCATTATTGAAAATAAAAATATATAGTTATTTCGGTTCACAGTAGGGTCGAGATAATTATAATTAAAATTTTAAAAGGCGATCGACTATGATGGTTTAAATAGAAATGGATTTTCACTAGATCACTAACCATCTTGCGCTTATTCTTCTTCAACCGGAAAAGAATCAAGGGACAAAGTCACGAATCAACGACACGTGTAAGTATGCGACTCTATAATACGAAAGTAAACGTTTACGCCATCTGGTAACTAAAGTAAGAACATTCGTTGCGTATTTGTACCAATGAAAACAATTTTAGAAAACCTTTCGAAACGAGGCTACAAAAAAGTTGGACATTAAACATTGTACATTTCAATGTATGCAATTTATCTAATTGTTTTGGTTCCTTCTTACTCTTAAACGTCTTTCTTGTTAGCGTCTGGCATTCTCTCCGTATTTCCAAATGGCACCACTATTTCTTACCAACTACTAAATATATTAAGGGATTTATTACAATGGCGGGAAAATATCTATTACAGCACCATCTACGGCAGAACGCCCAAGTTTGTTGAAAAATAGTTCGTTCCTTCCAACGCCAGATGCCGCCCCCAATATAATAGATCGAAAATTATCTTTTCTTTATTTATTTATTTATTTACAACAGTTAAGTCTCTTTTAGGAGCATAACTGCAGTTAAAAAATTTAGATTTTTTAATATACTTAATATACATTTCTGAAATTATTACTATGTATTTAAATTTTTGTGGTTATGTCTAGGTTAAATTGGATGTTTCTGACGGAGTGAAAACGCATCGAAAACGATAAGAAGCGCCTTGATTTTCGGTTCTTTGTAATAAAACACTTTTTTTAATCAACTACTGGTCGATAATTTACTAATTACTCTTTTCTTGGGATTAATTGATGGGATTACTTTAGGGCTCAATTCTCTATAATTTTATGAGATTGGATGAAATTTGTCAGTGTAAAATGTTTCAAGAATACTAAATTATCGTATTTGATAAGTAATGTTACTCTATTTAAACGTATAATAAAAAAAAATAAATATTATTATTAGTCTAAATAACCTTGTCGATTCAATTGCTTGAAAATTAAAATTAAAAAAAAATATTGTTAGCCTTAAATTTCCAATAATGAATGTCGGTGAATCACAAAATTTTCAACATTTACTCCTGGATCAAGTTTTTTTGAAGGTAGATTTGAGTAAGAATAAAAGAATTACTTATTAGTTCGGAATTGCAAGGATTTCGATATTCAATCTTTGATGTATAGCGAATAAAATTAATTTTTCATATTTTGAGTCTAATAAATTTTTTTAAGGGTATACAACAAAATGAACAGCTGCGAAAAGTATGGACAGCTTACAGAAATGGTCATTTGAAAGTTTCTGAAGCATTACAAGTTTTTCAAAAGGATGTACATGTAAATTGCATGGTTCCGATTGGAAAGCGAGCACTAATGAAAGGAAAGCTAGTTCATACTAACGAGGTTTTAGTTTGCTTGGGCGACGGTTATTTTGTCAAGTACAGTGCTTCTGGTGCAGAAGCTTTGTGTAAACGAAGAATACAAGGTATCGATAAACTAATTAAATTAAATTTTACGATTGCAAATACAATTTACATAACGGTGATGTTTCGTGTAGAAGCGGAGGAAACATTGAAAAACCTAGACATGGAAAGAGATTTGTACGAAACTAGAATGGCTATAAAGGAAAGTAATCTTTTTGAAGATTGTTCCAGCAGAGAAATTGTAGAACATTGGAACAAAGATCAAGTGGAAGAATGGAAAAGTAATGATTTTTTTCAAAGTTTTTCTTAATTTATGTACGTGAATTTTTGATTTGTTGCAGAGAAACACAGAGTAAGTGAGAGGGAGTACAATAAAAAACTGGCAAAACTCAGACAAGAGGAACAAAAGAAGATCCAGACGGAGGAAGATCTATTTCATAGGCTCGATCAGCTGGAAATTGAGGAAGAACTGGCTGATGAATTTAACAGGTAATCTGTTTGTTACTGTTTAGGAGCATAGTTAATAATAAATTGAATTTTCTTTGGAAATAAAAGGTTGAAAGAGGTGGAAAGAAAAGGAATGAGAATTACAAGCATTCTATACCATATTGATTATTTAAATATTCTATATTTTACTAAAAATTAAATAATTAGTAATTAACTTTCAGTCTACAATTTTTAAAAATTTGTACGTTATCCTTGTTTAATTTGAAATATTTTTGATTATAGACTGGAGGATGAAAGATACCAACTCCTTGGAGAGGAATCCTACAAAGAAGGAGAAGAAGAAGAAGAAGAAGAAGAATTAGAAGAAGAAGAAGAAGAAGAAGAAGAAAAAGAAGAAGAAGAATTAGAATTAGAAGAAGAAGAAGAAGAAGAATTCTATGAAGAAGCTGAAAGTTCTTCAGAAAGTGAGAAGGAAGATTCTAAACAAAATGAGACACCTATTTCCACTTCTGAAAGGAATAAAAAAGAAATTGGACAATGCAAAGTAAGAAAATCAGTTTCGTTCGTGGATCAAGAAGATCTAGTAAATAAAGAAGTTAAAAATACAATAAAAGGAAGAAAAGAAAGCGAGGACATAGAAGATTTGGAGGAAGAAGTTCTTAAAATAGAATTTAGTCATTCTGAAAACAATGCAGTTACTAAATCGGACGACGATTCTATTAAAACACCTGCAGATATTTGTAGAACATTTTTAAAAGCCAAATCTAATTTGAAGAGGTCTCCTAACGATATTCCTGTTAAAATTGCTTCTCCTGATTATAGTACAGAAGAAGAAGATGATGAAGAAGCGTGCACGAAATATTCTACTTACGAAACGGTAAGAATATTATCTATTTTTGTTGAATTTTAGGTAGATTAACAGTATTTCAACATAAAGACACCTTTTAAAATTTGAATTTGAAATTATGTTATATATGACATTAAAAATAACGTAATTTTCGTTTACAATTACTTCGACACTTATTCGTATTCAAAGTGAAAAAAAACAGACAGACAGAAAATGATAATACTTTTGCGATTTCTAGGTGGTGAAAGACATTAAAGAAAGAGATTTGTCTCTGAAAGTAGAAGCTTCGAAGGTAGATGAAGAAACTAGACCAGTGAGTAGATTTAAAAAAGAACGTAAATTAAAAATGTAGTAATTTAAAAATGTTGTACAATTGCTTTAATACCACTGTCTTTTTTAATAAAAAAATATTTTCTAACGAAACATTGTGTTTTGTTCTTGTTTTTCATGCGGTAGCTAAGGAACTCGAAATAAAGAGTAAAATTTTCATTAGTTTTACTTGGAAAAAATACCGTGAATGTTCCAAAGATGGGTAAATTATATTTGATGAATCTAAATATGTATAAAGGAAACTTTGATTTTTTTTAAAAAAATACCAAACAATCATCATGGATGACCAGAGTTAAAATTTATTTGGATTTATTTAAATCATCCACAGTTGGTTAGATGTTGGACAACAGACTTGAAGAGAAGTGGTTCGTTTATAACACATCCCTGATTCGCTTTTAATCTCGATGGCCGGGGAACGAAGAGGCTCGGTATGGCAAAAGTGACGAAATAACAAACATTTTGTTAGACTCGCAATGAGCGAAGCCTTTCTTAATTCATTATTCACATCATGATGTTTCATAAGAAACTAGGTACATTAAACATCGTGCATAGACAAGAGATGACTGAAATCGTCCGAAGGATTGTTGCATAATGTCGGAATGAATTTAGAGCATGCTCCATTGAAGCTATGACGACCTTGTCCATCATGCTAGCTCGGGGAAGATTATCAGATTGCTTTCAGCCATCAAGAAAGTACTGGAAGAGACTCATTGTCAGTACCATTGTGCAATAACAATCCTCCAGTTAGAAATTTAGTTTAATTCGTGTTACGTCACGAATCTATGTTTGTGTTCGCATTGTTTGTTTTAATTAAACAATTTTTTATTTTCTCTCATTTTTAAAGCGAATTCCCATCTTCGATAATAGTTACTTGATAACGAAATTTAGTTTCAAAGGGGTATTTTAAGATTGAAAAATCGATAATTAACACTTTTAACAGTTTTTTTCTTTTATTTTAGTACACGGTATAGAACTATAGTGAATGAAGCCCATCTCAATTAGGAAAGAATCTTTTTAAAACGCGTAGAATGGCCGAAATTATGGAAATGATAACAGAATGTTTTCTTGGTGTCCCATGGCAAAAGCAAGTAGACATGGTCGTTAATTAAGCAAATGGTTGTGCAGGGAGCAAGGTGTTTATCGCAACGCTGTAGCTTCCGTTTCGTTGACGTAACGGAGAGCAACAATCGGGGAAAGGTTACGAAAGGAATCGAAAGTGAGAATTCGCACAGTAAATAAACAATAAACCAGTCTTGATTAGGTCCCGTTTGACTCGTTGATTCAGGAGATTAGATCGATGCCACGATTAGGCCCCCCATTGTCATAAACGAGATCAACGATTATTAATCACGTTCTACTCTGTAATCTGACGAACCGTTCTCAGATACCGGAAAATCAAATTCGACCATTGGGTATAACAAAGTTTGATCTATTTATCGATGGAATCTTTAAAGAATGTTCTTGTTAATTGTAAAACATTTCTTCCAACAGGCATTACATTACAACAACAGTTCCATCTACTATCGAAGACAATTCGAATTTAGCGAACACCGGATCTAGAATCCAGTTTTATGTTGGATTTATCTCTATTGCACATTGCTTTTTATCTCTGACAGTTTCGAGGGATGGGTACACGTAATTCCAACAGGATTACACGATCTACCGAAACTTTCGATTCGCCGAAACTCAGGATTATGCTCCGTAGATGGACAATGGTCCTTAATTAGGCCTCGATTGGCTAATTAGCAGACGAAATGCTCGAGGTGTCCCACGACGGTGAAGCAACTAGCTTTCTCCAGGGTGGAAGACGCGCTGCGCCTCTCCCGCGTTACTCTCATACCGGCCCCGAAATCATGCTCCGGGGATTCACTAAATAATGGGAAGCAATGTTCTCGCACACGCGTTCACGTTCCTATGTGAACTAGAGTACACGCTGACAAAGTGGGAGATCCTACTCGGATCCAGGGTCCTCCTCCGAGTCTAGATCAGGTCCCAATCCAACACAGGAAATGAATCTTCGTAGGCGTACACCTAGCTTAGCTCTCTATATATAAGCTACCTAGGAAGGAAAACCGTCAACCATAATTCAGCAATTCGTTAGACAGTTACTACCGGGGATATTTACTTGTTTCGAATATGGATAGGATAGTGCGACAGGTAAACATGTTTCATAAGTGTACTCGGGTGTATTTCGGTGCACAACGTGCTTTCTTCCACGACACCATTATTATAATATCTATGGTGATAGTTTTGCTTGCGTTGTTAGTTTGTGACCAGTGATTCCCGATGGAAACGTTTTTTCATTAGGGCCCCCTGTAATTTCATGCATTTGTTCAAAACATCATAACTCCTGAACCGATTGGACGATTTTAATCTTTCAAAATGCAAACAACGCGTATTCTGGTGAAGAATATTTGGAGATTCCGACAACGTGTGAAAAGTTGTTCCTTAGCCCCGTAAAGTGAGAAAAATTAATCGAAAGGGGTATCTGGTTACTCGTATACCTCGTCAGTGATTCTATTCCTCGCTTTTATCGCTTCATATGTAGGTATAGTTCAATTATCTGGTAGTACATTTGATTTTCCGGCATTGCCCCAGTACCGAGTATGCCGGATGATAATAGTAATTTTACTGTATGTACGTATAATTTATTTTTAAACGGATCGGTAGATCGTTGAAGTATACATGCATATGTATATCGATTACTATGGAATTTCTAGCCCATTCCCGTTGAATTTACCTCGTTCCATAATCGTTCCGTAATCTTCCATACGTAACGAACGATCTATCCATCCCCTAAGGCAGTTAAACAGTATATCAATAGTAGTATCGTAGACAGATAAAAGTGTTGTAGAGTGTTCCGAGTATGTATGTTCCGTGTAAGTTCGGTTCGAAGTGCAGTTGATCGGTTCATCGGTTGTGACACGATGCACGGGGTACGGTAGTAGGCTGTTGAATAATTTCATTATGTAAGTGTACCTATTTGCTTGCGTGTACTCATCTCTGTTAATTCACTACGCTGCTGGTTTACACGCGAGAATATAAATAACAAACAACACGAACATTTCGCAAGAGGGTACAGCACAACTATTCTTACGTGTTAAATGACACGATCATCCACGCTACACTAATTGTTGCGTGCCTGGAGCATTATCGTTAATAATTGGATTGCAATTGGGAGAGATTGCTCGAGAACAAGTAACGCGTGTCGGCCGATTTTGTAAAATGAAAAGTGTTGATCGTCTCTACTGGCTGTACCTATGATCCGTTTCTTCTGTTCATATTTGCGTTTTAATCTGGCACTGATTTCGAACGGTACCGGTGATGCAATCTTCGCGGAACGTTCTCACGAATCAAATGGTAGGAAAACAGTTTTATTTCTCGCCTACGCAACGGCGAGCTACTTTTGATCATCTCGCGTATGCCTGGGAATCTATGTCTCATCTTTTGCTTCCACTCTTGCTTTAACGACTTTTACCAGTAATTTCGACAACACTTTTCATTTTTATTCGCGTTCCACTCGTAGAGAATTTCCTGCGACTTTAGTGAAAAATTTAGTAAATTTTGAGTAAAATTAATACGTTTATTTATTAAACACCGGAGCATCCCTGGTTTTTAAACTCTAAAATATCTTATAGTTTACTACGATATACTGGTTGTTAATAGATATTAAAAGAGACTAATTTTCAGGTATCGCTAGCGTTGGTGATTAGTATGGGAATAGTGTATTGCGAGCCTCCATTGAGCAGTCAATACGGTGTGCCAGGAAACTATGCTGGCAACAATAACAACCAGGGCTCGTCTAGTGGAGGAAACGGTTTCGGTAATCATCACTATGATAATGGAAACGACAACGATTACGTTGATCAGGTCAGTAATCGTGTTAACTCTTAGTTAGTATCTCGCGATTACAAGTTTAAAATATTTAAATTCCATTTGGAATGATCGAAAGATTCAAAGGTACTTCTATATGTACAATATATGTTAACAATAAAATTTCGTACAACTTTTAAGGAAATAAGATTTCATCAATTTTCGTCATATCGTTTCATAATAAATAGATGCGAATAGATCTGGGTTACCTGCTGTTTCTACAAGTAACATTGAACTTTACAATCTAGTTACGTAAATATAGAACGGATCGATCGATCATTGGCTTCGATTATGCTTTGTACTTTTAATGGCATGGGATCTACTGGTTCGATCGTGAAACAACACGTACAAAATAGGTAATGATCGTTGAATTTTTCTACAGGGAAAACTATTTAATTTATACTAATTTACAACTCTGCGTTGCTATTTGTAAATAATCGAGAGGAAGAAATGAAGAAAAAGGGAAAATTTTTCAAAATAAATCCTGCCTCATTTCCGATCTACGCTAACAAGCTGAGCTTGCTTACTGAACGCCAGAAAATGGACTTGTCAAGCTTATTCATAATTGATTTTCATAATTGCTGAAAAATAGAAAGAAACAAACAGGCTCGAGGATCGTTTAAAAACGAGACCATTTTCTAGTGTCCACGACTTAGATCGTTCCCTACTATTATTAAGCAAATTTCTAAGGAAATTTCTAAGCCTGAAGCACCCTATAACTCGGTTGCAACACGCACCAGTAAACCACTCCTTTACCGTTGCAACGCTGACGAAACCTTAATGCGCTCACCTACAATGTAAAGAAGCAGTTGGAAAGATGGTAAAGCATTTTAACGTTCGAAATAACGTATAACGCAAGATAATTATTTATTTTTTATCTCCGTTCGATTCGTTTAATTATACGTACATTACTAATAACAAATAGTATGTGTATTAGTTTATGCACCATTTGTAGGAAAAGTCTTTCGACACCTTGGCTTTAATTGTTATTATCAAAGTTTACACGTATTTTGTCTCTCGATTTACCAATTTTTGCATACGGCTGGAAATAAAAATATCTCTATTGTAGTAATTGATTAAAATTATCGGACAATCGTGGTCTGGTTTCCGATGGTTGGCAACAACAGTATTTCGTAGTTGGTGAACGCCGTGAGCGACCGTGGCACTTTTCCGACGCGAGAGATTGATGATTTAGGGAGATGAGAGGGAAGAGTATGAAATACTGTTGCAATAGTGGAACGAAGTAGCCCGATTTTCATAGACGGGGGTACAGAGGATGCACGGGGAGCACATGGCTGAGAGGAATCTACTTTTCAGCGAACGCATCTGTCACGTATGAAATCAGGAATGCTGGACGCCGCGCCGTAACTTTCCAAGGATCGTAATAGAGGCCTCGCGTGCCCTCGATAATATAGAAAAAGACAGTCTAGTCTTTAGAAAAGGGTAAAGTTATTCTATTGGGTTTGTAGAAAAAGATCTCCTACTTGATAAACATTGCTCCCGAAGTACATGTAAACGATGATGATGCAATTTAATCGATCCGTTTAAAGTAAATAAAAAATACACGGTACGTCGGGACTGAGGAACTTGTTGAAATAGAAAAAGCTGTCCGTGACACGCATCCAAGATCAGGAAACCGCATGGACCCCGTGTCCCTAAATGCAACACATTCGTGTGTGGCGTAAATCCGCATCATGATGCAAGAATATTAATAGGACGAACCGCGACCGCGAGCATAGTCCACGGTAAATCGTTAGTGCCGATTAGCTAATCGATCTCGAGAATCTAAACGGGTCGGTTATAAGCGAATCTGCCCTCAAATATTCTCAAAGAAAACTGTTTCTCTTTCGAGTCGGTTAAACTATTTCAACCATACCAACAGCCTATTCGTGTTTAAACGCAACAAATATTCTTCTACCGTAGATGTTAATAATCGTACAAAAACGTAAGGAGGTTGAGAAACATTCTTTCGAGCCAATATCGTACGGGTTTTTTTTACAACTTTGGAGAAATTGTCATGGGCTGAAATTGTCTGTTTAAAGTAAATTTCGAGAAATATTATTATCTCTCCAACTTTGAAGAAATGAAAGAAATGTAAAAAATGATTTCCAGCCGATGTCGTACGAGTTTGGTTACGCGGTGAAGGATCAGGCAACCGGAAACGACTTTGGTAGACGAGAAACCAGCGACGGCGAAACGGTTCGAGGGGAATACAGAGTACAACTGCCCGATGGAAGGACGCAAATAGTGACTTATACCGCTGATTGGAGAACGGGTTTTCACGCAGACGTTAGGTACGAGGGTACCGCTACCTATCCTGATCAGTACAACACGCAGAACAATGCTAACAACAACCCTACCGACCAACGGTTTGGTCTCCAGGGAAACAATATTGCCGCTGGATACAATGGAGGTCGGGGTATTTATCTATTACTTTATCGACTTTTTAAAACAACTAGATTACTATTTTATCCGAATTAACTTTCGTATACTTTGTCGTTTAAGGGACCAACAACGGAGGATACAATTATCAATCCCCGAATGGAAATTACAACAATGGAAACAACAATTATCAGTTCGGCTCCAATTCTTTGGATAACAATTACAACAATTTTGGGGCTCGAAACGGTTACAACACGCAAGTACCATCGACCATGTACGGACCAGCGTTCCATTGATCTTTAGTTTAGTTTACTATTTCAATTGCAAGTAGGATAAGAAACATCCTGTAAACACTACTTATTTTGTAATAAACCGTTTCCACTATTAACCGTTTCCACTCGGTTGACTGTCCCCTCTGACAAACAAAGATATTGTTCGTTCGATGTGATTATACATATAGGAGAAAATACGTATGCAGCGATCGTGCCTAGTATAGGTGCCATATACATACATACGATACAATAGATGTAGACATGTACATAGAAAAGTCTTCCGCATCGCAATGATTATGCAATCGGCGTTTATCCCCGATTACGGAGTACATATTACTCGCGTAAAAACGTTCGTGAATCCTCCATTCCTACCCCTCGGAACTCTGTTTTGCGCGCGTGTGTCAGCGGTAATTAGTGATAATTATGTCGGGATTAATTAGGCACTACCCGGGTATCGGGTTCTAACGCAACCTGCCCGGTTACGAAATCAGATTAAGAAATGAATTAGCACCGGCAGTCGTAAACACCGGGGCCGAAGGGGAATAATTATAATAAATTGACGGTACCATCCTCGCGCGTAAACGTGCCCAACCAATGCGAGATATATCTATATCTATCTACCTATATGTACATATGTATCTTTGCGCAATGACTGATTAATGGGACGATCGATCGCCGATACTAGAATCCTATCGCGAGAGATTTAGAGAGGCGGTCGGGGCAGGGGCCAGACCGGGGGCCGGACCGGGGGCCGGACCGGGGGCCGCGCGCCCGATATTCTGGGAGCTTGACACTGAACCGAGTTAGGTCGAGGGGTGGTTGTAGATTAGAACTAACCACCATATCATTACTACTAGTTAACGCCATAATAGTTGCCGTTTAATCGACGAGTTGATGGTTTTTATGGATCATTTAAAAAGTTTACAATGCATTTTGCATACCATCGCGTGTCTCTTCTACACTCAACTGTCCTCGGTTCAGATATTACTTTATTTCTCGACTAATAATAGTTGGATTCGATTTTGTAACATAGGTGGTAATACGTTACGTCATCCTCTTTTTTCCCCCATCGATTTCAAGACGAACAAATTACGTATAATTTTCTCCCCACCGAAAGGACAAGTTATTTCAACCATAATCGCTCCGAGAACTCTATACGAAATTCTAATAATCCTAATTTTAATACTTCTCGACTAATTATAGTTCCCACTATAACACTTTTCTACAGTTTTCTTGAGCAGAAAAAAGAAAAAAATACCCACGAATAAGAAAAATGTTATATCCATGCGCAGGAAATTGGATCAAGTTTGTTACGTTGACAATTTTCCGGCCGAACAATTTCGGAGAATCACTATACCGGAACAGTGGTGTAGAAATAGCGTTATAGAGGAAAACTAACGGTTCGAGCATGTTATATAACCGGCGGAGGGTAGTCTTAAGTATGTTTGACGCGTAGATATGCGTCGGATGAGCTCTCCTGCTAATCCTTTATCTTCTGCCTCCGCTCGTTCAATCACTCGCCGAGCCTATTTCTTCATCCACCTTTCATTCGTATTACAAGTTAGTAATTGGTTCAGCACATTCGAGCACCGAGATTTCAATCTTCGGACTGAGGAATTTTTCAACGTCCACATAGAAACTCAAAAGAAATTTCGCAAAGTTAACGGACACGACTTCCTTCGATGTTTTATTTTAATAACCAACATAATATATTCCAGAGCTTCCTGTGGACTTAAAACGGGGTCAGATGTTGGAATTACCGACACACGTGCACAGAGTTCAAAGTTATAACCATATAAAGATTATCAATTTTTTGGAAATTTAAAAACCTTCGAATTAATTTGACTTGATAAATCGAATTGAAAATTTCAATAGAGAAACAGATAGAGAATGGGAAATTACCATTTGTCAAGACCCTTTGAATCGAGAGAATTTCGAGAGAATTTCGAGAGAATTTCGAGATAATTTCCGGAAAAATAAACAATTTTCTAACAAGCGAAATTATTGTTCCCATCTTTCAAGATGCCTTATTTCCTCAAGATGCTAAATTTCCCAACATTTCCATTGATTCACTTTTTTCATTTAATTTTGATAAATCAGAAATTTGTTAAGCTAGTTGAAAATAAAACTGCAAAAGGAAAGAAGAGTCATCACCTGAGGATGTTGACGATTTGGAGGATAGCCGAATGAATCCGGGCACCAAACAGTCACGTGCGTAGATCCAATTAAAATTTAAAGCTGTTTTAGCGATGAACGGGATGATGCCTCTTCTTCTCTATGATGCATCGCCGAGTGAAGGGAAGATGGGCTCCTCTCCACCTCCCACACCCACGGACGGTCATTCTAATACGCTGGTTAATACGTGGATATGCACCACTAAGGATAAACTGTAACAAAGGGTCGGTACGGTATATAAACTCTGCCTGTGGATCATCTTCTCTAGTTCGCTCCGCATCTTCGGTCATAACAGCAATATGAATTACCACCAGGTAGGCTATCTATCCTCCATGGCTATGGTTCCTACTAACCGCAAGGCTAACGTGTCGACAATGGTTTCCGGGTTTCTCCTTAAATTCATTCCCCTCTTTATTTTATCGCTCGTTAATTTATACTATTTTTATTAGGGTTGAAAATTGAAATTCTCTATTTAAACCATTCCCGATCTACTATACGAATACTTGGCCAATTTTAAATGTTTGGAATATCTCATAGATAGAACGATTCGACTAATATCAGTACTTTGATTCGTCACTCTATATGTATACAATACTGGCACTATTTTGTTTAAAATTTCAATGCTCTTACACTTTAATCATTCGCCGCAACGTCTTCCTTTAAACATTTTACGAGTATTTTTTATGATACGAAATAAACACTTTGTCACCGAAGGCATATGCACATTAATTGTATATAATTAATCCTTTATTGGCCGTATTGCTTGAAAAAGTGGATAATTTTTCACAAGCGCGTACGCAAGTTCGAGTATAAAATGATTCAGAATATTTCTAGACAAGTATAGGCTCGGAAAGTAGTCCGAAAGGGTTTGGAAAGCAACTTTGCCCGTTGTACGTTTTCGAAAGAATGTCCTTAAAGAGTAAAAAGACGCGAGGTAACTAGAAATCGTTCAGCAATCATCCTCGACTCCGGTAAGACATTAATTTCGACACACACGAATTACGGTCCGCGAATCATTGGCTTTCTATTTGACTATGGCATCAACGTAGCGACTCTTTTCATTACTAACGACGTCCAGTTACGAAATTCATCCTAACGGACAAAACGAGGAGCGTGACTGAAACGCATCATCATCACCACTGTCTTTAACTACTTGCGATCCGAATAGATCTTTGGAACACGTTACTACGCATCCATTGAAAATTCTGTTCGCTTTTAGCATGTTAAATTTACACTATCAACCGCTAATAAGCTATTAAGAGTATTGATAGTTTACAGACAGATCCGATATGTATGTATAGGATGGATACCTATAATCATACATCCTATTATTCATTCTATACTCTGTTTTAGTTTTACGTATTCCATTAATTTTCCAATACTCTATCTCAAGTTGTGCTTTTCATTTTTACTCTGACGCGTACCTCTACTACTCTATATACATATTTTATTTTATTCTCTGGCTAATTCTATGCTTCTACTTCCACTCGCTGTATCCTATTCGACGAGCTTACTATTGTTATATTCGTTTGACAAAGCAATTGTTAGAAAACAGCAAATCGGTCGCATTACAGTTAACGGAAGTGCTGTTGGTGCTATCGTGTCTCAGCAGTAATGCACTGGCTGGACTGCTGCCGGGTGGCGGCGCCGGTGGAAGTGGTTACCAGTACAACAGACCAGGTGGAGGTGGATTCGGCGGCCCAGGTGGATTCTCCGGGGACGTAGGCACTAGCAGGGGCAGCGATTTCGCCGGTGGTTTCAGGGGGAGACCATCCGGTTCCTACGGAACACCAGGTGGCGGCGGTGACACCGGTGGTTTCGCCGGACGACCATCCACAACCTACGGAACTCCTGGACAATTTGGTGGTGGCGGTGGCGGTGGTGGTGGCGGATACCAAGATGGAGGTTTCCAAGGTGGTTACGGTGGTTTCGGTCGCGACAATGGAAGGGTAACGTTATTAATAGACAGAAATTTTAATTGAAAATCGGTGAAATAAATTTTCCGATCGATCGATCGAACGATTTATGTGGAATTTTACAGCCTCAACCGTACAACTTCCAATACGAGGTGTACGATCCTCCAAGCGGCAATGATTACTCGCAACGCGAAAGTAGCGACGGTAACGTGGTCACCGGAGAATACAGAGTCCTGCTACCAGACTCGAGGACACAGATCGTTAAATATATGGCCGACGATGCGAATGGGTACACCGCGGACGTTCAGTACGAGGGTCAGGCCCAATTTTCTCGCGGGGGTGCTGGGGGATACCAAGGGGGTGGAGGTGGAGGGGGATACCAGGGTGGTCAGTAGAATTTTAATATTACTAGCAATGGGTTCTCGGAATATAAGGAATACGTCCTTGTTAAATAAGCGAAGAAATATTTTCTACCAAATTAGAATCCTTGTAGATTCCTTTTATTCATAAATTCCTATTTTTGTTATTCTAGGTAGGGGAGGAGGATACGGAGGAGATGGCGGCAGTAATCAGTATTTACCACCGCGATCCAATTATCGTTAATAACCGGCTAGATCGTGCATCACCATCAAAACGAGACACATCTCCTGAATATTGGACGACAACCGTCACGGACCTCCCTCGTTTACAGCTTTCTACTATTACACACTCAAATAATCTTACACCACAGAGTCACATGCACATTTACGTTAATAATCACCCACTGGTATTTATCTGTATATCTCGATTAGGATAATTTAACGTTTCGATACGCAAGTATACGCCCCCGCGTATTTATATCTATACGTTAACTTTGTACATGGTAATTTTTTTTTTATTATGAAACATACGCTTGTATCTTTCTGCTAAGCGATCGTCGAACCTATATACTTGTGTATGTATTTATGTCAGCTTGTAGTAAAACATAAATTAAATACTCTTTCTATTTAATTAAACGTGTTACAATTACTTACGCACACTAATGCACAGCCACGTGTAGATACATGAGCTCCTCCGGCGCTTTGGGGACTGGAGAAAAAAGCCGGCGAATGTGAACCTTTCCTTATCGTTCTCGAAATATCTGAAATCCGACGGCAAGAATTACAATTCGATAAACATTAATTAGATCCAGACTAAAATTCTTTAATACAAACGACAATTTCACCAGAAATTTTTCATTTATCGCTCTAAAAAAAATAAAAGAATCACGGTTTTACACAATACCTTGAGAAAAAATCGTACCACAGTCGTAAAGTAAAAATAATTATAAAAAAATTGTTTGCGATAAACGAAAAAATGAATTTTATAAATAAATTTATTTGTGTATCGCTCTCGATGACCGACGATCCAAGGTCAATTTCTCTCAAGACAAACAAGTTTACATATTATTTTCAATAATTGCCTTCTGACACAAACATGTTTAAATTTATCGACTCGTGATAGTAGATAGTGCACCGTTAAAGCACTTGATAAGAACATACATACTTCGTTACGCGTCGTTAGTCTTATCAGTATACCGATCTTGTGTGCATACACGCTTTCTTTAACCGTGCCACTTAAAGTGGAAGATTACCCAAACTGTTCTGCGTTTCGTCAAAGGTAACATTTTATCTTAAATAACCAGATATCTCTATTGTTTTCAACTTACAAAAATCTTAAATATATCATGGTTTAAAAGTTTTTTCTTAACATTTAACGATACAGAAGGTATTCAAGTTACACGTGTATCTACCGAGATTTAGTACCCATCCAAGGTGATCGAGAAAAACATTCTCCAATGTTTTTCCAACAACTTTAAAGAGAGTACTTTTCAAACCAAAAATATTTATTCTACAATTCGTATCCGAGCAATTTTAACTAAATGAATCTGTTTTTTCCAAAAAATCACCAACCAGGATTTAATATTCTATCGATATTTATAAAAGAATTATCTTTCGTTCAAGATAAAATTGATACGGTTCGATCAAAAATACAAATATTTATTCCAGGATATAATTAAATAACTCAAGGCAAATACCAACGTAAATAATTGAGTATAATCTTTTCTTCGATTCGTCTTAATATCATACGGTTTTTTGAAAGATTTACGACTAATTGACGAAAATTAATTATCTTACCAAACGAAATTGTTTTAGAACGAAGATAAACGAACGTTGTTCTGATGTTTACGCGAACTAATTCTATATATATTCTGTAAAATCGCTGCAGGCAGCAATCGTTTCCAGTCCACCGCACGAATATCGGCTCGCCATAACCTAAAATATTCGAAGAATATCGAATAAATATCATAACAACATGAGTAAGACTATATTCAACCACACTATTGACGACATTTTGGAGAAGAATTTGCCAGAAAAGGAATTGGCCGAAGTGAAACGTCTTTTATATGGCGGTGAATTACAGTAAGACTCGTTATTTCCTATTTATTTCTTCTTTCACATGATTTTATATGTAAAATTTATAATACACTAGCCTGGTGTCTTAAACATACCACAAATAAAAATACAAGACTTTTAGACCAGGACTACACGGACGTTTTGCCGGGCATCAAACTCGTTGAAAAAACGCCCGTGTAGTTCTAGCCATAGACGTACCGACAGAGAATAGATTCAAAATAAAATCCATATGGCTGTTACTGCTTACGTGGTAATACAGATCATCACAATTATCGAGCGCTGATGGTAAATTCGTAATTTTCATTCAAATATTTTCCTATGGAATTGATTAAATATTATCTATAGAATCGATATATTATTATTATTATTATAGTTGCTCTGTTAAATTTTTATTGCATAAAAAAAAGAAAATATATGTGTATACACATGTATACAGACAGTTCTCTAGATAGTTTTAATTGTCAAATGTATACATATATCATTAATTTACTATTCATTAATAATAATACAAATTGCTAGGGATTTGGAGCTTCCAGAATGGACAGAAAATGTGGAATTGGATGTAAAAGGATATGTAATGAACGGAGAAGTCCAGGAACAATTACGTCCTCCGCGAATCGTTAGAGTCGGACTTATTCAACACTCGATAGTTTTGCCAACTACAGAACCATTGCATAAACAGAGAAACGCTCTACATTTGAAGATCCAAAAATACGTTAACCATGCAGCTGCTTGTGGCGTCAACGTTCTTTGTTTACAAGAAGCTTGGGGTATGAAACAATTTAAAAACTCGACGATGAAGTTTTAAATATCGAAATTATGTATATACAAAAGCTTCTAAACTATCATAATAAATTAATTGTCGTCAAACTGAATGAATTTCTCTCGATAAATCGAAAGTTTCTTTATAGTTTTGTTATCTCAAGTTCCGTTAACAAGATAAAATCACTAATATTTCATGAACTTTGGCTATTATGCTTAAGAAGAAACTAGATAATATACAAATTGTACGTACATTGGCTAAAACTAATCTAAGAAAATTGTGCAAGACTATTTCGCACTTTAAATAACTTCAAATAGAATAAAAAATAAAACAAGATAACACTCTACAATAATAATAACCGTATCTTCTTGAATGAAGTGTCAGAGATGATATTTTTGAATGACAAATTTGTTTCAGTCATTTTATAACTTTAGCAGACTAAAAAGTTCCCCCAAGCTAAAAACGTTCTAATTTTAAAAGCTGTGATTAAATCGTAAAAGCCAACTTCAATGTTGTGTATTAATAAGAATTGTTTACTCTGTTCTAGCTATGCCTTTCGTGTTCTGCACGAGAGAGAAATATCCATGGTGCGAATTTGCGGAAGAAGTAGAAAATGGACCAACAACGATATTGATGAGCGAGCTGGCTCAACGTTATGGAATGGTGATCATTTCTCCGATCTTAGAAAGGGACGTAGAAAACGGTGACACATTGTGGAACACATCGGTGGTAATTGGCACGGACGGAAAAGTGATTGGGAAACAGAGGAAGAACCATATTCCTCGCGTAGGTGACTTCAACGAGTCCACATACTATATGGAGGGCAACACTGGACATAATGTTTTTGATACTTGCTTCGGACGTATCGCTATCAATATTTGCTACGGACGCCATCACCCGCAGAATTGGATGATGTACGGTCTCCATGGCGCAGAGGTGAAATCATTTATCATTAATTGCCACTGTTTCTAACAAAGGTCAATAATTAAATCAATACTAAAGTACTCGATGGGAAATATCGATAGTTATTTAATAGTTTTGATACTATCAATTATTCGCATTCAAACACAAAAGTATCGTAATAGATATGCATATGAAATCTCGATAGAAATAATGTTATAAATCTTTATCGATTTATGTAAATCCACTTTACCTTAATTTAATTTGTCTAGATCGTTTTCAATCCGTCGGCAACTACCAGCCACACGTCGGAGCCACTTTGGTCCATCGAAGCAAGATGCGCAGCCATAGCGAACAGCTACTACTCTTGTGCCATTAATCGAGTGGGAACAGAATTGTTTCCCAATGAGTTCACGTCTGGAGATGGTGCTCCAGCTCATCACGATTTTGGACACTTTTACGGATCCAGTTACATCACAGCTCCGAATGGAACCAGAACTCCTGGCTTGAGTCGTTGCAAAGATGGGCTTCTTGTTTGCGAACTGGACTTGAACATGTGCCGTCAGATGAAAGACATGTGGTGTTTGAGAGTAAGTTGACGTTATATGCAGTAATAAATTCCCTTCGATACGATTGTTTAATTTTGATTTCCAAATTTCAGATGACTCAAAGACTCGACATGTACGCCAAGGAACTTACAGAGTACGTGGAGAAGAATCTGAAATTAAACAAAGAGGCGAACCAATAAATAATGTACATTTCAAACTAGACTCTCCATCGAGTTTCTAGGTACCAAACAATAAAATAAACACATATTTTTGAGATCACGATTCACAGACTACTTTGTATATCCTGCCTCGCAATATTCCATTTGAAATTTAGCAAAGAGACGAAGCGATGAATTGTATATGGTCCAAACTTCCAAACTAAATCTCTTTGCTAAGTTTGTGCAAACTGAAAAAGAATTTCACAGGACAGAATTTCAGAGAATATCATATAAATACTGATTTCCTCAATTTTAATTCGCTCACTATTTAAAAAACATTATAAATAGAATACTGGGAAAGTATGATTTAAGTTAAAACTTGATATCATTACAATTCTTTGTACATACTTACAAACCCTTAAACTAAATTACAAATATCTTATCGGAACTCTAAGAAATTAACTGGTTGTTCCAGTATTCAATGTTGTGTTATGAGTTTGCTTGCGATAATGAAGAGCTTCTTGATATGCCTTTTTCACAGCTTTTCTGTCTGCTGGTTTTCGTGATTCTATTAATTTTGCTTCGTCCAATTCTTGCGAGACTCCCAGTTTCTCCAGTTTTTCACCAGGTAACCACTGCCTGCAATAATTAAATATTTAAATACCAAAAAAATGACTATTCTACGTAAAGCGATTTACCATGTTCGTTTGGTATCGAAGAATAGAACCAAGAATACAGGTTCTTTATAATTGACTGCAAGAGCTAATACGTCGTCAGGTGGCGCAGGAATTGGTACACCCTTGTGCACCGTTCCCCTAGGCGTATTAGGATCGATGATCAAAGCTGGATACCAAGGATAGCCCCGACACTTTGCCCAAACAAGCTGCAGAGCTTCTAAACCGTTATTCGTTGCCTGTTTGCTTTCTTCCTTCTTTGCCTCATCGATTTCCTGTTTTTGTTTCTCTTCGTCCAAATCGGGAGTGCTGGATCTGCTCGTTGAACAGCTGCTACAGCTCGATGACTGGCTTTCGCCTTCTCCAACATCACTGTCCATTGTTCCACTTCTACAAATGCACAACTTTAATAAAATACTTGCGAGAGACACAAAATGTTTACCTGTAGACTTTGAAGCTATCACTCTGTTTCTTCCTGTCGTCTTCCACAACGAACATCTGATTGCTCTTGCTGGCTCTTGCCCTGGCTTTACGAGTAAAGAGAACTACGGTTCTTCTATTCACGCCTCCCATTTCCTTCTCTCCATGCAGCGTTTCGATTTCTCCGCGACTTCGATTCGTACGATCTCTTTTTCGGGATTTAGAGACAGTTTGTTCAGATTCGCTGACTGGATCCAAGTCAGGATAATCTTTGCGAGCCTGTTCTATCAGAGTTCCGCCTTGCTCTTTCATTTTTATCCCAGCTCGATAGAACATTGTATCCTTGCGATTGTATGCCAGACAATTGTTTACCATTAAGTTGAAGTCTGCTTCAAAAGCTCCTATCGTATCGTATTCTTGTCTTTCTACTTTATCCTGACGCAGCAGTTGACAAAGAAAAAATTTATAATTGTTATAGAAACGAAAAGAGTGACAGCTTAAGGCGTAATTACCCGCATTGTGGAGAGATCCATGGGACGGGACACGATTTCTAAATAGTCTGGAACTTCCTTTGTATTCACCGGCTGACCAAATACATCGTTCACGTCCTTCACTTTAATGGCTTCTAACAGAGTACGCAGAATACTTTCTAGGGGACGCAACTCGAACCACAAGCACTTCTCTTTCCTACAAGATTATAGTTGATTAAATTTCTAGATTAACCAATTTCCATTGAGGGTCTCTTGCTTGAAACCTTACACTTTGAATAATTCTTTTTTCAATTTTTCTCGCTTGCGAACCAGTTCGCACAGAAGTCGAGCTCGTTCCAGATCCTGACGCAAACATTGCCAGTATTTCAGTTGACGATACAGTTCGCCACGCAATTCACCGTCAGCTGGTGGTGAGGAATGATCTCCAAGCGGTGGTGGCCTGGACTGTGGATGCGAACTCTGAAGTCTCCGCAAAAGTGGAACACCATTTCTATACTGGCGTTTCAGAGTCCAGTACGCTATAAGGCGCTGTATCAGTTGACTTTTCTTAGGCAATCCTTCTGCTAAGCTAATGATATCATTACGTTTTAGAACTTTTATAGTAAAAACACAGAGAAACATCAACAATCTTAAAGCTCTTAAAGACTCGAAGAAGCAAGGTCCATATAAAAATTGAATTTGTAAATCAATACCTAGCAATTTCCTTGATTCTTTCAGGCGGAATGGTAGGAATGGAGATAACAGGAGCGGAGGAGCTCTTCTTGTTGGCGATAGCTCTTCTTCTGGCATCTGCAGGATTGGTGGAAGGTTGGTAATCAGGGGGAGTGTGCGCCTCGCAGTAAGCAGTCTTTTGTACCAACATCGGCTCTCCGTTGGCTGGTTGCACTGTCCTCATACGCATACATAAACCAGCCTGTTGCGCACAGGTCACATGAAATGCAGCGTAACAGTTGCTTTTGTGACACTGGATACAAGCACCAAATCCTCTGCGCTTGCACACGCAGCAAGTGAGTCTCCAGCGAGCAGCGGGAATGCTTTCTATACTGTCGATAGGCTCCAGGAACACGGTGTTCGCGAACCTGACTTCTGGTATCCACAAGGCACAGACTACATGGGCCCATGAAGCTGGACGATCCGTCTGCTTGAAAGCTCCACCTCTGTTAGGGCACAAAACGCAATCTACAGCTCTTGAAGGACTTTGTAAGCATCGTCTGCACAGCCACTGGCCCTCTGGAATATATGGTACACCGTAGCAATCTTGATGGACCGCAAGATTGCACATATCGCAAAATAAAATTGCATTGCTGTTTTGACACTCTCCATCCATGCAAATACAACACACTGCGTCTTCGTCAGCTGCCACTCCTCCACCACCATTGGTTTGCTGCTGGAAGTACGATTCTTTCTCCAATCTGTCCATTAATAGTTCAAAAGTGTCAGGTTCCAGAGGTGGTGTCAGCCCAGAGGCTGATCGTCTTTCATTCACTATGGACAACCATGCAGTGTCCTCTTCATCCAGATCATATTCCACCTCCCCTAAAGAAAGACTGTCTTTATGGAAGACTGAACAATTCTCAAGTGCTTTGTTGCGTTAAGTTATTAACAGAAATATTGCTTACCATCCAGCTCTTCGCCACTGCGTTCCATGAACCTGATGTAAGAATTTGGTAGAGGTTCAGCTTCTCCCAGCTGCTGTTCGTATCCTTCTATTTCTTTTACCATCGCAACGGGTAAACTGTTCAGCACATTCTTTTCGTCCTTTTCTTTGTCCATCGATAGATTGTGGCCTTTTTGTATCATGCTTTTCTCGTCAAAACCGTTTCCTTCTAATGAAATGATTGGCACAGAGTCTGCAATACCTATTTTAAATGTCTTATGCGCATCTTCTCCAATCGGATTCACCTTAAAGCAAACCACAGTCAGAAATTAGGGATTTTTTAACAAAATACTTGTAAATATTGGAAAGCTATCATACAATGAATTCTTCCTTTAAAAGTGCATTTAATACTATTTCTTATATAATAGAATCTTGACCAGCAACTGACAACTATTTGGAAATTATAAAAATTAATACGCAATTGCTACTAATTTTACAGTGTTATCTTTTCGTCACAAAATAGTATTTACAGTAATAATTCGATTGAAAATATTATTTCATACCAAAACGAATTTCGTAGATTCTTGCAAGCTTTGTGTTTCTACGTTCGTGGGACTGGAGCACTCGTTATTCATTCCACCGACTCTGTTTCTGCCCTTCTTTTTATTCGATTGCGGTGTATTCATTTTCTTTAAACTAGTTTGTGTATTGTAATAGACGAACTTTAAGGTTATGTCAACTAAGCTTCGCTTCAAATCCTACCTAGATACGGTTTACCTCACGTTGTCAAAGTATAGTAATGAATTTGCATTTTCCACGAATATTAAGATTGAGAAACTTAATAATTTGTTCATTTTCTTTTCCACATCCGAATTTAGTACAGAAATGCTCAATAAAGTTTAAATTGATACAATGTCTAGAATTAATCAAAGATGCCAAACGGAAACCTCGCTGCTATTCCGCGAACTTTTCATTCCACTTTCCCATACTATGCGAGCTCACGCGAAAAGAAGTTCGTAAAATTTCGGAAAGTCGAGAGAGACAAACTGACACTCCACCTCTCTCTTGATTCTCCGAAGCTGCCCGAAGAGAGCGCGTATGCACTTCGGACCATCTCGGGGGAATCGAGAGAGAGAGAGAGAGAGAAGATAAATGTGAACCTTTCCTTTTCTAACATATTTGGGGCGCCATCTAGCGTTGGAGGAAACGAACTATTTCTCAACAAACTTGGGCGTTCTGCCGTAGATGGTGGTATAATCGTAAAGTGGCGCGTACTTTTGAATTTAAAAAGAATCAGCTATGGAGTAAGTTTATTAAATAGACATACGTTGTTGCTACATGAATTTCGCTTGTTCTTTGAAACAATTCGCCAGAGTTACCCAATCGTGCACTATATACGCACTAGAAAAAGTTGATAATATAATCCTATTTGATCCTGTCCCATCTATGCAGTACTAACAAGGAGAAAAAAACCCTATTTTCATAATTTTTTAATTAAAATTTTTTATTTAAATCTTCAAAATGATGCATCCCTCATTTTAAAATACACCCTCTTGAATTACAGTAACAACTAAATGTATGCATGTTCAAATTTAAATTAAATTCTGCTAATGATGGCTAACATAACTCGAGATCTCTTGAAAGAAATTAGCAATTGTCATATACGATTGTATAATAATTTTCGAATTTTCTTAATACGCAGAATAGTCTACTATTACACTTTTTTAATAGCCGACGGCTATTAAACTCAAAAAAGATAAACTTTTATGTTTTCCCACGATTTGATGGTTTTTCAAGATACAGGAAAGTATGTTGTTCTTGGTAAAATTCAAATGATAAATAACCATCTTTGTTTAATGATGTTTAAAGTGTTACTGTTTGTAAAGTCTGTTCACAGAGTAATCACGAAATATAAACAAGAAACAATTGTCTAATCGGTTCTAGAAGAAATAAGACAAATGTAGAGAAAAATATGGAAAAAGTGTTCGCATGGATTTATTGATACTCATAGAATTTAGTCTTACGAATGTAGAAAGAGGCACAGGCTTAAGTCAACAGTTCTCCTTTTTACAATTTTACAATTTACCCTCGTCCTCTTCCAGCTTGGGATCCACCAGGCTGGTTTTGTTGATTAAGCCATGGAGCAGAACCGGTGCCCCTACCCCTCTGATTCTGTCCTCTGCCCCTTCCACGAGCTAAACAAAATTTAATTAATGTCTCAAAGAATTGCTAATGATCAGAAATTTCTAAAAGTTTTCTAGACGAACCTTGAGCACGCAAAATGGCGGATTTTCCCCTGCCAGCAGTTCCCGAGCCTTTCCCACCAGGCCTCTTGAACATTGGAGCATTTTTCAACATATCTGGCAATATGAGAAACCTAACTTTCGACCCTCTGATGTAAACGTTTTCCAACTGAGCCTCACGGCCATCTCTATAGGTGACCGTAATATTTTGCATTTGACAATTCATATTGTCTTCGGCCTCGATTAGTTTTCCGCGGTAAACTTCACCGGTGTTCGTTTCACAGGTTACGGTGTGACCCTCCGCTTCGTGGAGTACCTTTATCGGTACCCCGATCGACATCGCGGCCGTCTTGATTGAACAATATGAATATTACGATCCGAAATTCTGATTGATGGATTTGATATACGAAATCTGTACGTTCGAAACTGTTTTGTGTATCGAAATGTTTTAAACGGACAACTTAACCTCACTGAGCTACGCGGCTACAGACTCTAGTCGCGCTTGGATCACAAGTGGTAGGGGACTTCTGCGCATGCGTAATTAGGAACAAAAAACGAACAATCCGAATAGAAATTTTCGAGCATTAGAATAAGAATTTTATTTATATAAAGTATTATTATTCTTGGTTGCTACTATTAAAATGTTACCAACATTATAATAGCAAATAGACTACTCGAACGGAGAAAGAAAATGATTAGAATGTAAAAATTATGATGATTAAATAAACTGCGAGAATAAGTCATAGCGATAAATGTAATAATTACTTTTAAAAAAATTAATAAAAATGGTTAAATTTTGCTACATTTACATGAGAATGACCCCCCCTCAAAAGAACCATCAAATTAGCCTCTCGATGAGGGGCGATAAACGGGGATTAGGTTAAACAATATGATATATGCGAATCTAAAAGCGTGCCAGAGGATGGTAAATCGTAATGATGGTAATATATTAAAGTCGACGTTACGTTTTTAATCGCTTAAAACTTACTAATATCAATCGTAATAATTACAAGCATCGTTACGTCCTTATATAGTCAGCCGAGCAGCGAACGTCGCTCTTTACTTCTCGGTTACCTACGTTTTCGCTTCAAATTTATCTTCCAACTCAATTTTTCCCTTTTGTATCATTCACTCCATTGATTCATTCTTTCATCGTTCATTTCCTTTAACGCTAGAACTATCCAAGACTGATTTATTTACCTACTTAAATGAAGATAAAAATTACTTTTTCTTCTGAAAAAAATAAACATTATTACACATAAACTTTGCTTCAAACCAAACTAAACATATTTTTCTAGATCTACTAACATTGTCAAAGTTAAAATGACCTAATCTTTAAATTATATATAATTTTTACACAAAGAGCAAGAAGTAAAGAAAAGTACTTTGTAAAATTAATTATGTATAATACTTCGATTGGAGTTACAAAAATTGAAAGCATTGAAAATGAAAAATTATTATAAAAAATGGTAGAACAAGTCATTTTGATCCTCTTGGTAGATCTAGTGTTAATCTAGTGTTCTTTCTTTCTTTCTTTCTTTCTTTCTTCTCTCTCTCTCTCTCTCTCTCTCTCGCTCGCTCGCTAGGCAAGATAATTATTTCCGGATAATCGCGTTACATCTTAGAAAAATATGCTATGTCTAAAATAGGATGAAGGCCTGAAGGCAACTGTTCTCGTCGATATTATTGATAAATTCTTCGGTGTGTGCGTACCTTCGATTAAATTTAATTCTGCCCCGACACTTTTTTCATTTATCTTCATGAAAGGTGTAGTCAGAACAAAAATTATTAGCATCGATAACAAAACGAACCGATACTCTTTTCTGTGGCCATCAGAATTTTTTTTTTTATTGCTTTTCGTCGAGGGAGGAGAAACTGGAGAATTAATAATCATATTTCACGATTTCAATGTGTTGATATATTGATTCTTAGTTATTTCCAATTAGAATTTTTTTCAACACTATTTTTACCAAAAATCCAAATTATTTTCCAAAGTATAATCGTTTTTCCTCATTTGATCTTTTCCATAATAATTTCTAAAATTAATTTATCCCCTTTAACATTTCCCTTAATTATTTTATCCACAATCTCATTAGACACCTTTAAAATTGGAATAGTGTTAATTATTCTAAAAATTTGTTCAAAGTTCCAATATAAATCTAATAAATTGTTAACAAATAATATTTCTGAGCATCTTTTTGATTAAAAATTTGGGATTTACAGAAACTTGGATTGATTCTATCGAAAGAATACGATTGTTTATTCGCATAATTTCTCCCTTTTTCGATTATACAAAAAGTTTAAAAAAGAAATTCTGACGAGTCTCGGGCCCGCACACGCATTCTTCCGACGTTTATGCTCGGTGATCAGAATACAATAATTTCACTAAAAAAGGACTAACTATAATGTGTGGTACTGAAATAAAAACGATTTAGTTTATTCTACAAACGTAATCAATATTACAGTAACTCGTTTGATCACGCAGAATCGAATAATTCGTTAATTAAGGAAACGCAATTATTTCGAAGACAGTGGTTTTATTATTTAATTATTTATTTACTTCGTTTCTCGACCCTTTCACGACTATCGATTCACACGTTTCAAAGAAAACTCACAAATAATAACCGAGATTTCGTTTCTATTTTTTTCTTTTTTTTTCTTTTTTATTGTTTTTAAGTATACTAGAGTTATTTAGTAACTAAAATTCTTTAGAAGAGGGTTCTTTTAGAGATTAGGACTCCGGACACGCTGGGGAGACAAATTGTTTCAACAGATGAACTTTTAACACTAACCATACCCATTTTATTGTTTTTCTTCTTTGACCGAGTTTAGAATCATTTTTGTAAAGTTTTTTCAAAAACTTTTTTTACTTTCTTGTAGCTACAGGTCGAATTATTTTAAATTTCGAATAAAATAATTCTGCATTCACTGTTTCACAATAAATAAGTAATAGTTAGTTTTTAAGTAATTTAGATACATACTTTTTTTTATTTCTACATAACTTTAACAGAACTGATAATATTCAAAAATATTCTCGTTTGCAGTTGTCAATGTGTTAAATTGACCATTATTTGCAAAATTGGGCAAAATAACTTTTACTTCAAAATTAAGTCTCGGTATGGCTAGTGTTAAAAAATAAATATTTGGAGAATTATTGTTGATCAAGATCGTATATTAAACGAAATGTCCATAGTTCCACATGATCCTAATATTAATAATTGCTCTTAAATCATTAAGAAATCACAAAGTTTAAAGGTACCATTAACAGAAATAAAATAAGTTTTCGATTTCTTTTTAAATTAGATAAATATACATTGTTTCAGTAGAAACTGAAACTTTTATAATTCACTTTTCTTTTTTTTTAAACAATTCCTATTGCTATTAACAAAAAGCTATATCTTCAAAACGATTATACCTACACAAAAATATCATCGAGGCAAAATGAATCTACATCGAACAATGCACAAACAGAATGCAATTTTATTTATTTAAATGCGTCAATGTATCGAAAAAATACAACTTGAACTTGAACTTGAAATTTTTATTGGACCATTTTCCATCATTTTTTAATCTCCGCAAAAGTGTATTAAGGTACTTGTGTCCTAAACCTGACAGAGTTATGACGTGTTGAAGCTTAAGTACACCAAACTAGTTCAGAAAACTTTAAAGTGATGTAACTCTTAAACTATTAGAACGAAGGATAAAGTACCTTAATATGTTTTCGTAGAGATTGAAAAACTTTGTAAAATGATGCAATAAAAATTACGAAATTCCATTTTAAAAACGAAGATTAATTGCATCGATGCATTTAAATGAAAAAATTAACATTTCCAATTCGTTTACAGAGATATATAAATCATTTCTCAACAAATAAAAGATAAATTTAATGTTTATTTCAAAAAAGATTGTTAAAACTATGAAAATTTCGTTTTTTTTCTTCATTTGCCTACGGTGCAGTCGCATATTTAAGAAATCAATTAAAAAAACTCAAGAATCGATTATATTTTCGGACAAAAGTAATCCCCGTCCAACTGAAACCCTAAAGGGAATCAGAGAATGAAAAAGGGTTTTAACTTTCTTGCGGACGAATTATTTCTGCGAAAAATCGGCCGTAAATAATGGATTTCCAATAATAATTTGAAACATACTTTTAATGAGGAATAATGCTGGTTATATTCACGTGAAATTGGACATAAACACACAGTACTACTTTATACTTCATTTGCATTATTTTATGAATCAATAGGACTAATATTACTTAATCATTATTAGACTAATCATTTAAACCTAGGATTGTGATCACCCATCAACGTCAGCCACTACCTAAGCAACATTCCCATTATTTTTTTTCCTTTTTATTCCATTTAATCTTTTGGATAACACGAACGAAACAGAAATATCTCTCTCTCTCTCTCTCTCTCTCTCTCTCTCTCTCTCTCTCTCTCGCTCTCTCGCGCGCGCGCGCGCCCCCACCCCGACCCATGCGACCAAGAATCCTTCGGTTTTAGTTTCGGGGAAAAAAAAAACAAAAACAAAAACAAAAGCTTCGAATTGGAATTTTGCTTTTTAAGTAAATTAATAAACATAACATAGAATAATAATAATTAAACCGTAATAATCGTAGATATTAATAATAGGTAATAGTAGTTAGCTGGCAGCAATTAGAAACCAAAAATCATTGTTTCAGCATGTTTTTTCTCTCGGTTTAAAAAACTCTGACAAATGGCACTGGCATCCAAAATCAGTTTTTTAAACCCCCCACTCTCCTTTTATACACACACTCTGAATTTCTCTCTATTTTGTATTTTATTTTTCTGTTACCGTTTGTCCCAAGGAAATATCGTCTCCAATTATTTTATTTATTCATTCTCTCCCCCTCACGCACTCCCTCTCTCTCTCGCCTTTCCCCCCTCGATATATTATCAGCTGCCAGATAATTTATTCTCGTTTTCCGCCGTTTTTTTTTTTAATATTCTGTTTTGTTTATATAGTTATATAACCATTTTCCCAACGACTACGCACTAAATAGTTCAAATTTTTTGCACTTTTTCACCAACAACCACCGGATTATTACGCCGAATCTCTTGGGCCCCCATTTCTTTGTAATCGAACTTGCAATCGTGCTTGTCACTGTATCGATGCACAGAGCAGAACAGTCCTCCACAACGGCACTCGAACCCTGTCAACACACACAAATACACAGCATTACACAATCAGTATAATAATTTTATAATAATTTAGACTTTTTATATTGTAGATTTTACTTACCGGTTAAACCAACTTTTTTGCGACACACTGCGCAACGATTTTTCTTCTTCTTAGATTCTTTATCAGTCTCTTTTCCATCGAAGCAGTCATCTGCATCCCCACTACTCACTGATCCCTCAGCTACTGCTCCGCTGCTTACGCCTACTTCGCTCTCCTGGTCTTCTCTGTTAATCTAACAGGAACATAATTATTGTTATTAGTTACAATCACATGGTAGAATAGTGTTTACAGTTTCTAATTAAAAGGTTTGAATCTTTTGATCGTGAATGTTCTTTGCTTTATAAAATTGAGTGTTTACACAGACACAGTAATCGATTGTTGCCAGACAAGAAAAGAGATTTAAATGTTCCAGTTGGTGTAAAACTACAATATTTCTTTAGTTTTACTTTCTTACAATCTTGTGTTACTTAAAATAACATAAAAACGTACTTCACATCGTTTTAACTTCATTTATGTAACACTATGATAATATCCCTTTATTTTCATTTTAACACCATTTTAACTATTAGGAAGAAAAGTATTAAGTTATCCAAAGCAAAGATTATATATTATTCTAACAATATAAGTATGAAAAAAATATATCATAACTTTGAAGAAGCTCCCAACTTATTCTTAATATGTATGCTTGAATGTACTCAAAAGATCTTACTTCTTTGGGGTTGGGCAGATCCGTCATTGGTTGAGGTATGGTAGGAATGGTAGGTTGGGCTGTGGTTCCTGTAGCAGCCGGACTACCAAAACCGCCCTGCAACGTGCCAGCGTTACCAGAGACGGTCTGTGACGTTGTGACAGTGGCGGCGGAGACGGGTGGTTGTTGCTTCTTTTTCAAGTTCTCCTTGTAACAAAGCGAACAGAGGCCATCCGTGGCTGGCGAGCCATAGAATCCACAGCCACTGCGGCACAAAGCTTGCATAGGATTCGATTCCCTTTCCATTTTGACAGTTTATTTTGGCGGAACCGCAATATTTCTCTTCTTTTATTCTAATTGCAATTACTCGATGAGTATCGAGTAGTCGCAGTCAGCTGAACGGCAGATAAGTAAGTGTCTCTGGCCACGGCTCGCTCTCTGATTGCTCCGTGATGACCGTGTGTCACCATGTATTCACCTGACGAAAGTAACACTTTTTAATATAAACTCCGAAAGAAACCAAACAAAATTTTCTTTGCATTTTAGAAGTTCTAAAGGTCGCAAACTCGTTTACACCCAATAAATTAGATTTGAACATGGAATAATGCTGTCGAAGGCTCTTGGAATGTGCGTTAGACTTAGTTCTAGATGCTCACATTTGTTCCTCTACGGTGCATGACCAGTGGGTAGACGTTTAAGCATGATAAACGCATCCAAACAGCACAGCGACAGTTTAAAGGGGTGCACGAGCATGGTGATCATTACACAGGTGTGGAGGAATATGAGCAGACATACACCCGGTGGTTCCCACTCGCGCACACACAGTGGTACACATAGAATTAGAGACCATCAAGGTATGGGGCTTTGGAAAATTGGTGATTGGAATGAAAGGGAGTGGGAAACAGTGGAAATTGGAAGATAGATGGGTAGATTGGATATCGATAGCGAAAAGTCGACGGGGCAGAGTCGATTTCCCACGTTCGACGCAGTAGAATCGCAATGGAGAAGGCGGGATCGGGAAACGTGATATTACTCACTTTCCAACACGCAGTCGTGTCGCAACCAACGCACAACATGGAGTAAGAATACGTTCGAGGCATTTAAGTGGGGTTTCTCGTATCCTTATCGCGACGTTAGGCGACGTGCCATCGATAGCCACTGGTCGAACCTCGATTCCTCTCGTATCTCGTTCGATTCGAGCACTAACGGCTCGACAAACCACTAAGCTGCGAGTTTTACGTACGAGCTTTTTGTCTGTTGATGATTTTGTCACGAAAAGACTAAAACGAAACGTTACCAAATAGCTCTCCCTTTCTCTATCTTTGTATTTGTGTTTGTATATGTGTGAGTTCCCTGTCTTTGTTGCTCTTTGTGTGTCGGATGTTGCGCTCGAGCGCTCGATATTACTTCAATCCGAGGAACCTACAAGGACGGAGAAACAACGATAACGACGATGGCCGAATGTTTTCATGATGGCGATCATGGAGGTTTTGGGCGGACGTACAAGAGAGTAGGAGATACGAATTGGGTTTAAATTTTAGCAAATGATTGTAGGTGGGAATAGGGGAATAGAAACAGGGATTGTCAATTTCTGTTTCTATTCCACTATTTTACCGCGAAAGATTATTTTAAGGATAACAGATTACACAGAATTCAATATCTTCTAGTGAATTGCTGAATATTTATTAATATAATATAGGAAATTAAAATGTGGGAATTGTAATAGTTACTTAGTAAAGTACTAATACTCGGTAAAAATATTAAATATCTAAACGCGAACGAAACTGCACAACACTGTCAATAATTTCATAAGGTTAATTTATAGTTGTATTTCATTTAGAGAAATCATCGATGACCTTGAAATTTTATGCTCACGTGCGTGTGTTCCAAAAAATGACCTTGAAAGAAATATTTTTCTTTTTTTTTTTTTTCTATTATTGTGTACATCGCTTCAAGCAATAAAACTTTGTTTTCAGAACTGTTTTGCTACAACAATAAATATTGGAAATATTTAGGGGTCCTGTTTCTGGTGACTCGCCTTGTATAACTGTGAAATACATATAATTGGTGGCAATTATAATCGATAAGTTCTAAATATTTCGACAGGAAAGGCAGGAAGGTTTGAATTGCAATAGGAAAGTACCAAATATCTAACTTAATCACAATACAGGTATTAATAGTTATAAATTTGTTAATAATGCTATTGATATTACGAACAAAAGGAAATAACAAGTACTTTATTGAATATTTCTATTTGTTATGGTGAGATTTAACAAATTTTCGACCATGTCCGTAATCAGTGATGATCACTGGTGACTGGCGATTCTAACCTATATCTCTTCAGAATGCACATGATAAACAAACCTCAATACTTTGAATCTTTTAAATAATGTCATAGATATTAGGAGTATTACGAATTAAGTTCTTCATTAAACTATTAAATATTTCCTTATTCTATAATTTGAGCAAATTTCAAGAATATCCCTAAACAGAGAAAACTAGTCTAACAGTCATAAATAAAATAAGAAATCAAACTGTACAAATATTTTATTCAAACAATCAAACCTGTTGCTTTAAACGCTCTTCATTTTTAAATTACTGAATTTATCGACATCGAAAATCAAAATTTAGGTTCGATTATTTTGGCAACGTGTTAATTATGATAATTTCTTCCAAACAGGAATGATTAACTCATTGTACACGAGGAAACGGTAAATTTTCAGTCTGTTATACATTTTACTTACGGATGATAAGTAGATTTCTTTCGAATCTGTACATTTACCGACAGACGATAATATACCAGGTAATAGTCGTTGACTCAATTTTCTAGTAGAAACTCTTAATGTTTTTCTATAAAATTAGAAAAACTGTGCCTAGAGAATTAATTAAAAATCGACTTTTTCTGAATTATTTTTGATTTGTAATTGAAAAATGAATTATTTGCATTGATTAATTTTATTTAGTTTTAGAAATATCTTCAAGATTAGAAAACCTGATTAGTTATTGATGAACAATTTCGAACGTTCTTGAGCTCTAATATTAACTCGTCGAATTGCGATCGTGCAATAAACATCTAACCGATAGCTAGGCGCGTATCAAAATTAACAATGGCAGCCACGTGATGTAAGTATTGTACGACGTCGTATTATAAATAAAATCTATTCTTAATTGCGCAAGTTTTTTTATAGAAAACAGAGTTCGACTACCAAAGGATCGTTTTTTAATGATTTTTTCTGTTTTTAAATTCCAGGAAATTTATTTCGTTGAAACGAAGACTCGAAACGTTTTCGCAAGTCAGGGTTTATCGCCTGTTTAACGTTCTCGCGATTAAATTAGATACACGCGTGACGAATGACCGAAAAAATCTTCATTTCCGTAAGCAAGAAGATAAAAAAATGATCCAACTACAGTTTCAAATGTTTTTGAAACACGTTATCGATATACTTCTTTTCCAAATTTCGTTAAATATTATAGAAAACGATATTTTCTATATTTATCACGCTTTTCTGGCCACGTGGTTCATAAGGGGAGTCGAATTTCCAACAAAAGAAAGGCAAAAGACACGATATTTGTTTCTATTATAGCGTGGAACACAGACAGACGTCGATTAAACATTCGGTCGTTTCCTATTTATTTTACGATCGAAATATTTCAAGTGGTTTCATCCATGCCTCCTTTCGTTTGTTACAGGTGGATTCTCCAACGGAAAGTGACTAGAACCGGTGCAAAGAAAAGTACGGAATCGAAGTTTGAAACAAAGTAAAGATCGTCCTCGACGATTCTAACGCGATTGTCTATGTTTGACTCACTCAGGGTGGATAACAATGACGCGCGTTCGCACTTTCCGCTTACTTATCGAAACGCTTTTGTTTTGGAACAGAGAAACATGTTTACTGCTTGGTTTCGTACGCGGTCAACCTTTTTTCCCCGCGGCTCTGACAAATCCCGAACAATGAAAAGAAACCAATGCTAGCTTGAATCGTTCCTCGAAAACATACGATCCTGTGAAAAAATTTCTTTTCTCATCTGTTAATGAAAAATTGATAGAATAGGCTTGAAGATTTTTCGGGATCAATTTTTGTCCATATGAGTTCCTCTATGTAAAATTAAGAGGTTTCTGTGTGTGATGTGGACTATGCGGGACCAGAGTGGTCGCGATAGAAACGATTAGTAGGTTGTTGGTTGTGTCCGTGTAGATTAGAATGAGCCACACCTCGCTTTCTTCCGCTACGAGCGATGGGAAATGGCTGCATGTACAATTACCAACAGAGAATAACTTTTATATCGTCTGATTTCGCTGTCGTTTGTGTGTACCACTGTGTGTACCACTGTGTGTACCACTGGTGTGTACCATCGCTTGAAAACTGTTATAATATTGTACAGTGAGTCGCAGTAAAAATCGTACAGCACGTGTCAGAAAATGTTTTGTATCGTTAAAAAATTTAGGCATGATTTCTAAGAAAGGATTTATCTCTATTTATAAAAAGAATTGTTTAACAAGTTGCTCAAATTATATCTTAGTATTTTCTTTTAGGTTCCTTCGATTACATTCTATAAAAGATGCCGATGGTCGCGACAAAGCGATAATGTATACTGAATAGTAGCCAAACGGCAATGCCACGCTGCCATAGGACGCGTGTGCATTCAGTGTAGTAGTACATACCGATAGTTTTTTGGAAAAAATCTTGGAAACTAAGCTGCCGATCGACATTAAATGGACGAGGAAAAAGTTGTTAAAAATGATGCCCTTAACAATATATTCCAAGCCCGTTCGAATCTGTGATCATGTATTTCATCGACAAGTCGACCGCGTTTTTTCTTTTTTCTTTCTTTTATAACTAAAATGTTACTCTAAATTTACATTTTCGTCTAATTGTACTTTTAGACCATATAAATATATTTTATATCAAAGAAATTACTGAATGTAAACACGCAACGTTGTTTAGTAATATAGAGTAAAATGAATATATTTACACTGTCTAAAAGTAAAATTCGAGGAGCACATAAATTTTCTCATTTCTAGTAATTTAAATGTAGTAATGGTTTTTTATAGTAAAAAAGAACCCTGATTTATTTGATCTTACTAGAAAAAGAATCGTATTAAACGCTCATTATATAAACATATTACCTCGTAATTACTATTACAACAGTCACATATTAAAAACCAAATCTTCACAACCCGAAAAAATAAATTCCACCGATCGAAAATAGACCCGATATACACTCCTCCCACCTACCATATTTCTCCACTTCGTATATCAACAATAAACCTCGATAATCCTAAAACACAATTAAATATTTTATCGTATTTACATTTATACAGTATAAACATATTTAATTTTAAGCATCTCCTGTGTTTATATTCCGAAATCTCTTCAATACCAAATATTATGTTTACAGTATCTAAAAGTATAATACGTTAAGAATCTAAATTTTCCCATATTTACTACAGTAAATGTACTAATAGTTTAATAAAACAAAAAATCGTAATAAATCAATTAATTGTCATAGTTTCCATTTAGTGATCACACATATTCAAACCCATCACATTGTCTACATATGTTGTCATTTGTCATGTGCACTCGAGTTATGATGTGCCTTTAAAGGTAACATGTGCATATGTTATTGTTATTTTAAAAATATATTTTGATCAAATCTATCAAAGGGTACCTAAAAACGGGAGAATTTTAGAAATGTTAACAGGCAATAGATTAAAACTTAAATCTTCGCAACTCTAAACCAATTTTCATGGGTCCCGAAAACGGACCTAATAAATCCACCAACGATAATCCACGATAATCCAAACAGACAATCAAATGTTCTGTATTGATAATTAAAACTAGTCTTTCAGAAATCGTCAAAGAACTCAAATAAACCAGAAGAATCCCAAAACCCCCAAAGAGAGGGAGTATTACAATCCCAGTGCGGATGTGCCCTCAACGGGGGTATGAAAACCTTTGGAGGGAGGGGGAGGGGGAGGGGGAGGGGGAGAGGGGATAAATGCATAAGTGTGGTTTTGCGCTCGAATCGTATCGGCGCTGCCGTCGTGCGAACACACGCATGCAGTCCAAGATCACGAAGAAACGAGACGGACATGGCTTCCATCCTTGAGAGTACGCGCTTAATCAGAAATTGCGTCGTTCGGTTCTCTCTTTGTCCCCGCGCCGTGATACGTATATATTACCCCTGCGACGGACATCTTTTTTTTTTCATCGTTAGTCGACTTGAGACAAAGAGACAAACGTTTTCGAACAAACAGTCGGAATTTCGATTCGGTAGGTGGATGTCGATTATTCATGGGTAATTCGATAAAAATAGTCGAACGAGCCCGAAACGTATTGCGACACTTACCCAAGAGCTGTTGCGGTGTAGCAGGGCGCAATATGTCAGCTGACTTGACGTGTGACCGATCGTAATCCTGCGCCAGTATCCGACATAATTCCTCAGCGGGGCATTCGGGACTCTTCGATTCAAGAAATCCGAGAATTTACAATTTCTGGTTTTGCTTTCGCACCGAATCCCCGCACTCTCACTTTGAACCACAGATATCCCCGATTATCTAGGCGACACCAACGTCGCAACAAACTTTCAATCGGGAGATTGTCGACCAAAGCTGCGGGCCACGGGAACAAATACTGCCGATGACTGGTGTAAAGTTAGATCTCTTACCCTCCCCCCACTAACCGAGCGGAGCGACCTAGGGTCGACAAGCTTCGACGGCAGAGCTGTTCGATTCTGGCTAGTACCACCGTGGAACGATAGAAGGCGCCACTCACGCACAAGACGAAAATATATTTTCAAACCTCGAAAGAAATTGTTCGATGGCGCAGATTTTGATTCGACCATTTTTCTCGCTCAGAAAAATCTCTGGAATCATTCTATAGAAAGAAAATATTGAAGAAATTTGCAATTTCGATAGAACTTTATGGATAACCCGATTACAGTAACAAATACTTCTGGCTAAAGGAATTGTATTCGTATCTGTCGACGTGTTCGTAACGTTTTATACCCAAAGACACTAAAAATCCCCAAAACGTTGGAAATCCTTTGCTTTCCTCATCAATTGGTAAACACGATAAAATCCTGCAGTCAACTTCATTCCACAGACTTAATTAATATTGTCTCAAGTAAATGAAAAATTCTCCAAAATAATTAACTAAAATCCAACTAAAAGTTCTCCGATTCACCTTCATATTTTAACCTCAGGTTTTCCTATCGATTTTTCCGAAATTTTAACTTCTAAGAGACTTTAAGAAATATAGTGATCGATAAAATTCAAATCGATATGGAGAGAAATACCGGTCGGAGGTTCGAAGAAGAGGCAACGGAGCAGCCTGTGGATTATAGCAAAAAGTATTCCGAGCGAAAATCGGCGAGACAAAATCCGATCGATGGATCCTGTAAGAAAGAATTCGTTGATAACCCGAAAGTCGATTTATTCGGCGATTATGCGGAAACCGATCTCGATCAGCCCACGGATTATAGTTTACGATACGCAGAAGACGATACCGATGACGAGGAGAAACAAAATCCAGAATACTTTTCAGAAAGTGTCCAGGAAGACACAGTGAAAACGTATTGCACCGAAGGAACGCCATACGAAACGCCTTTTAACTTTTCCACTGCGACCTCCATGTCCGATCTGCGTCTTGAAGATACAAAGGAGCCTGCAGATTCGCAAAAAAAACTCCACAAGAAGCCAATCGACCTCGCCCGTAAGGATGATTTGACCTACGAGCAAAATCTTGGAGTGAATTGCGTTGAACGGCAATCGCTTCTTGTCGAGAAAGAAATAGAAACCACAAAAGCTGCACGAATGCGGAAACCAGATTGTCTGTCGCCCGAAAAATTGCTCGACTATTATCAATCTTCATCGTCTGATGGATTCTCTCGTGCAAATTCTCTGAGCTCTCTCGGTGGGACCACGACGCAAAGAAACAGCAATGGAAATGTTTCCAAGGCATCTTCGGTGGAAACTACGGATAAAATGGACAGTAGTGGGTCGGAAAGGATGGACCGTGGAGCGAATGGATCCATAGTCAATGAACCAGACAGTCCCACAGAAGGGAAAAGCAACAACAGAGTTGATAAAGAAGGTAAATGGACATCTGTGGTACCGATAGCAAATTTAAGTGATGTTTTTCAAAGTAAATTTTAGGGAAAATGGTGACATTTAGTAGACAGGACTACTATGCAGAGCAAACTCCATTGATGTTTTCACGCTGCAGTTCGCTAGGTTCATTGAGTGGTTTTGAGCAACACTCTATACACGACGACAGAAGCTCCGTCGTCAGCGACTTCAGGCAATACTTTTTATCAACCCATGCCAAGACGCGATACAGAGAAATATTGAAAGTTTAAATTCGATTCCAACAGTCGCAGAACCAGCGGTGTTGTGTCCCCCAGTGAGCTGCCTGATTCTCCCACACAGACCGTGCCACCCAGTCCACGGACACACAAGAGTCAGTGCACGGATTTCATAAGCAAAATACCAGAAGAAGCAGTAAGACCGTCCGTTCGACATTTATGTATGCAATACTGTTGATCGTCAGTGAAAGAGATCATGCAAAATCTTTTATTCGGACAATTGTGATCAGAGTAGTATCAAAGTGTCTATTTTCTCAATGGGGATTGTTTTCAGCGTACTCAAAGTGCCATGTGCCACGGACCAGTGTCTTTGAGGATGACATTGCCACTTTCAAGGAAGAATCCACACCAATCGAGTTCTCTACTGCAACTAGTCTCAGTTCTCTGACAATAGATGACGAGATGAAGATTACTAATGGTTCCAAGGCACAGAATGAATTGACAGATTCGAGTGATAAAACTATTAAAGAAGATTCATGCGCGGAGAAAGCGACACATGCAGATACTGAGAAAGATCAGGAACAGGTCAGCGATGGCGACGAGGATGACGAAGACATGTTGGCTGCATGTATCAGTATGGGCATACAAAATAATAGGTAATGTATGTAGAAATCTGATTTTAATGCTACGAAAGGTCCTTTCCTCCTTTTAATGGAGTTTCTGCAAGTTTAACGTTACGTTGATTTAGAGAAACATTTGTTATTTGTCTTTCAATTATTAACTAATTATTACTAAGAGCGTACAAGTGAACGTTTACTAAATTATTAAAACTCGGGAGCTTTATTATTGATTCCAGGTACAGGCAGTCCTTTAAAACTTCTGGTATTCAAAAACCTGTTCAATCTGAGTCTTCTATGCTGTCACGCTGTCAGAGGCCAGCAGTTTTAAACTCTTCGAAACCAAACAAAAACACTATAGAAGTCATAGCGCCAGACACAGTGCACGTTTACTGCACGGAGGACACACCAGCAGACATTTCCCCAGTTGGGTCGCAATCGAACCTTTCTGCACTCTCCATGCCAAGTGTTCAAGAAGGCATGGAAAGGATCAAAGAAGACAAACCCTCCAGCGAAGTCGAATCCCAGAGAAACGATCTCTCTGACGAAAGTTCTAATCTTTCTGGCGAAGATGAAAAAATTCTGGACGCGTGTATTCAGTCAGGAATTCCAAAAGTAATTATCGATATTAGCGATAGGAAGTTTAAACGATTCTGTGTGGAATTACAATACTTTTTTCTGTTAGGTTCGACAGATTACACCGCCACCGAGTTGCATTCCCTTTACGCAAAAGGGAGAAGCAGCTACACAGAGATTTAATATCTGTGGCACACCTTCGTCCTCTCCTGTTGAAAGTGGGAACAAGAACCTTGGAAAAAGTCTGGAGCATCCAACTTTGGACAATGATATGTTCGACGATAGTCCTAATCATTCTGACGATGAAGCTGTTTTGAACGAATGTATTCGATCTGCTATGCCAAAGGTGGATTTCACATTATCACTTTAAATAATTTTGCGTTCCACAATAGTTGAAAAAGCATAATTATCAAGGAAAATTTGTATGAAATATTGTAAGGTATCGGTGTGAAGTACTTTTTGGTATGTCGATTTCAGGTACGATTGAATGTTTCGACGTTGACGGGACACAGTTTGTCGCAAACTTTAGAGAAATCGAAACAAACAGTTCGAAAGCCATCTTGTTCTGCGTCGTACAATCAGTCGTATGCAGAGCAGAGTAAGCAAAAAATGAAGAAACCAGTTGCGTTTGATGATAATTTTAGTCTTTCGGAGGAGGAGGAGGACATTATGTTGGCTCAGTGTATTAAATCTGGTATGCCAAAGGTAAGATTATAAAATAGATTATTTTTAAGCGACGAGATCCTAAATAAAAATTCAAACCTGTTAATCTTTAAAAATCATCTATTATAGTTAAACGATAGTAAAAACTCGTAAATCTTTACCACTTAAAAGATCGAAAAGCTAATTATCATATTGACGATCATTACGACAGATATTATCTTTATTTCCAGGCATTAAATGTTTCGTCAAACTGTTCCCTGGTGTCTTCGAAGAAACAATCGGATCAACACTCAAAGTCGAAATCCACCTTTTACATAAACAAGCCCTTCCCGATCAGGAATTCCATCATCCAAACTCAATCGACTCCGAAATCCATTCAAAACGGACCTGGATCTATCCTCCAATCGCCAAAAATCCCAGAAATTAGACGATCAACGCTCGTCAGACAAAATCCTCCATCGTCATCTTGTAGGAAGGTTTCACAGCCGGAACAAGATCTCGAAAGTTGTCAAAACCAGAATGAAAATAATTGCAGATCCCCGATTTCCAATGGAACAGACGAAGACGAACCTTGTCGCAATTCCAAGTCAAACGTAGCTCCTTCTCGCCACAGTTCTGTGAGTTCTTTGAGCGAAGAAGGATCTCTGGGTTCGATAGAAGAGTGGACGCTCCTGGAACTTTGCATAAGTTCTGGAATGCCAAGAAACAAGTATCGTCTAAAGGCCATGAAGTCAGAAAGTTCGAACCATGAAGAACGTGACGGAATAAACGAAGACAATTATTCGATTTGTACTTACAATTCGTACGTTTGCAAAACATAGATAAATCTGTTTTGTTGCATCTTTTTTTTTTTACTATCGCAGCGTGTTTGGGGAGGTTGAACTAGGTTTTAGGGTATTTTTTTTTAGGATTTCTGGAAAATTTTATTCTCATTTCCAGTTATGGTATTGTTTTAGATCAATATTGGTTTCTTTCCGATACGTGTTTTTAGGAATATTGGATTAAATCATTGTGTAGCTTTTCGTTTCAACGTTTGGTTTTGACTGTTTTTTAATCGATATATTTGTTAATTGGTAAACGTTGAAGCAAAGAGTAGATGAACGATGGTAAGATGAAGTCTGAATTGTTGCGTTATTGCAGTATGGATAATAATAAAGTCTGTTTATTATGAATGGAACACTTTTCTCCTCCATTTCCTCTCTCTCTCTCTCTCTCTCTCTCTCTCTGTGTGTGTGTGTGTGTGTGTGTGTGTGTGGGCGCGTGTGTGTGTACTGTTATTCTTGGAATATAAGTGGTCAGCGATTGCGGTAAAGTATTAATTTCGCGACAGTAAGGACGACGAGGTGCACCGTTTGGAAAGAAAATCGTAGCAATTAGGATGATAATTCACAGTTATTAACTTAACTCTAAGCGCGTAGAATCATTTTGTTAAATTGGCATATCGTGGAATATTCATATTTCTGATATTTTTTATAGATTTTTAATCGTTCTCTAGCACCAATTATTTTGAAATATTATGATCTGTTGTTTGACTTTAATTTGATTCTAATTTTTACGGAAGACGAAACAGGAGTTTGAGTAACTGACTAAACGAGTAGAATACTGTTAAATTAGTATTTAAGGGAATTGGTATTCGATCGTTATAAATTTCTACCGTTCCTAGTATTATAAGTTAATAAATAATCCTCGAAACCACCGTCCCTTTTTAGCAGATTTGATATTTGACTGGATTCTATATGAATTTGTTGCTGCATTATTATTTGTTCTAACGAACATAGTTCTATATAGTTTAAGGAAGTTGTATTTCAATTGACTAGGAATGCAAATGAACGATTTCTTAAAGATTGTAAATGTATTGCGTTGGAATAAATTTCCAAAGTATGAGAACTGATTTTACTGACTTTAACAAAGTTTGATTTTAATCGACTACGAGTGAAAACAGAGGCCTTAAAAATTTCAAAAACAATATTTTAAATATTGAAAGTTTCGATTTCCTTGACTATAATTGTAAGTTAGAAATGCTAATTTATTATGAACAGAAAGAGATTCGTTTACGATTGGAACCAAATAGTGTTTGCAAAAATATTGAAATAAGATTTGTAATGTAAATTCAGTAATGATTGTAAAAGATTTGTATTTTAATGAATTACGAATGCAAAGAGAAAAGTTTAAAATAAAATAAAATAAATATATTTGTTGTGTTGGAATTGAAAAGATAGCATTGCCAGAAATTGTTGAAAGTTTGGATTTTTCCATGATTTTTCGAACCCTCCAGACAGACACGTCCGATTTCTAATGGTAACTTCGTTAAATAACGATTTTAAATGGTAATTTTCGTAAAAAGAATTATAACCGCGATAAGGTATACATATAGCAGGCAGCATTGATAATTCTTGGGGCGAAATCAGTATGCAGGTAGCATGGTGGAGGTTTAGAATTGGTCGATGATTGCATAGTAAGGTTGCTGGAGCATAAAAAGCGCCGCCTTTTGACCGCTACCTTTGTTGCCGTTCGATGAGTCGTAATGACTGTTTAACCGGTATGTTAGCCTATTTCCTGGAAGTATAAATCTTGATATAGCGAGGGTGGATCGTGTACAGTGCGTCGTGAGCAAACTAGGAGAAGACATCTCCCGTCGGTGTGTTCGCATATCGAGGTAAAAAGGTTTCTTCCTGGTGAAAAAGAAGATTAGTAGTATTCAAAGTGGTTGTTGATTCGAAACAAGATCTAAGTTTGATGTTAATATCGTAGAAAACTATTCGGTACAAGGAATTATTGATTAATCTTGAATAATGTAAGAAAATATAGAGAGCGATATTTGTATAGAATTAGAGACACGTAGATATGTATTTCTAGATAGAAATATTGAAAACTAAACTACTACTTAATTATTATTTATATTGTTAATTAATATATTAATAAATAAATAATCTAAATGGTTTTTAAACGTTAGATGCATCCACGTGCATTGTACGTGTTTGCAATCGTGGTTCACGCGACCAGAAGCGTCGAATGCGAAGATAAAGTAAGATGGTATTCCGGTTTGCGGACTGTGCTGAAGAATTGTCCACCAGAGTCCTGGAATATGGATCCTGGCCAAGACGAGTTTTTCGAGACGTTTAGGAGGTGCGTGCAAGACCGAGCTTTGGCAGCTTTCGACTCGCTACTGGATGACGACGTTATCCCAGTTTTCGATGGACTGGACCTCGTTCGATTTCACGAGAGCAGAATTAATTATACGAATAGGTAAATTGGTCATCTAACCCGGATCGTCGTTTGTATTATCAAACACGCACACGATTTCCAGATTATCGATGGTTGTTGCTGTGATTTCAGTCTACTCTACACCCTGACCTAGTCGCACGCAACGTTAAACACGTTGCGAATCCAACTGAGACCTAGTTTGTTGTCCGATTGGACTTTACGTATAGCCAAGCAAAAGTAATAACGCCTGTTTTTCGACGAGTGCACCGGCACTAAACAAACTGGAAAATAAAACTGCAAAATAAACAACTGGATTAGCGTCAACGCCTCGTTCACTCGGATAAAATTCATACTACACTTACGAGATTTAAATCATAAAATATTATTTTGTTCAGGGAGCCCGGAGGAGACGAAACGAACAACTGGACCGCAATAATTGTGAAACGACTATTGCGAGTTTTGCGCACTCACGTATTCAAGGTCGACGTGGATCATCTGACCAACAATATCCCTTCTCCAGGAAACGACTCGAAAACGGAAGTAGAGAATAATATATTCGAAGGTTCGTCGGGTGTTGTTAATTCCCCCAAGTTCGATATTGTAAATGGCTAAAAACTAAACACCTGTAAATGTAATGCGAACAATGTAGTAATGTGATCGGAAATGTTGAATAGAAAATAAAGAGAGAGAATGATGCTCTTCTGTTGGTTGTTACCAGGTCGCAGACGACGCCTCAGACGAAGACATCAGCACATGATGCCCTTAATGTTGATGGGGTTTCTGTTAATGGGTTCGATTTTCATTCCCATGGGCTTCCAATTCCTGGCAGTGCTCGGTGGAAAAGCTTTGCTTCTAGCAAAAATGGCTCTGATTCTCTCTAGCATACAAGGATTGAAAAAAATAGCCACCAATGGTGTAAATTACGGATTATACCACGCTCCAGTCGCAGATCACGGTTGGCACGAGAGGAGCCACATAGAACCATCCTCGCCTCACTTGGATCTACAATTTCCACCACACCCGCCATTTCTTCGACCCTAATTTAGATTTAGTAAAAACCATTAAAAACGAAGAATAATTTACGATTCTGTTGGAACAAGTTGTTATTATCGGTTATCGTTATACCAGTTACCGATTATACAACTTGTAATATAATGTACTATAGATATTAAATGTTTCTAATAAAGCTCATTATAAGCTCGGAATAATTATAGCATAGCTGGTTGATTATTTTTTCGAAGAAAAAATTAGGCAGACTCGTGAGATGATGTCTTTAGAATTGCCGACAATAAATATTAGAGGAAAAAAGCGTTTTACTTGATCAAATAATGGATGGACGAAAGGCGTCGTAAATCTCGCGTACGTGATTTAATAAAATTCAGAAGCATTCCAGTGAATAATTCAGTTCCCTATTCTTGTATAACGAAAAGGACGGACACTTTGTATAAATCGATAGCTACGCGCGCGAATACGTTTCCGACGGCATTATAATGTTTATTGCGTTTTCTTATTTTTTTCCTTTTTATCAAACATCATTGTTAGAAAAATATGGAACCGATATTCTATAGATAGGTGGTACGTATACTACCTACATTGTATTTGTTTCCCAGGTCACGTAACAATTTCATCATAAATACAACCAATATCGTTTAAAATACATATGTACGTATGTATGTACATACATCGGTTCAAGAGAAAAAGACAAGCGAAAGGTACAAGAATGGATAATAGTTGACAAGAACCGCGTTAGTTGTAAATTCTATTAGTTTTGAAAGCCCGTTGATGACCGATCCGAAGTGTTTGTACGTAGGCCAGGTAGGCGAATCAGTTATCGTAAGCGTAATCGTCGTCGCCAGTTATGTTCGAACCGTTCGTTCGGTGGATATGCGCGTGTCGGACCAGCGGACTATAAGAAGGGACGCCTCGCGTCGCGACGCCGCACAATCTCCACTTTGCCCTCGCTCGAACTTGGTGGCGCGTCCAAGTGATATTCAGTGCCCACGGAAGAGGACGGAACGCGAAAGAGAACTGTTTTCTTTTTATCGAGCTCCATCGTCCGTCCGTTCATCTCACCCTCGATAAAAGAACAAATATGATGCTCGTCGATGGATCAACGCGTCGACTTTCCTCGATGATGTTCCTCTTTGCTGCTTTTCTGCAACCCACTTTGGCTTTAATTAACGGGAACAATGATTATCAGCATTATCGACAACAGGTATGGTATATCTATACTTGTGGAGTTAAACTTTTTATAAATAGTTGGCCGGCTATTCTTTCATTCGTTTATTTATTATTATTTTAACCTTTTAATTTTACTATCGTCTTATTTCTTTTTTTAAACCTTGCTCGTTTTTTAATTTAAATAATGGACCATTCAACTAAACTTTACTTCTTTCCCTTGTCTTTTTCTTTTTAAATATTTCCATCACCGAACAAATAAACATTAAATTAAACTATTATAGTATATAATAATACTTTTCCATTCTATAATTATAGTAAACTTGTTACGTTATGACTTACAACGTCCTAAGAAGGTTTCGATAATGAAATTTTCACCGACCATTACTCAAACTATGTTTACGACTACCTCCCTCTGTAATTGCAATTAGTTGCACGAGAGTACCTAGGTACTACACACTGATTGATACATCCTCCAATTAACCAACTGTTTAAGGAAAACTAAAAATATTTATTTATTTCCCACAAACTTTCGATTCTATTCAAGGATTGCTAACAACATTTTAAAGCGAAACTATACTCCGAGAAATAATTTCGGGAAGTTTCTTTCCCGTAGAAATAATACTGTCGCGAGATATCTGGTAAAAACTAGATTTTATACCTTTTAATTAAAATTAGTATTGTGCCAATATCCTATAAACGGAATGTTGCGCGTCGTTTCCTACGAACCATCATATTTTATCGTCGTTCTTGGCATCTTACGACCAAACTTTTATCTGTAAATATTTTTTTAATATATTAATTTAATCATTTAAAAATTTAAAAAAATACTATTTTAATATTTATCTTGTAACTGATCACGACCAATAGGTTCGTTCGTACCGTTCCGATTCGATTCGATTCGATTCGTTCGTGAGCGTTTGAAAAAATACATTAGATTCTTTCTCTTTATTATTTCTTCGAGAGAATTCTCCAGAGATCCTTCGTACAATTTCACTAAATTGAGAGTGTCGTTTCTTCAGGGGCTCCTGGACGGAGCTATACACTTTCATTAATCAGATTACGCCTCACCCCCACCCACAAACGGGACTAAATTCTACTTCCAAGTCGAGTATCGTCCAAGATCAACGTTTCAATACACAATTTACAATTAGTTGGAAACTCAACGGTCGGGATTATTTGTCCTACGCAGAAACATTCCGATTCAGCCCCCTCCCGCCTTTGAACATTTATTTCCTGCACTTTTCAAACAACCAACGACCGAATATTTAAAAGAGAATGCAGAATTTTCCAAAACTGTTTACATTTTTCACTCGATTCGCCATTTATTTATCGATTAGAAATTCATTTTCGCTTCTTTCTTCTGGAAAAATGATCGTTCTATGCTTTTGAAAAACAAGGTTTGAATGAATATTCGTCGAGGAAGAATTTCAAGCAAGGCGAATCCGTGTCATATCAAATATTTACAACGGCTGTTCCGCTATTTGTTCCACGATTACGTGCTTGTAGTAGATCGTAAATTCAGTAAATTGCCAAGTAGAGTCTCTGGTTAACGCGTAACAATTCTAATCCTCCTGTTTCTCGTATTACCAACCGATTATTCTTTCCTTTCGCCGCGCTGCTACACACAAAAAAAAAACAAATTATTTTTCTTTACCAACTTTGCTACTTGACCGACATATACAGTACATTAATTAATCTTTTTCAATCGAATTATTTAGATTTAAAGATACAAAGCAAGATAATTATTTCTTTCATTTGCCAGTTTCCCCTTTTTCTCTTCTTTCGTTTCGTTTCTTCTTGTTTGTTTGTTTGTTTTTTTTGTATATGTATATAGCAATTTTCCTATATTTAGTCCAAGCGTTGCACGGTTTTTCCAGTTTGCGACGTTGATTCGCTCGCGATTATTATTAGAGATGCAACGACAGCGTTATCGACGATCGACACCCTTAAGGTTTTCACTGGCGTCGCGACGCTCGTGAAAAAATTCATGTGACGTTGTCAATTTTCACAAGACCTCTGAAACTCTTGTTTTATGAAAAAACGGTAAAAATTTGTGAAATTTTTATTGGTTGTCGATAATAGTTACCAACCAGGGAAATTTATTTCGATTTTTTTATAATAATTTTACTAATATTATCCATTTTATTCTATTTTTAGCCTCACTCTGATCGATGATTCGTTTCACGCTATTGTCAAATTAATTTTTTATTCTTTCTAGGTTGCTGCTGGAGACCATTTTGCTAAGGACTTTTATCGCGCGAATGTGAAAGATGACTTTTTAAATTCATACTCTTATTACAAGCCCGTGACAGGTAAACTTTTCAACCGTTTATAATCGATAGGATTCTTTTTTGTGTCTTTTGAATCAGTTTCTTTTCTAGCGAACATAGATCATCTTTTAAAATATTTGGAACAACAGAATATTTTTCTTTGTTTGATGAAGAAAATATTTGTTTTGTTTGCAGAATGCATGTTTGTGACAACAGAGCCTGGATCGTTCATCTATACTTCGAAAACCGACGACGAGGAAGTCTGTGGCGTTCATTTTCTAGCAGGGCCTGATCAAAACGTGGAGATTACTTTCATTAATTTCGACGTTCCTTGCGAACATCATGGATTAATATCGGTAATTACGATATCGATTAGCCTAGTTGTTTTGAAAAATGTACCGTAGAGGAAATAATCGACAAGTTATTACGCAAGTATAGTTTCCCGATTACATACATATTTAGTTATCGTGTGTTGTTACGTAGATTGTGGATGGCTGGGAATTAAATGGCGAAATATTCCCTAGTGAAATGGATCATCGATTATCTTTGAAGCAGAGGAACATCGAGTTTTGTGGGAAAAGTGTGGGTATGAAGAGAACGTTGGTCAGTTCGCAGAACGTTGCAGTTATCCGGTATAGAATACCCGTGGCCGGGAAAGGATTCACGGTCCTTGCACGATTTATCAATAATCCAAGACGTAAGCAACCAAAAAGTAAAAATATTCTTTAATTTTCCCCTTAACATTACTTAAATACTATCTATATTTTATTTTATAATTTAAATTATAACATAAAATATAAATAGATATAGATAAATAATGTTTCTAATCGGGCGTTACAGCTTGCAACGTGCTTGCGCCGAGTCTGACCGAGCCATTCACTCTTCGGAATTATGGAAGACGCATAAACTGCACCTACGCCGCCCTTTATCCTGGAACTGTGCAAATAATCGCCCTTGGAGTCGGAATAACAAACTTTTTAGGGTCCATTCGGGCCACGGAAACTGGAATTATACGTAAAGTTAGTGAAAAATTAAACCGAAGAAGAAAAGAGAGAAAAAAAAATACCTGATGTAAAATGTCTTTTGTTTATTTGCAGTGCGATCAAAAGAATCCACAGGATCAAGTAGTAATTGGAGGCAGTTACGGTTTGGATACGAGTAAAATGGAGGTGGTCGATTCCATTTGCGGGATGAATTCCAAGCCAGGTAACATGATTAATGATAACTTTACCGAGAATCGTGTTGATTCCCGATGGGGGAGTAAATTGAATCAATATTGTTTTATTCATCCTGATCGATATTTACTCACGTTCCAAAATAGATACTCTTAATAGATGCTCCTTATTATTGTTATCGAGTATAAAACATATTCTATTGTTATTTACAACTCTTACAATTATACCATTATCGTAGAAAAATAGGTTTAGAATCTAAAAAATGACTGGCAGATTTAACTTGAAATTATCAACGCAACTAAAAGAAAACCTGTTTTTCTTTCTGTTTCAGACTATCGAGAAATGGTGGAATATAGCGTGACTTCTGTAAAACTAATATCCAGTGGTTTCTTCGAAAATTCCGTAACCGTGCAAATTCTACCGATCAAAGATGACACTTTCACGACACAAGCATAACTAACTAACGATTCAAAATATTTAAAAAACCCCATCGTCAACGGTTAAAGTTCTATAAAACTCCATAAATATTCTTTCTCCCAATAAACAATTCCTAAATCCAACCATTAATAGCTCCACGCTCGATTCTTTTAAAAAGAATCATCGATTCTGAACCTAATCGAATAGTTTTAACCGTAATTATTATATTTATTTCTAAATTTCGATGTTTAATTCAGAAATTATTCCACAAAACAGACTGAATTTATTTTTTAAAGCTTTTCCTTAATTATTATTGTTAATCTTAGGGTATTTATTTAGTTTAAAATTGTTTATAAGACCTCCGGACGATTTGATTAATTGTGGGAATTGTGATAATTGTGTGTCGATAAATGTGTTAAACGTGTAGATTTTTCTCTAGTTAGTATGTATTATTGTATAGGAAATGGCCTCGAATTTTTATTCTTGTAGAATGCAATCGTTAATTAACGATGGAAATTATTTATTAAAGTGTGGCTGTTCATTGAGACGAGTTAATTAAATAAACGTAAATTATTCCTCACTTTTCTACTGGTATTTTAATTACTTGAGATTATTTTTGGCCAAATAATTTCGAAAAATCAATTTTTCTTCAACAATTTTCTAGCAAAAATTATTCTTTTTTTTTCGTAATTAAAATAATGTTTCGATTTTCTGCTAAATCCCTCGTAGATTATGCTAGCTTCCGACGCGCATGGGTTGTTCGAAATAGTTGCTATGCGACCCAAACCATAAACAAACCATCTCGTGTATCATGCCAGAGAACTATGGTTCGCGTAATAGCATTATTGATCTAATTGCGACAGGAAAATTCTTTTCGAATTAACTTATGCTATTCGTGGTCGTCGATCAACATGTTACTAAAATATTTGGCAAGTGTGATGGACCCACTGGTGAGAATATTGTTTTATTTATTCTAATACTTATGAATTACTATACTGAATCGGCTAATAAGTTACAAATTTGTCAAGTAGATATCTTTTTTCTGTGGAAAATAAAAAGAAATAAATAACGCGTATCACTTAATTTCTCTTATACTCTTCGACTGAAAATTGTCAAACAAACAAAGATATTTTTTAGCAATCGGAATACACATCCGAAAATTCCTAAATTACTTCGATCAATGGATCGATTGGATCATTCTAATCGAAACCACGTCAATACCTCTAAAAATAGCGTAATTATCGTGCTAATAGGGTTGTTTTCATGTAAATCAGGATTATGAGAATCAAGTAATGGGTATAGTTTGGTCCCCAAACGGCTTAAAACTAGCTATCGCATCCTCCGATCGTTTTATTTACCTGTTCGACGACAATTGTGTGAAACGAGACAAATTTTCAACTAAACCTATCGATTCAAAGGCAAGTATAATTGGATCTAAACAAGTATAAACATTCTGCAAACTCGAATTTTAAACTCCAGACTGAATTCGTTTTATTTAATTTGTTTCAGTTTAGCAAGAAAAGCTACTTGATCAAAGACATAGCTTTTTCCCCGGACTCTACCAAAATTGCAGTTGGTCAGACCGATTGCATCGTTTACGTCTACAAAATTGGCGAACAATGGTAAGTTAAATAGTATAAAATACCAAAGAAATACTAAGTTTCCAAAATAATTGATAAATTTCCTTTGTTACCGATAGGGGGGATAAGAAAGTAATTTGCAACAAGTTTCGCCAAAGTTCGTCGGTAACTTGTTTAATTTGGTTACTGGAGGGACCTATTATAGTTGGTTTGGTGGATGGAAAGATTCGTGCAGCATTACCAAAATCTCAGAAAGCTCAGACTCTCTATGCAGCCGATTCCATGACTATTGCATTGACTTCCAAGTAATTTGCATACGTTTAATTACAATTTTATTCGTAAACTTCCATTTTTCACCCCTCGATTTATTCTCTTTGTCATTATTCTGAGGAAAAGTATGAATTTAAAACATTGTACAAAGTAAAAATGGAAAAAGGAGCATAGTACTTGAATACTAGTGTTTTTAGTAAGTTCCGAATTTTTGTTTAGTTAAATCGGTTTACAAAGGATCTAGTTTTGGTTTTTTGCTACTAAAACAAACAAGAAATCTTACCGATCGTCAAGTTCTTTAACATTACTTCCAGAAACAAATACAATTTCACTTTTTTCCTTTGCGAGCAATAAAACACTTTTGTATCCAACAATTTAGAATATTTTGTGTAAGGAAGTACTTCCATATGAAATAGTAGTGCCTTCCTCTATGTTAAAATATTAATAAGATTTGCTGGGTTGGCTTACCGACTGTGGAAACATCGATGTCTGCCTATTCGATCATCGAGTCCTTCAAAGTTAATTTTCTTTTTCTTATTTTCGTCACAAATTACAAACTCATAGGATAAGGTATACGATAGACTATGTATCTTATGGAAGTTGGTTTCTTAAATTCACAACCGTTAGCTCGATGTTACTTATGACGGTATTATCAAGTCCAAACTTAAACTAAAATAAAAATAATCTCACATGTTAATACAGTCAAAGGCCAGAACAGAAACTCTGTACACTATACGTGTAAACCCAGTTGCTAACCTCAAAACTTAAAACTCGGTCCCGTAAGCCTCCCTTTTTTTGGATTTCCAGTGTCCGTGGTACGGGATTTCTATCGAGCCACGCCGATGGAAGTATTATTAAGTATCATTTGACCGACGACGGCAGTCACGAGCCATCAGGGCGAATTTGCACGCACAGTGTACCCGCGTATGCTCTGGCATGGCCACAATCACACATCGTGGCGGCCGGGTGCGACAGACGGGTCACGTTTTACGATTCTCGCGGGAAACCGGTCAAGAGTTTCGATTACAGCCGCGAAGATGAGAAAGAGTTCACGGTTGCATGTTGCAGTCCCAGCGGACAGAGCGTTGCCCTCGGCTCCTGGAACAGAATCAGGATCATGGACTGGAGTCCCAGACGCGACATCTGGGAAGAAGCAAACGTTAAATCTTTGCCAAATTTCTACACAGTTACCGCCATCTCGTGGCGTCGCGATGGATCAAGGCTAGTTCTCTGCAATTAATATAGAAACTGTTTTTATCGACATTTTTCAAAGGGATATTTTTTATGCCACAAAATAATGAAAAATTAGAAGAATTCTTGCTTTTTTTAAAACCAAATTACTATAACAGTTCCTATTATAAACGTCTACAATTCCTACGATTTTAACAATTCACATCGAATGACTTTGCAAATTTATTTTACTCAATCCACTTTCGAGATACAAACGATAGTCTATAGAAAAGAAACAACAATACATTCAGAACGTGGTCTAATACTTTCAGGCTCCTCGTGGGCAGCCTTTGTGGTGCTGTGGAACAATTCGAAACTGTTTTAAAGAGGACGGTAATAAAAGGAAGTCACGAGGTGGCTTATGTGGGTCCTAGTCAAGTGGTAATTCGACCATTGAAAGAAGGCAACAGACCAGTGGTCATCAGATCGCAAACTGGGCATGAAATAGAGGACGTCAAAGTCCTGGGACGGGCTGATAACAATGTAATTGCTCGTACAGCCAATACATTACTTCTAGCCGATGTAGAATTGAACCTAATCAGTGAAATTCCATGGGATGAAAAGAGTAATAGTGAGAAATTTTTCTTCGAATATCCCAGAGTGTGTCTGATCTTTTGTTCCGGGGAACTGACCATCGTAGAATATGGAAATAACGAACCATTGGGCGCTGTGAGGACAGAATCGGTGAATCCCCACGTGGTCAGTGTAAGAATAAACGAAAGACAGGCGCCAGGAGCTTTAGATAACAAAAGATTGGCTTATTTATTGGATCCAAGGACAGTTAGGCTAGTGGACCTTGTAACTAGCGCCACAGTCGCCATGATTGCTCATGAGGTGCGGGTAGATTGGCTAGAACTGAGCGAAACTGGCCAGAGACTACTGTCCCGCGACAAAAAGGCAAGGTAAGAAAATCGGCCCTAAAAAGTCTTCATTGAGGAATTTCCTATACCGTGGTAGTTAATATCTCAGAAATCCATCTAAACGAGAAATAAATGTGCAGGTTGTGGTTGAGCGACGATCTAGGTGGGCGAAGCTTGCTTCTAACCGGGGTGAGCTTCGCCTCTTGGGTGTTGGGCAGCGACGTGGTTGTGGCCCAAAGCAGCCAAACACTGGCAGTTTGGTATAACGTCGACGCTCCGGAGGTGGCTACGCTGATTCCAGTCCGTGGAGACGCTATGGACATTGTTAGAGAAGATGGCCGAACTTCCGTGACAGTGGACGAGCTCGGTGGAAAAGTAGCTTACTTATTGGACGAACCTCTGATTGAATTCGGTACTGCATTGCACGATAACGACTTTGGTAGAGCTTTGCTGTTTCTGGAAGAGCTCGCGGACAGGCCACAAGCGGAGGCCATGTGGGAAAATGTGGCCAGAAACGCGATGACCACCAGACAATTACTGGTCGCTGCCAGATGTTATGCAGCTTTGGGAGATGTGGCTTGTTCCAGGTTAGAATCACATAAAATCTCCCCTCTGAAACATTATAGATTGTTATTTGTCTTCCACCAGCTGTTTGTCTGTCTGTCGGTCGGTCGGTCGGTCGGTCGGTCGGTCGGTCATTCACCTATCTATTATAGAACTATGATACACAAACCATACAAGGATACATACTTGGCAAAAGAACAGTTCATGACACTTTAAGGGACACTGTACACGATTATTACAGTAAACTTTCCAATCTAATATTAATTTCGGTACATTCTCCCATTTTCTTCGGACGAAGGAATGCCACATAATCTCAAATTGAGTTAAATTTCTCCAGATTTCTCAAGAACATTATAAAAGTCGGTGAACAGTATAGTTCAGAAACTGGAAACGATCCTCTTTCGAGTCCAGACTGTTGGGCCAAGCTTGCAATCCTAAATGGCGAGTTGAAGACGGCGGAGGCAATATACTTGGAACAGAACGAATTGAATCAAGCCTTGGATATGTACCAAAAGTATTGGCGGTGGGAGGACGCGCTGCTCCTGGCACAGAATCGTGGCTGGCCTGGTTTACAGGAACTTAGGGACAGGCAATTAACCTGGCTACTCGAAAGCGATCAGGCAGCCAGGGCAGCCGCTATTTTGGAGGCCTCGAATCCTCGACAAGCCGTCAAATTGTACCTGGAGTCGCGACGAGCCGGAAGAGCAGCCAGATTAGTCCTGGCCGACGATGATCTGTTGGAAAACAAGTCGATCGTCAATGAAATTGTTAAGGTTCTGAAGGCAACCGACCTGATGGAACTGGCTGGAGAACTTTTGGAGAGGACCTCGGAGCCCCTGGAAGCCATCAAGTGCTACTCTTACGCGGGAGTGTTCGCCAGAGCACTGGAGTTGGCTCGAAAGGTGGAGCCAACTTCTGTAGTGGATCTGGAACGCGATTGGGGCAAGCATTTAGCCTCTGCAGGGCATTACGACGCGGCTATCAATCATTTCATCGAAGCTGGAGAGACTGCCCTTGCCCTGGACGCCGCTATCAATGCCCGCCAGTGGAGAAAGGGTTTACAGATCGTGCAAGTATGCTCTCTTACCGCTGGTTGCCCTCTCGAAAATCATTCTCGTGCTCTAGGTTATCTTAAATCATTTTTATTAGTTATTAACCAGTATTAGTATTGTATCTAAAAAAAATCCATACTCCCTAAATTAGTTTTAGTGAGTTTTATAAATACTTCCACTGCAGCCAATCCAACGTTCCCTTCCACAGGTAATAGAAGACGACGGGCCGGCAATACGAAAAAAGTGCGAGAAATTGGCAGAGTATTTCGCCACGATAGGCGAAAAGAGCCTCGCGGAGAGGCTTTTCGTTCGCGCGGGGGATCTCAGACGCGCCGTGGAGGTTCACGTACAGAGTGGGGATTGGATGCGCGCGTACCAAGTGGCCCAAGACAATATGACACCCGAGGAAGCTAATCAAGTATTGGGGAAGCACGCGGCCGCCCTATGCGATTCTGGAGATCTAAAACGCGCCGAGGAGTTGTACCTCGCTATAGGCGAGCATGACACGGCCATAGCGATGTACAAAAAAGCAGGCCGTCGGGCAGACATGGTCAGATTGGTAGGGAAATACAGGCCGGATTTGCTCAAGCCGACTCACGCGCATTTGGCGCGAGAATTGGAAGCTTCGGGCAAGCCCAGAGAGGCTGAAGAGCATTTTATCGCGGCTGACGATTGGCGAGGCGCTGTCACTGCCTATAGGTCGAACAATCTCTGGGAAGATGCCCTAAGAGTGGCGAAACAGCATTCTGGGGACAGCACTGCCCAACAGGTGACTATTCTCATTCAAGCGGTCTTATCCCAGGTCGCTTATGGTTCCTTTCGTCCGTAGGTTGCGTTAGTGTGGGCACGCACCTTGGCCCCGGAGCTTGGAGCAAGATTGCTGATGCGGTTAGGCTACCTAAAGGGTTGCCTTCAGCTGGCCTGCGAGGCTGATCTCTTCGATTGGGCCTTGGAAATCGTCAAATATGCCGACGAAGACCAAAAGAAGGAGGTCCATTATAGACACGCGATGGTTTTAGAAGACGCTGGTCACTTATCCGAGGCTGAAAAAGAATTCATAAAAGCGGGTAGGCCCATGGAGGCGGTTCAAATGTACATTCATACTCACGACTGGGAATCTGCTGAAGATGTTGCGCAAACGATCGACCAGGATGCTGTTGCGCAAGTATTGGTGGCCAGGGCCGCAAATGCAGCGGATTCCCAAGACTATTCCTTGGCAGAATCCCTTCTGCTTAGAGCCCACAAGCCTGAAACTATTGTGGATCACTACAAAGTAATTAGTTTACACCAAAAATTCTCCACTTTTGTCCATTTCTGACCCCATAAGCCTCACACTTTTAAGCAAACCTTATGAAATATTGCAGAAGGCAGGAATGTGGTCCGAGGCTCTGCGCGTGTGCAGAGAGTATTTGCCGAGCCAAGAAGCGAATCTTCGTCGAGAATTGGGCCAGAAAACCGTCTCATTAGCCGACGGAGATGCTTTAGAGGAAGCTAAAAAATGGCTGGAAGTCGGAGAAGTCCGAGCTGCCCTGGATGTCTTAATTTTAGATCCTCAAGCACCTAGATCCTCTCTTATCAGAGCAGCGGACATCCTGATTCATCAGGCCGACCCGGAAACTGCAAGTCAAGTGGGTGGGGGCCTTGGAACGAAATTGTTCGAGATCGGTGAACACGCTTTGGCTGCTCAGGTTTGCGACTTGGTTTCTATCCAGTCTTCTAGTTTTGATAAATTTTAAAAATCTATCAAATCTTGTGAATCTTTGCAGGTATTTCTGCAAGCAGACAGACTGAAGGACGCCATTGAAACGTTAGCGTCAGTAGGGGAGTGGGAAAAGGCCAGACGAATCGTAAGAGAACTGGCACCAGACATAGAACCTTACCTCGAAGAGAAATACAGGGAGGCTATGTTGAAAGACGGACAAATAGATCGATTGGTGGAAATCGATGTGGATGCTGGCTTGGAAATGCTGGCGAACAAGGGCCAATGGAATCAGCTGTTCGAAGCAGCCAGCTCCCAGGACTCTCAGATTCTCCACAAATACATAGCGCAGCGAGCTGCACAACTTTTGAAAGGGCACTCCCCAATAGAGGCTCTGCATCTGTACGCAAAATACGGGGCGCCGCCCATCCCACAAAACTGCAATCTCTATTTACAGTTATCCGAAAGCGTCCTGAACTCCGAGGTAAGAATCGTTCGAACACTACCAAAGCTTCCGGCATCTCGAATCTTTTATGTTCGAGAGTTATAACGAAATTATTCAACGAGTAAATAAAAATATAATACATACATGTATTAGAAGTGTTCGTGCCTCGATACACGATCGCACTAACATTTCTTCCCTTTATTTCGTTGACAATCAGGCGTACTACGAATACAAGTATCTGGCCCTTCTTCGAACGGTTCTCCTCGACATTTGTACCAATCTGAAGTCCTCTGCGACTTCCAACTCCAAGTTCGAACGGTTTCTCGAGTCGGCACATTACGCGGCTGTGAAGCGTGGGTGTCAGGGTCACCCAGTACTCTCTGGTCTGGTTCTAAAGGCCTCGATTAGTTTGTTGAGATACACGGACTTCCTCGTTGCGGATCGTGCATATTACGAGGCCGGCGTCGAAGCCAGAACAGCCGGTTTAAACAGCGAAGCTTTTGTTTTTCTAAACCACTTCTTGGACCTGGAGGAGTGCATCGAAGAGGGCGACAGCACGGTGCTTGACGTCGACGATCTGGCAGTCACGGACTTTCCCACGCAAGTCCCGTTGCCCGAATCTCTGAGCATGTCGCCGGAACAGCGAGAAGAAGCTCGAGAATGGGTGCTGACGGTGTCGATGGACCAGAAAGTGGATCAGACTCTACCTACCGACCACCGTGGCGTCTATGTGGGATCACTGAACTCGCCATCTACAGAAATCGAGCTCCTCCAGGGCTGCATATTGACCGGGTACCCAGTGCGGGGCTCGACGATTCGATTTGCGCAGGTATTTTTCGTAAATATTTCGTAACACGCACGCACCACGTTTCGATTTTATGTACTGTGTTCTTACCAGAGTGAACGTGTGGCGGACCGAGACGATTGGTCAAAGCTGATCAACACGGCTCAACAAACTCCTCAGGACTCACCGCTAAATGATATCCTAGCTTTCGTACAAGAATGGTGCGGAACAGTTCCCAGCTATTACTTCTGAAATAATTTTGCATTAGTTTCTCTTTGAAAAGTGTAAGAATCTATCTACGAGCACAAAACTAAATACAAACATGTTCAATTTTTTTACTTACAACTATTCAACGTCTTTTATTTTCCAGGCTTGATTCGAATCTGTCACTAGATCGAGTACAATTTGATGCACAAGTAAATGAACAATTCTACGATAGTCTTTTCATTTCGAGGATAGTAAATCAATCGAAGGGTGTTCGTTTCTCTAGAATTTATTTAAAGAAGTCTGTATTATGTAAATAATTAGTCTAACTTAAGCATAAATAGTTCTGTACGGTTTGAATATACGTGCAACGTGTGTCCGTGGAGATTCTCAATGCCTTAACTTTTCAATTGAAATCCCCCAGCGAGCTATTATAACTATCACTTGTTCGCATACCAATTCATGATGGATAATTATGCTACCGATGAGTATGCGTTATACACGGGTTTTATTTTTAAAAACAATAGTACGAGTCAGAAATTCAGCTGTTTCAAGTACAATTGTTTCAACGAACCCACGAGTATCTTTTCCCAATTCTTCTCGGATTTATTGACTCTATTTCGAACAACTGCACAAGGATCTCATGAAACGATACGTTTTCAAGAAACTAATGTTAAATCTTCACACACAGAATTCAGTCAGAAACATTTGGAAGATGCTGGAACACGCTGGAAAACGTCACTTCATTTTTTAATCCTCCTACTTCTTCCGACAAAATATCATTTTGGTTCCACACCATTTTCCAAGTGTCTCGATACTAAATTAAAAACGCAGTCTAAATTAAAACTTGACGATTCTTGCCCCAAAGAAAACTCCGAAACCCGAATTGCTCCTTCACCCTTAGTTTTTTTTAAAAGAGACGAATTTTTCTAAAAACCCTCGAGATATCGGACAAAAACAAGTTATTACGTGAAAAACTATACCCGCTAGAAAGATCACCGAAGATGATGCAATTCGATTTTCGAATTTTTGTTTGTTGGACAGTGTTATGAAATACCATGCAGACTTGGAATACCTGTGCTTAACTTCTCCGAAAAGTAATCTTCCGTACCAGAAGAAAAAGAAAAGAAAAACGAAGAATCTATTATAAATACATAGGACGATAGAAAATAGATCTACAGAGAATATTATTTCAATACTTTTCCTAGAGTTTTACATAAGCGACAGTTTTACTTGGACAACAGAATATACTATAGCAACGATATATGCTAATGTTTTGTGTCTGTTGATAGTACAATGAAGGAATTGAAACTACGAAACTATACAAGACTATACAAAAAACTTCCATTTTGCCAGAACCAGCCAATTGTTTCCCCGCATCGATCTTCTCGATTCACAGAAAGTATAACGAAAGAATTGAAACTCTACTAACTATACAACGCACTCAGTTTCTTTTGTAACGGCTCCTCTTTCCATCTGCAAAGATTCTACTTAAGAAAACCAAAACTCTACTACCTATACAAAACGTCTCCCTCCCTTTTCCAATAACTCCTTTCCTTCTTTACTAATTACAACTACTCGTCTGCGTAATCCTAAAGACCGGTCCAATCCGCAAAAAGAACCTCCTCAGAACAGACCTCATCTCCGGCTTCAAATCAAAACACATCACCTCGCATAGCATTGGATAGCAACTAGACGCATGGACGGCGAACCTACTATCCGTCATCTTCAAAATCCTAGTCAAAAGCAACAGTAAAATAGGCGTCCAGGCATCCCTATGAGCCTCGTTGGACAATTTCAAAAAGTACTCCAGGGCCTCACAAGCCACTTTCACCAATCTACTCTCCACTTTGCTCCAATCCCCCCTCCGTGCTTCGTCGCTATACATTTTGAACAGAATCCTCAATGCACAGGCCAACGATTGGGTTTCTTGCTTTAGCAGATTGGGTTTCGCATTCCCACGGAATCCAGCCTTCCAAAGAACGTTCCTTTGCTCGTGGTCGGCGTTAAAGCTCTTGGCGAACCTGTGGGATCTCAGAAGACATTCCACCAGCTGCAGAAGGTGCGTCGTTGTCAAAGAACAATACATCCCTTGTTCCTCCTTCTGCTGGTCCCCGCCGACTCTAACTCCGATTTCAGAGGACTTTCCATTGAACATGTCCGCCTGGGCCAGAGCCAAGTTCTCCTGGTCCTCCTTCCTGGATGTGGCCGGGTAAAAAACCACATTATCTATAGTTTGGATCAGCTCCAGTTGCACCACGCACTTAATTAATAGGGCAGAGAAGATTTTGCTCTTTGTAGATTCTGTGTTTGTTAAACTTTGGGAACTGGTGCTGCGTTTCAGGATGCCTGCATGGATGTCCAGATCCCCGGTGATGACGTCCAGGTCAGATTCCTTGTTGGGCGACTGTGGTCTCCAAGTTAGGAGAGCAGAAGGCAAAGTGCTCTCGAAAATGTCCAGCACGCAGCAACAAGTCTTTTCCCAGGTTTGTTCGTCGAATTTTATCCCGTTGCTGATTACCAGGTTCTCCAGACAGTTAGTACCTGACCTTGCTAATTGTTCGTTGTCTTGTTGAACGCACCAGAGTAACTGAGAGTAGAGTTGCTCGAGGAGTAGGGGACCTAGAGTGTCGTAGAACTGGGAGAAGACGTCTACGATCGCGTAGAGGGCATGGTTGCAGGTTGTCGTCATCCATTCTGCCTTCTAGAAGAGAAAAAGAGAGAATTAGTTCCTGAAAGGATTTATACAATAGGCTATACATAATTTTTATATCAACTTTCCAATTAATTTTTAAACTTATGACGGTGAAAGAACATGGTTTGGCTTTTGTTTGGTCTGCATGGATTTTTATGCCATCTCCGTTACTTGTTCCTTTGCAGTACCTGCATCACTGTTGTTGATTATAATACAATGATACACATTGCAAAGGATCGAATAACGGAAGAAACATATGTATATTGTTGATCAGTCAAAAATATTAGCTACGCGTAGAAACTAATAGTTTCATTTACCTCTGTATGTTGCTCGGGAAGTTTCATATTGTCGAATATTCTGAAGAGAACTTGGAAAAGGTCTTTCCACCAATGCGGTTTGAAAGATGCTCCGTGGGTCTTGACAACGTCGAACAGAACAGTCAGGGCTCGTGTTCGTACGTCAAGTTTGCATCTACTCACTATGCAGGACAGTTCGAAGAGCAGCGGAAACCATCCCCTTACCTGAACGATCGATCAATAAGCTCCAATTACTAGAAAATAAGAGAATTTGGGTATCGTCGAATGGTCCAATACCCTTACCCAAGCTCTGTCCTCTTCGGACACCATTCCGCTGTCATCCATCATGCCCTCTGCAAACAGATTTGGATTAGCATCTATGTACGAGGCACAAGACCGTATCAGTCTTATGGCCTCCATGCTAGTCTCCGGGAAAGAGGCGTTACAAGCAAATTCACTGAGACACTTGACTGCGTCTTGGAACGAATCGACCATAATACTAAAGTCCTCTGCGTATAGCTCGTCTGTAACGAAAGAAAGTATTACCGATTCAGATAATAACAGAATTAACTAAATGTTTATTGAATCCCTTATCGTAATTAGCAGAATCGTTTCATACTCACTGATAATCTTTCCCGTCATGGAGAAGGCCAGCTCGACAACAGCTTCGTCCCTGTCACTAGCAGCGTGATGGAACACGCTGAATATATTTTTCCATCCAGATCGAATATTAGGAGCTTGTGAGTGAACGATCTGTGCCACGCACCGAACAACCATATCCCTAATCACCGGAGACCTATTCTTCTTCATGATGTGCTCGAACGGTCTCAAGAAATCCTTCTGGAACCTAAAGTTCGCGAACTCTCCCTTCTCTATGAACTTGGTTGCCAGCTGTCGCAGAGAATCCACTGCAAAGAAGGCGATGTCTTGACGGCGACTACAGCCAACTCTGTCAAAGTGGTCACCGATCACTTGCCAAATCCTGGACCACTGCAGCCTGATACGACCCATATTGTAGTAAGAGATCTCTACGATCTTGGTCAGGGAGAACATGCGAGGCTGAGTCGGGTGGGACAATTCTTCCAACGACACTTGACACAGAGCTTTCACAAATTCCACGATAGCATCGCCGTCCAGTCTGGTGGATCCTGTGAAAATTCTGTCGACAGCTACCACTACGCTCTGGGAACTCGTCTCTCCTATCGACTCCTTTACACTGGCTGCAAAGATATTGATTATCCCTAATTTCCAATATTCTTTATACGAGCCATACCATAAATCTTCGAAACTGAGTTTCTCCGTTCTTCTGAGCTTTTAGGAAAGATATTGAAATTTATTTGGTCCTGGTATGTGGAAAAATAATGTGGAAAAAGAACTTTCTAGACCTTCCGTAACACTAATACTTTGACAAAATTGTAAGTTTGTGTAAAACTGAGGGCGACGGAGAAATTCTATTTTAAGACGTTTAATCTTTAAATTAAATTGATCCGAGACTTACGGTCGAGCGAACTGAGATTCAAATTGTTGCTCTGGTGCGAACTATTGTGTGTCAGAGTGAAGTTCACCAGCGGTGATGGAAAATGTGGCTTCGATGGAGGGCCCAAAAGCTGAGGTCTGACTCCTGTGCCAATTAGCTGTGCCAGCTCCAGCTGCGATATACACTTTACTACATCCAACCAGGAACTACCTAAATAGTTGCCATCCGTATGAGCAACGGTGATCAAAGTTTTAATCGTGTCAATGTTCTTGGCCTTCATCTCCGTGATGGGGGAGAGTGCAGTCAACAGAGTGAATCTGGCCAACGCTTGAACGTACGCGTCTCGTTCCAACTGCAACACAAAACAAAAATTATTATTCTTCTGATTCGTTAAACGCTCTACATACTAGGGTAGGGTCAGCATTTAAAAAATTACGTTCCGTTACGTTACAATCGTTTTCTGGATATCATAAGTAGGTTTACCGTCATGTGAAAGATGCAAGCTATACGTATGGCACATCTGATACCATCCAGGCATAGAGAAGCGATTTCAGGGTCGTCACAATCCTGTAGACCCACGCTAAACGCTGCTAAAAATGGCGTCCAGGCGATTTTGAACATCGGACGCACGTGTTCCAGATGTTTGGCCGTGGTGAATGGTGCCTGGACGTGGCTAACAGATTCCATTAGGTTCTTCGCTGCCGTGGAGATCACTTCCATCTCCATGTTCCACAAAAGTCTTCGTTTCTTCTCGCTGGAAATCACTGGAACATCGAAAGCGACTCAAATTACAACTCTTGAAGGTCTAAAACCTTCAAAAGTCCAACAAAAATTTCATATATATTTGCCGTTTATTTAAAATTTCGGGAAAATAATCTCCATTTACCTTGTTTCCCAGGTCTGTTGGGATTGGATTTCATTTTAATTTCATTTCCAGCAATCTCGTCGTAAATCTTTGACAAATATTCCTCGGGGAGGTCCTCGTTGTCACTGATTCGCCTGTTCAATTTAATATACTGCTCTTTCGTCATTTTGTTCTTCACCTGAGGCGAATGGAGGTCCGTAGTCAGCATAATGATGGAAAACCCTAACACGTAAGCTGTGTCTGCGCTTGTGAATAATCCGTTGCTGGAAAAATAGAGAAAAATTGCTCAAACATGCTCCTTTTTGGCATAATAGTCTCCATTAAAATTCTACAAGAATTAATTTTCTTTCAATTGCCTTTGAGATCCATAAAACCTGTTCAACCAGAAAATTGAACATTGACTGATTGAAATTGACACTACTACCATAGTTTTTGTCATAATTCGATTAAAAATTCGCATACTTGGGATTACACTCGCAGTATCTACTGGCGAACTTCTCCATCAGTCGATCGATCTTCTGAGCCTCTCCCGGGAGTCTGAAACCCTCCAAGAAGTACCTCAAAGCGGTCACCAGGTCTCGATCATTAAAATTCATTTGATCTATGTAACTGTACATCGCCTGATTGTGATTATGATCGCCCAGGAAATCGCCGATGGCAGTCTTGTCCAATCGTTCGTCCATGTGAAGCCACCTGGCTACGTCTTCCGACGAATTCCCCAGGAGTCCCTGTTCCTGAAGATACTGGACACCTTTACTTGGCTTTCGATTGAATCTAGAAAGAAGAAAAATAGTATTTTATTGTAGCGTAGTTTTAGTTTTGAGTCACGGAAGCTTGATAGAGATTGTAAAAGGTCTTTATGATAGTAAATATTAGATATTTCTTTCTTTAACTCTTGCCTTTCATTCCAATCGTTTAATATAGTTTTTATGCCACAACAAAATCGGAAACCATACAATGATAATATAAATTAATACATACATATCGATTCCAGTTTCCCAGACCTCTTTCTGCTGCTTCTGTACTTCGTACTGTTCAGGTGAGTCAGGAATCTCCTTGTTCCCCGCTAGACTGGAATTCGCAGACGACAGGCTCCCAGCGCTTCCATAACGTGGTAATGGAGCCTCTATGGGAGGATCTGGTGGCTCTGTTGCAAGTTGCTGGTCCGCTGGGATACTTGGGTTCACATAAAGGTCTCTGCTCCACTCTACCATGCATTTCAAGATCGAGACCAAACACTCGAGCCCTCTGATTCGCATCGATTTCTCCTGATTGGGTGAAGCTCCCAATTCCAGGGCTTGTCTACCCTGGGCGATCTTCGATAAGTCATTGACAAGCCTACGACAAACAAAAGAAGCAAAAGATCAATCGTTGAATTCTAAAGATGGGGATGTCGCGCTATTAAAATGGAAATTAACAAGTTTCTTATACCTCTTTGACCAGATTATAGGCTAATTAAACATTATTAAACATAAGGTTTTCATTTATATCGTTAATAAACATTTCCTTACCTTTCGAACAAGTTCGCAGCAGAGAGGTCACAATCGTAGTTGACGTAAATGTCAACAACGCTTTGTGCATCCGCACAAATGCGAGTTAAAGCATGAATGACCATCCATTTGTGTTCGAAAGAGCTGCTGGAGGTTTCGAGGATGTTCATGAAGATTTCCTTGAAGAAAACTTCAATCTGCATTTTTAAGTGTACTTTGAAACGAGCCAATAGAGCCAGGAATAACGCTAGCGAGAGCTCAAACACCTCAGGGACCGAAGAAACTCCATTCTTTGACAGTGCCACGCAGAGATACTGTTTTATGGCTATGACAAACATTTCGTTCGATCGTAGAACTGGTCCTGCATTCTGAAGGATTCCGAGCAAAAGCTGCAATGACAGGATCTTCGATCTTAAATGGTGCGATCTAAAACACATCAACAAATCCTTAAAACACTCGAAAGGAATGGAAGAATAATACCACTAAATAAAATTATTAATGAAACTTCCTGTGACTTTGCAAACATGAATCAAGGACTGAAAGAATGGAAGAAAGATGGCTTCATGCTGCAAACTACTATACTTGCTTTAGAATGCATAGATCTTTGTAACATAGATATCGAACAGTTCACCTGGTACATATTAAGCCGAACGTACTTGGGATCCAAATTGCCATCCGGAAGTGGTTTCATGGAAAGTTTGCAAAGTGCTCTGAAAACCAAGAACGCGTCCTTTTGCAGAACATGTGTGAACTTGGCTCTGACCATGTTGTCACTTTCAGCCACAGCTTCGTCAGAGTTGTCGTCGATAGGCACTTGGTCCAAGCTTGCATCTTCTGAAATTGCTGTGGCCACACAAGTCGAGCCCTCTGGTACTACAGAGTTCATCACGTCCTCCAGAATCCCTCGAACAATCAGTTGCGGTTCCTGGTTGGGCTCTGTTGAAGTTTCCTCGTTGTTCGCTGCCTCCATTTCCAGGTCACCTCCAGAATTGCAACTCTGGACTATCTCAGATTGATCCATTTCATTACGGACACACTCTTCTTCCTAGTAACACAGGTTTCAATTTTAATTTAAGTCTGTGTAAAATTTTAATTTCAGTGTTAACTGTTGTAGATTTTAACAAAAATTAAATGCATCCGATCTATAAATACAAAATTCTATCCATCGTCGTGAATATTTTATTTAATGAACTCACCGCTTGCGTTTCCATTCGAGCAAAGATAACATTAATCATCTGTGTCAGAGTTGCTCGAGCCGTTGTCTGATTGACTAGGTTCTTTGAGGCCAAGTAGACACTGTAAACGATTCTGATTGCAAGCAAAACAGTGCCTTCATGAACTTCGACATGTTGACTAGTCATCACTGTTAGCAAGGCCTTTATAATTTGTAGCTGTACGCCTTCATCCGTCTGAGGCCCAATGAAGCATCCACAGATGGTTTCCACGATGCGAACAATCAACAATTTATTTGGCTCTATGGAGTCTGGAACGTTTCCAGTGAGATGACCATAAGCAATTAATTTCTGCAGACAGTCTAGGGCAGTAACCACGATTCGTGGCGATTTGCTCTGGCACGCAAGTTCAAAGGGAAGAAAATACTTCTCCGCGGATATTACATAGGACTCGCTGCGTGGCTGTGGCAAGGCAGTGGAAACCTGCGTGCCTGACACTTCTTTGATTTCATTGCGCAGGTTGTCTGCGAACAAACATACATTTTACTATTTTTAACAATAATAAATGTAAAACTCGAGCAAAACATAAACTCTAATAAAGGCGAAACCAATATTTTGAGTCATAGGGCACAAAAAGATTGAAAAATCAATTGTCATGAAATCAGTAAGAGTTTCATTATATAGCAAAGCTAAAAATTACAAATTCGCTATTAATTACATGAAATATTCTGCGCAATAGTCTCTCAGGGCTTCTAATCTCCATCGAATTTAAGCAAAACAGGCAATTTATTGTTGTGGAGGTTATAAATTGGATATGCGCGTATTAGAAGTGGAAACAAGGAAACTAATATTTGTAAAAAGTTTACCGAGCGCAGTTTCACAGGACTTTCTGAGTTGCGAGAGGTGCGACCGCTTAACATCCCGGTCGGCCAGGATTTTTTCCAGTGCTCTAATAATGAACATTTCTTTAGAGTTATCTTGCATCGTCGCCAAGCCAATTCTCCGCTAAGCTGGGACCGGAGAATACATGGCCCGACCAGAGATACGCATCGTTACAACCATAGTTGGTACTATTCTTCTTGCATTCTTGATCACCAGGAGGTGGTCCCTTCGAGGTAGAGGTGGACACAGATTCTGTGAAACGAGGATCGATCAGGGAATTTATTTTCGAGTTTTACGATGGAGATAATGTGTTCGTCACGGAATTAAGGCTTCGTCGCGAAGCATTTCGAAGAAAATGATGATGAAATATTGAAATTGACAGCAGTTTTGTAGAAACAAGATAGAAGATTCCGAGACGTCGAAGATGAGCCACGCCGATTGTACTAACATCTTGCGGCGCGATGCAGAATCGACTTTGCAGAGGTAAAGACTGGTTTTCACGAGGCAGTGGAAGGTGAGTTTCGAGATATTGGAAGATAGCAGAGTTTAATGAGAATGTGTAAATAATTTTAGGCAAGGTTTGATTTTGTGATACTTGAAAGGTTCTAACCTTGTTTTTACGATGGATTTAGTTTAAATCATTGTCAAATTCGACACAAGTCAATATACACGATAGGAAGTATCGATCCACATTAGACAGTACCAACATAGAGTAGAAAAGGATAGGCACAATCTACTTTTTATTCTGTACATGGAGAGTTTCTATTCCACATGATTGTATGTAGGGTAATTTACGTGTTATTTGCAATTTTTGCAATCTTAAATAAATTATTATTATTATTATTATTATTATTATTATTATTATTAAACGAATCATTAATATAACAAGAAAAAAAGACAATTTATCGCAGTTTTTATTTATACCTTCGATCCAGTGATGCCAGAAAAGCACCGTCGACTGCATTCTCGACTGCCCAGGCATTTTTATTTTCCGACCTATGTAGGCGCACATAAGCAAAGTACCCATAATGAAAAAAAAATTTTGTAAAATTTATTTTACGGAAATGCACGTTTTAAGACCTCCTGATTATATTTTAATTATTGAAAAAAAAGAAATTTTTTTTAATTCCCATGTATGAGCACACATATGTATATTATTAATACGATTCTTGAAAATAAATAAAGTAAAAGTTATCTCATTGAAATTTTTTCTAGAATTAGTACCTAGAAAAAAGTATTAGACAAGATTTGATTTTGATTTCGATTAAAAATCAAATTTATATTGTTTTAAATTCGCAGCCATTAGCTCGGTGTTACCCATAATGAAGAAGTTTTTCTTCAAAGGTAACACCGATTACCAGGTCTCACCACGAGGAGGTTGCTGCGAGTGGAGACCCAAAGTGAGACCGATGGAACAAAGTTCGATCAATCTTCCTTTTTACAGACTTAGAACTAACCCATGACGCAAAAAAAAAGATGCCAAGTAATTACTTTTCTAAAACAAAGGAGGAAGCTAAATTGTGGTAGACGCGACACGACGAAACGCGACACAATACTGCACAGTGCAGTAGGAACATGAGGTGCGACACGTACCGAATAGCGGGTCAAAAGGGGCAGCTCGTTACCTCTTAGCAAGTCCAATTGAAGGGGAGGAGAATCGACGCACCAGACACGGGTTCCCCATTTCTCCAACGCGTCCTGCTGGGAGCCCGTAGGACCCAACCCGGGACGTCTTACACAGGAGAGAGATCCTGAGTCGGGGCTACCGCAGACAGGAACAGGTCCCCTCTACGGCCGATGACTCTTTCCCTAGAATTGTCTCACCAGAGGACGGCAACCGACCCTTCGAACCATCTAAACGGCCGATCACTTGCTTTTTACATTAAAGCAGCGGTGACCGGAGCTGGAAACGGGGGAACGAGACTGGAAAAGAAGCTGTTAATTAATTAATTACTTGGCAATCTACGCATTAAATAAACTAATATACAATATAAACAGAAAATTAACGTCGTAGGTGGAATTAATGAGATTAAAATGGGAATTGAGAAACATAGGAAAGGAAAAAAAGAAATATTCGACGTTAATTTTACCATTCGCGCCGCGCCGCGCCTTAAATTTAACGGCAATACGCATGAATCTTGCATCCGTCGTCCTCTATCTAAAAATTGATCTGAATAAAAACTAAAATAAAAATTAGTAGTTATAGACACAAATTAGAATTAATTATGTGAACAAATATAGGGACAAATATAAATATAGGGGCAAATACAAATATACAACCAAGAACAGGATAATTAAAAAAATAACAACCCCACGATGAAAGACAATGAGGAACAAAATAATTTGAAAAATCACAATCCAACGAAGTAAAGAATGAAGAAGAAAATAATTCGAAAAATAACAACCCATCGATGTCGAAAATAAAGAACAGAATAATTGGAAAAATATCTACCCAACGATGTAATATATGTAGATAAAAGCTGAAAGAAAAAACGAATGAATTATTGGAGAGACGAACAGAAACAACGAAATATTACATCCCTATATATAAATAGAAAACACAATAATGGTATTAATTATATGAATATAAATATATGTATGTATATACCAATCGGCGACACCAGTCGGCGACACCAGTCGGCGACACCAGTCAGAGCATCGCAGAATCAGAGAATCTGAAACAGAAAGAAAAACGGGTAACAGTACCCCCGGCGGTTCCGGGAGTACTGAAAAGAGTCGGTCAGTTGTGCCCGCTTTTATGCAGTCAAGCCAAAGAATCAACGAGCCAATCAGCAGCCAGTCAGCAGTCTTCCGGCTTCAAGAAGTTCTATAAAAACCGTGCCCCCTGGCGGGCCCGCGGCAGATATCCCTCAACCACCAAGCAAGACGGACCGTATCGAGATGAAGAATTTATTGAAGATTTCCATTCAATCAAAATCGAAGATGGCGGCCAAGAAGATGGTTCACGAGCAGCGGCCAAGGGACAAACCGGTCTTTTTAAAGACCAAGAAAATCTCATATTTGGGAACAATAAAACTGAACACCAAAACTGAACACCAAAACTGAACAACTTTTATATTTAACAACTCAGAGACACTTTACATCTCTGTTTTGTAACAAGTTTTATATTTAACAATTCAGAGACACTTTACAACTCTGTTATGTAACAACTTTTATATTTAACAACTCAGAGACACTTTACATCTCTCTTTTGTAACCACTTTTATATTTAACAACTCAGAGACACTTTACATCTCTGTTTTGTAACAACTTTTATATTTAACAATTCAGAGACACTTTACATCTCTGTTTTGTAACAACTTTTATATTTAACAACTCAGAGACACTTTACATCTCTGTTTTGTAACAACTTTTATATTTAACAACTCAGAGACACTTTACATCTCTGTTATGGCACAAGTTATGCAATAAAACTGAACATGGTATACATATTTGCCTATATGTATAGGAAGGAAATTCGTCGTTAGTATTGTCGCCCGTCAATGCACTTAATTATGCAAGATCAGTATACTATCTAATTTTATTTTTTATTATACCGGTTTGCAATATCGTAAAGATCAATGCAAAAACATTATGCACAGCTCTTGTATTTCTTTGATTTATCCAAGTAGTCAAAGTATAATATTTAACAAACTTTTGATTCAAATAAAACAACGAAAGACACAAAATTTGTGTAAGTACCTGTTACATGCAACCTATGTATAAATGCATAATAACTAATATTGATATACGCATAACGAACTTAGTTTGTGATATGAAACATTAAGAAAAGTGTAAATTAATAAATAGGTTTCAAAATGGGTATTCCAGGTTTAACAACTTTCATAAAGAATCGTTCAGATCGTTATTTGGAATAATTCGAGCCATGTGATAGGTATTTAGTTATTTAGCTGTCAAATATATAATTCGTACAAGTACAATTGTGTTTTTGGCGGTGATTACGATAAATACGCTCAACGAGTATCGGATTTTTTTGACGATTTGTTAAAGTTATTCGAAGCTGATAATGCTATAGCTACTGTAGCAAGGATATTGAATTGTCCTGTATTGAGTTATGATTCAGATTTTTATGTGTTTGGGACATTGTACATACCATTTGATACATTGGACAATTACACGGTGAAAAGTTCAACTGGAAATGGTTACACGAAACGTTGTAAAATTTATAAAGTTGAACACTTATTAAATTTTTATAGAGGTTTAAGTCAATCTACACTGCCATTAGCTGCAATATTACTAGGCAATGATTATGTAAAACGTGGTACATTTAGAAACCTCTTTCGTTATTTAAAGTTACGACGAATAACAAGAAAAAGGTACAGTAATCGACAGTATTGTATAGAAGCAACTTTACAATGGTTGAGCGGATTTTACACCTTGGACAAAGCAGTCATTGGAATGCTATGTAGATCACCTAAAACCATAAGACAATAAATATTAAGCATAATAGAAATTAATATAAATGGCTATACAAATGCATCTACAGAAATACTTGGTTACTTCCATTGGGGTTTTCACAGGAATATGCAGCTCGTGCCACAACACATTCCATAAACAGAATTTTTTAATTTGATGGAGATGTTAATAGTCTAATGTACATAGAAAAAACTGATAAAAATGGAGACTTTGAATCATCCGAAGAAGAAGAAGAAGAAGAGGAAGAAGACGAAGTTGAAATATTAGACATGCTTAAAGGGGTCAGAATCTGCTACCAATAATGCACTAGCTAATGTACCTAATTTGTTTGTAGATGAATTTCTTATGGGCAATTATCCTGCATATTTTATGGACTTGTTGGTTCGACATTTATATATTTGTCCTGTACAAATAGAGGATTATTCCTATCCATTGAGCAATGTAATAAGTTTAAAAATTATTAGAGTTATATATGCATTTCTGCAATCAGGAACGAATAGAAGGAGAGGTTTTATGAAATACATGATGAGAGACTGTAATAAAAAGCTTAAATGTTACGAACCAGAAGGCACTGACACTAAATTTTCTTCCCCATTACTGTCCCTATCTAATCTTAGAGAAGTACCATTAACGAGACCAGGATTAAAAAATAATGTACAAACATGCATCATTGATTTTTCATTACCATTTGAATTTAAATTCAAGTTATATAGACACAAATATATAAGCAAAGCCCATATTGAATGAAAAATTGACACGTAAATACACGTTTCAAGACCCCCTGATCATGTTTGACATAAAACAATACTTTGGAAATAAATCGTTTGAATATAGTTTATCAAGTAAGACTTTCGAAATTATTTTCAAACGATCTATTCTCTAATTGTTCTACTATTTCAAATAATAATTTTTTGATCTTATAGCAAAGAACGTTTACTTAATATCAATTCAATAAATTCAATTTGTATTTGTATATTTTTCGCCTA